GGCACGTAGACAATAAGAGTGGTGATCATGGGAGTCTGGCGGAGCGGAATTGTTGGAGTAGACCAGATTGCTTGTGGCACTTTGGTGTCTCGACTTCAATAGTAGTCGGCATGGAGAAACTGTGGTAGACAACGTTCTCTCTTCACCATTCCAGGCACTTGAGAATGGATGACTACAAATACCCAGGCAAGGCCAAGCAGCACGGCCCGAAATCAACCAACCGCTTCCAATCATTGGAATCTGGCCACCCATGCTTCGCAACCGGCTAACTTAGAAGTCCTAGAAATTTTGGTTTGGACCACAGGTTCCAAATCGCTCCTCCTCTGGGAGGTAAACGTGAAACGCGCCACGACTTGGATGCCACCTTTGCTGGCCAATGATCGGCTACTGGGGAGCATCCCCTTCAGCGTCAGCGTCACGCGAAAACCTTGGATCGTCGCGCACTGGTCCGCTCGCGCCGGCTTCGCGCTCGTCTCGCGCCAGCCAGGTGTCAGATTACAATTGATTCTTGACCTCGCTTTTCAGTTTGCGCACGTAAGCCGAGCGGCGGGGCCGTGAGTTGAGCATCGCGTGTGGTGGTCCATCCTTCCAGGGCACTATTGTGGCTGAGACGAACGTCCATGAGTGTAGTGGACTCCTGGCTTCAATAAAAACGATACGGCATGGGAAATTGAGAGTAGACGAAAAGGCTTAAGAGATAAATAGCTTTCAGGCGGACTGAATTTGACTTAAACTGCGCTTTGGGTTGGGACGTAATGTATCACATAGGCGGGGAAAATGGGGGCCACTGTTTGGCATCATGCAGCGTTTGCGACTGCAAAACAAACAACTTGGCGATACATCTCAGATCATGATGGAATTGATACCGGACTGGAGCTCTCAGCAACTCAGTAACTATGATCTGGCTTGTATGAATGTGATTTTCATGGGAGCGACCAGCGTGAGTCTCGGCATCTCAACCATTTCGCTCAATAGGATATGAGAGCTAGCCTACCCTATAGGTGCCGGATAGAGGCTACCTGGCACCTCGCTCATACGTAATGGCAGGATTTGTATCTCTTAACTCCACGACTTGAGATTCGCAACTCAGATAACATGCCCTTCATCGTCTCTCAGGCTGTAAATATTCTTCTTGGAAATCAGCCAGATAGCCCATTCCAAAGCTATAAAATCAAGTTGCTGCTGAACATGTACATGCAGGCAATTCTGGGCTCTTTGTTAAGAAGATGGTTTCAGTTACGTGATACTTAAGGTACAATATATCAACGCAGTGTAACAATTGTACCTGCTAACATGTCTTAGCACCATGTTGAAAATTTCGCCACACGCGGTCGACGCGTCCGACGCGTTGGGTCGCGGAGTTCTTGACTGGGTTCTCTGCAGCGGCCTCCAAACTCGGGAAGACGCTGCTTGACGCACGTTGAGTCTTGGGCGCACTAATAGTGAGACTGTTAGTCTGCGTCCCTCGCACTGAACTACTGGTCAGTCTGGTCGAGTTACACTGGACTATCAGTGTGGTCCGAGAGGACTGCACTGAACCATCGGTGTAGTCCGAGAGACGTCACACTGAACCAATAGTGCATAGACTATTAGTCTGGACTACAGTGTGCACTAATAGTGCTCTTAATGGTCCGCACTATTAGGAGCCCTGGCAGTTGGTCCAGGAAGGACTGGACTGGACGCAGAAGGCAGCGTCCATCAAGCGAGGCATCAGCGAAGGCTTGCAAGCAGTGCAAGCGGTGAGGGGAATAGTGGACAAGGCGGTACATGCCGTTCCCGAAGTCATTCCTTCCGGGGCTTAATTCGCTCTATGACCGAATGATAGGGCATATCGGTGATTCGAAGGATGCGGGCCTTTGCAGGGAAGTCCTGGCTATTGCTTCGGTCATATACTGACCCATCACCTTGGATGAGTTGAAGGCATCCCAGGATTTCCCATCGATCAGGTCTCGCCGCCCGACCCTGACCCATTAAGGGATTTCCCGGTGATCTGCCGGATCTGGTGATTCGCCGGACTTACACCTACTTGCATTCCAGACATCAATCTATAATAGCTCCACAGCCGCAGTCCCAAATCTTCCAAAATTAAACACATAATGAAAATGCAACTATAAGATATGTCTCAGTCTATTTCGCAGTCATCAAGCCATCGTGGTCGCTTGCTATTCCGCTGCGGCCGCCCGGTACCCCGAAATGCGACTACCATCTCCCGATCACTCTCAACAGCTAGACAGGGTCTTTTCGGACGAGCGGTACGGATTGGAGTGGTCGCTGCCTTCCCTTTTCGGTTGTCTTTTGGTAGATCTAGGGCCTGTGATGCTACCGGCGGCTCTGGTATGAGTGGAAGAGCGACGATTATCTCGTCTCGAACGTCCGGACTCTTCTCGCGGCCTTCAGAAGCCACCCGTCGTTCATGTTGCATTTCATGTGCCATTTCCAGATTGCGACGCTTAAGTTCTTGTCGAATCTGTCGATTGGTCTCCTTCTCTTGCTGCCTGGCCTCCCTTACCTGCCGTTTTCTCTCTATTTCCGCCTCTCGTTGCCTCCTCTTCTCCAGAGCGAGAGCTTTTTGCTCCGCCGCCTTCTGCTGTCGCTGAGCCTTTTGCGATTCCTTCTGCAGAACCTCCTCTTTCTTTTGGGCGTCCATCGCCGCTTTCTTTAGGCGGGCTTGAGCGACTTTTGCTGGGCTAAACACCTGAGCTGAATTTGGATCTGTACGATCAAAGAGCAGATCTTTCAGAGCTTTACCGCGCTGTCTGCGCTTCTTTTCTTGGCTAATTGTCTCGCGGAGTCCTTGATTCTCATATCGAAGCAGTTCAACCTCAGATTGCAGGCTTTCGAGGGTGTTCTTCAGCTTTCGGCTGTTGCGGTCAGCATCGATAGAGGATTTGTCGACTACTTTGTCAATAAGTCGGCGTAAATCTCGGGCCGTAGGTTGCTGAAGGGCTAGTGATTCTGCCGAGTCGCTACCCGTATTCGAATCATCATCTTTTTTCTCAGTGATCTGCGATAGGACCACTTCTGGGTCAAAAGGCAGGAGACCAGTCCGTTTCCACCCACTCGCAATGTTCTCGGAAGAGAAGGAAGTCTCAAATGCGTTCCAAAATAAAGTCCAGAACTCACGTTTCGATAGGCCAATAAGGCCTTGTGTTTTTGCTGTCCACTGGATAAGCTGATTTGAGTATGCGGTCGAAAGGGGGCTGAATAGCGACACGTCCAAGGGTTGCAGCCGATGCGTGGAATGGGGGGGAAACACCGCAACGATAATCCGGTGCTGGTCACACCACTCCAGAAAGTCCATATTAACATGGCTAGAGTGGCCGTCGGTAATGAGAAGGCGATAATCACGACCGTTTCGAGCTTTTGCCTTAGTAAAGCGATCGAAAACACCGACGAGCCACTCTTTTCCAAGCTCGTGATTTGTCCACCCCGTTTCTGAGGTGGTAAAGAAGGCTGATTGATGTTCTGGGTCAAATTCATTGAGCCAAGAGTCCTGGACTTGTCCTGGTTTGCCTTGATAGATGAGGAATGGGGGCAGCGATGTCATGTCCTGGCTGATGCACGCCAGGAACGTAATCCAAGATCGATTACCATCTTGCGACGCACCGAGCAATTTGCCTTGCTTTTTGACGTTAATGGAAAATACTCTCTTCGTTCGATTGATCACACCCAAGAGAAATCCTTTCTCATCCGCGTTATACGTGTTGCAGGGTAGGATGTTGTATTTCTCGATTTTTGTGCGGATCTTCCACTGTCAGTTGTGAAAGGGAAGCTTCGTGCATTGGCTTACAAGCTCAAAATAAGCCCTATACCTAGAGGCATTATCGGCTCTCTTTCGCGCGATGTCCAACCCGTCGAACCATGTACAACCTAACTCATCACGATTGCGTCGAACGAAGCTGTACGGCCAGTCCTTTCCGACCTCGATTTTGGCGATATCCTGGGCGAAGTTCTTTATCATAGGTAAGGTAGGGGGAATGCCACGCGATGAAAGCTTATGAATATAAGCGATAAGATCCCGTTCTTGTTGTTTTGACAGACGTGACTTATACAAACTGTCGGCATCTCGTCTTGACCGCTGTTTGCCTTGATGTCGGCGTCGCAAGGTCGTCTCGTCGCAATTGAAACGCCGTGCAGTCTCAGCATAATTAACTGATTCCGACGATTTCAGGAAATCAAGGGCCTCATCAATCGGCGCCATGGTTGTTGAGTAATTGTCGATTGATGTTGAGTGTGCGAAGTGGCGGTGATCCGGCGGATCACCAGATCCGGCAGATCACCGGGAAATCCCTTAGCTTCGATATGATATTCCTGCGTCTTCTGGGTAGACCATTTCGATGCCCAGGCGCAGCCAGTAGCCAGGCCAGAAGGCGCAACCAGTAGCCCAGGCGCCAGTAGCCAGGCCAGAAGGCCCAGGCCAGGAGCAACCAGTTGCCCAGGTGCAACCTAAGTATGTAGCCAGGAAACAACGACCGGCTAGAGGGAGCCGAGCGCCCACATGAAATGACCCACAGATGACCCACAGGAAACGAGCCACAGGAACGTGCGCGCCCCACATGTCTGGGAGGTTATCCTTTCGTGGCCTATGAAGGACTCGCACCTAGATGTAGCGGAGCCTGGGGAGACTAACAACCTGCTCATCTGCGCGCTGTCGCTTTCGATTTCGTGGTGGTCTCGCCAGGAGCGACTATTGTGAGAGTCGAAACCAAGAGGGAATCTAGGGAGGCCGCGGTCTCTCGGTCCGCAGTCGCGTTGGAGCAGACGCCGCAGGATCCTGTCGAAGGGTATGTGGGGAAATTACCGACTGGTGAGATCGCGTTGTGCATGCATGTCAGTCCAATGACTCTTCTCTAGGTGCGGTACGGGCCAATGGTTAACCGCCCAAGTAAGGTCATGATGGTGTGCAGACCCGCCATGCCCGTCGTTGGTCGTAATGAAGGAGAGCTTTAATGACAGAAATGAGGACCGGCAGTGTATTTCTCCGGGACGCTATCAGCCAACCATTAGTCGCCATTTCGGGAACATCTCGTTGCTAGCCAGATCCGGTTGTGGTACTCGGTCCAGGTGAAGGAAGTCTCAGCAACAGAGCAGGGTCTTATCGATAAGATCACACTATCGATAAGAATATCGCACATGGCTCAAGGAACAAACAGGCCTAGAATATAATACAAGGTAAAGACTGAAATCCTTTAATTTCTCCACGTCTCTACGGCGCCCCGAAGCCCTGGCCAATGGCTTGAAGCATAAATGCCGCCTGTGCCATTTCCTCGTACTCATCTACGCCGATCGAATTGACTCCCTCCGTTGTAGGAGTTCCATTCGCTGGGTGCCATCCTCCGTTCTCGCTTCGCGGAATACTCGATCTTGCGAGTCTTGAGCCAATACCAGTCTCCGAACCTGCGGCCCAGGCCTGGTCCTTCTGCGCAGAACCTTGCGAGAATTGGCTCGCTCGACCGTCCGAATTGTTCCCGCCTAGCTGTGAAGCTAAGATTGATCCAACATAGACGGGATTGAATGGATCCGCCGAGTAGTCTTCCAAAAAATGGGTCATTTCATGGCCTTGTTGCCAATTGGTGTACCGTCTGACCGCTTCGGACGATGGTGCTTCGGACGCTTCGTCCGTCTTCTGGGTCACACTTGACGAGGAAAACGACTCAGGAGGCGGTGCTTCTGACCTGACGAAATAGGATGAGGTAGCCGCTCCCATAGACCTTGGCTGGTAGACCACAGTTGATGGGTCCTCAGCTCCATAATTCTGCGGGTTGTATATAAGCGTCGTCTGGTCCTCTTCCTCGGGGTATGAAGCTAGGGTCGATGTGTGAAAGGAGCCCTCCTCGGCACCAGATAGATCCACCACCACATCATAGCAGTCGCTAGCTGAGAACCGCGACTCTGGCGACAGGATAACCATGGTGTTCAACAGAAGTCGTCCTAGGCCGCTCGGCCTCTTCTGAAAGTTACTGCGGAGTCTCGTGACGATCTTTTCGCACCAGGTAACACCGCTACTCCTATACTGGTCTTTGTATCGGGGAAGACCGCATGCCAGCTCGCACGCCACCACGCCGAGAGACCAGATATCGACGGCCGGGGTATAACCCAGCCTGGCTTCGTCACCAACATAGCGCTGTAACTCTGAATAGATCTCCGGCGCAAGATACTTCTGAGTTCCACAGATGGTCATCAACTCGGAGCTGTCCCGTGATAATCCGAAGTCCCCTAACTTGACGTGGATGTCGCCGCCAAATCGATACTGGACAAGGATGTTGGCCGGTTTGATGTCTCGGTGCGCGATCGGCGTCTCTCTCCCATGTAAATATGCCAGAGCTGATAAGCATTGTTTGATGATCGTCAAGGTCTCATCGTATGATATTTCCTCATGGTCCTCAAGGGATCCACACGGCACATATTCCAGGTATAATTGAGGTTGTGGTGTGAAGAACGACCCGACAAGTCTCACGATATGGGGCTAGAGAGAGAGACCATTAGAAGGGTGGCGACAGACAGCGAAACGGCATACAAACATGTGAGATCTGGCCCATGATGCGAGCCTCCCGGCGCCACGAGTTGGGGTCGACTAGCCCTTTTCGAATGGCTTTTCGGCTAGGTGCTTTGATGACACGCTCATCCCCAGTACTGACGTTCCATAAATGAGTCACAGTGCCAAAGGCACCTTCGCCGAGTTTCTTCCTCAGGTATATCTCTCCGGCGCCCGGTGTGTGGGCCCCCGTGGCAAGTCGGGTGTCCGGATTCGAGACCCCGAGATCGTCGAGGAGGCCCTCGGCAGTTGCCGTGCCCTGGTTGAACCTGTTGACCTTATCCATATACACCGGGGACGATACGTCGTGGAATGGAACCACGATTTGGAAGGAGATGGTGTCCTCCACAGTGATGATGATGCTTTTCATCCGCTGGGGGATACGGTGGCCACCCACGATCCACTGGAAATGCCTCCGCGTCCCCTCCCCCTCCCCATCATAAGTGACTTGAGTCCCAATGAGAGAATCCAAATCTTTGACGATGGGGCGGTTGAATTCGTCGAAGGTCAAACTGAAGTGGCAATTGGATATGCCCTGATAATCCAGAAAGACATCGCAATTCGGGTTCGAACCGAAGATAAGCCCACGGTTGGTTCGTGGGACGTCGCTAAATCCGACCACGAGGCAAGGTAAAATATCAAGGGCCGAACCACCCTGGGTTTCCGGTGGCTCGGTTGACTCTCGCTCGCGACGGCTGTATCGATCCTCGGTGGGCTGAAGCCGCGGAGGCACGTAACGCGGGTTCGCCTCGATCGCTTTTGATGCCCTCTTGACAACAGCCCCAAACCCATGGGGATACAAATAGGCGATCGTGTCTGTGTGTTCCATGCTGAATGGTATTCAGGTACAAGAAGATGAGAAAGTAAAGAAAAGAAAAGGATGCCGTTCTCACAGTTAGAAAAGGGCATCAGCCCATGTACCATGGCAAGCGGGTGCCAGTGCGTGTCGCCCGCCGCGACTGTTAGCAACGCAACGAACGACACCCAATGAAGCCTCTACCCCGCACTCTACGGCACACCCAGCGGCTGAAGACACCTTTGGTTGGCCATCCTAGCCACCCTGTGGCACCATTCACGCAAGGTACGGGAATCCATTGTAATTTCGTAGAACCACAATGTACCCAAGTGCAAGCAGCCCTGGGCCCCACCTCTAAGCCCCATTTAGCAGCGGACTTGGCTGCCTCAGGTATTAAATGTTAGCCAAGTGTCATATCAACAGAACATTCAATCATACCCCTCATGTCGACCATCTCTCGGTATAGCTCCTTTTCATTTCACCTCCATCGATGGTAGCATGGCTTCCACAGACATGGCAACAGCGACATTATCCGTTGATGAGATCGCTGCTATGGGCGATGCTGAGCTTGGCATGTTCATGAAGAAGCATCGCCGCCCCGGTGGTGGTTTCGAGCTCCCTGTTGACGGGTGGGACAAGCTGTCCAAGGATGAACGCAACCGTCTCGCTGAGAGGCTGAAGTGAGTATTTCCCGACCCGCTCAGCGCATGTCCTTTGCGCTTTCTGCTGATGACGATGTAGGGCCCAAGAACGCGGCCTAGCCCAGAGTCCCACGGCTTGTTCTCGCCCACTCGACCTCGACGACCTTGATGCACGCCTACGCCAAGTATCGCCCAACAATAGCTTTTCATTACGACCCGAACTAAAAGCCATCGAGCGATCGGAGTCCCCTACCCCACCGTTCGACCTCGAGGTCCACAGGACGAGAGACGAGATTGAGTCTTACCATGAGCTCATCGACGATGGCGGCCGCCCATTATACCCCATAGACGTTATTCAGGATGTTTATAGGAATCCAAACAACTATGCTGAGATTCTGCGACCTTGGCAGGAGTCCCTCACCCAAATACGCCCTGGAGGCATATTCCAGAGACAGTTGCAGAGGTGGCAGGACTTCCGCAAGTGGCAAAACGATAATCGAGGCCGTGAGGACGACGATGGTGGCTTCCCGGCGTATGTCGAGCAGCAGAAGCACTGGATAAAACGAGACTGTTTGAAGGAAACACGTGCCCGGCGCCTGGCCGAGATTGAAGCTGATCCGTCATGCCTTAAGCCGGAATGGGATCAGATGCAATTACTTCGCAGACGGCAGCGACGCCTCTACAGAGAACGCGACTGCGACGGGTTCCACGACTATGCAGCGGCGGTGAAGCGCCGCCTCACACGCCACGACTTCACCCAACCGTTTGAGCTCGAGGAAGACCCCAAGAAACAGGATCGGCTGGCAACGTGGATCGAATACCTCAACTACGAGTACTGGTGGCTTGACAAGTACATCGGCGATATCGAGCGCCTAGAGCCAAAGCACGACAAGGCCTGGCAGGAGCTTGTCGATGCGAAGATACCGAGACCTCACGAGACGAAAGAGTTTGTGCGGACCGCCGCATCAGGGATGGAGTGCCAGACAGAAGAGGATCAAGCCATGAAGGCCGTGCAGATGGCAGAGTCCGAAGCGAAACGAATCTATGTGTTGACCCAAGAAGATCCGAAGCGTTTACGTATTCCCAAGGCAAAGCGGATATCGATGTTGAAAGTCGGTGCAGAGAAATTGCTTGCTGCAAAGCGACGGTTCGGGCAGATCCGGAAACGGAACGATCGAATCACGGAATTTGTTCGGGCAACATTCGACTACGCGGATGCAAGGAGAAACGCTGCTCGTCACCGCGTCCTTGTGCAATGGGTTCTGGAGCAAGTTCCTTTGATCGAGGCCGAGATGGCCCAGTCCGACGCCAGCAAGACTATGCCTCCTGCAGCCAGTAGGACGAAGAGGAAGCTTACTAACGACGCAGAGCCTGTGGGCAGACGAAACCCGAAAAAGCAGAAGCTTGATGATCAGGAGCTGGATCCAAGCAGCAGAGCTGAGGCCCCGCCAAAAGCCGAAGGGACGCAACCGGCACCCCGGGACGCTGGGGCAATACCCGAGGGACCCCGCCGTAGCGCACGTATCGCAGCGCTCCAAGGCGCTGTCAAGCCGGCTTCAGAGCGCGATACTTCCCAACCAAGACCGCCATCGTGGCCCACAGCGAAGGTTGCACAACCGCCCAGGTCTCATTTGTCCGCGGGGAGCACAAAAGCTTTGACGGGTACGAAGAGGGAGCTGCAGAGTGTCGGTCGACGCGGTGTTGCCAAACCTGCTGCAGAAGTGCTACGGAGACGTCGGCGGCGAAGGCGGGGTCGGTGAGGGGGTGGTGCATACTTCCGTTGTGCTCATCCAATAAATTGACCAGACTGCCTGTCATATTTGTCATGTTTTGTTAGTAAGCAACCCTGCTAAACGGGCTTTCGCGGAGACAACGTTTCATGTGCCTGAACCTGGGGGGTCGTCTTCACTGTCTTCACTCTTTCTGCTGCGACGTGGCCCTGACGCCCAAAACATCATCACGCGCGGGGATGAGCGCGGGCACGCCCGTCCCCGATTGACACCAGACACCAGAGCGTGGTCCACAAGGATGTGCGCGTCGCAAACATGTTGTTCATTCCCGAGACCAATGGGATCATAATAATTGACATTGAACGGGCTTCGCTGCTCAGGCCGCCTCGGCGTCCGTTGGCGCAGTTGGTGCCAAACAAGCGAGCATGGAAGCAAGAGACAATAGATATCAAGGCGACTGGAGGTTCACGCAATCAAAGCCGATCAAGTCGAGGACTTTCCGAGGATATTTTGATGGCGAAGACGGCGTTCTTAGACGGGAAAATGCACCGAAAGCTATGAGTTATCGGAGTCTACTCACAGAAGCTTCCGACGTGAAGGTAGTCGCGGCAGACGTAGCCCGACCGGCTTGCCATATCTTGGTGGAGTCATATAGGTGAGCCAGTCCGCGGGGACGGTAGCTCGTTAGGCACACCGTGTCTCCGGTTTCTTTGCTAGTCGCGCACACGAAGCTTGTCGGTTAGCTGTGCCGCAAGGAAACGAGAGAGTCAGAAACGCACACTTTGCAAGCTGTTTTGGAGGGATCTTTAAGAAGCGCGTCTTCGCCGTGGCCGTTGTCCACCAGGATCTGCTTGACCGCCTGCTCCAGCGACACAATATCGAATCTGCCCTGTAACTGGCCGTTGATCTTGACCCTATGGCTCTTCTTCTCGAACACCTTGTCGGACAAGGACTGGTAGGCAGCGATGCATTCGTCAACGGTTCAGGCGCCCCAGCATGATGGCGATCAGGCGCCGGTGCTGGTGCCGCAGATCATGCCGAAGTAATCGCATGGCTTGGGCGGGAGTCGGGGTCGATGGTAGACATGAGATTTTGTAGAATCATCAGCGAGGACAGGCCGCGGACCCGCCGCCGTCGTCGAGGGCAAGTAGGCGAATGCCATTGTCAGGCATGGTGCTGCGGTGAGCGGTCCAGCGTTAGTAAACCTGGCGTGACAGAAAGGCAGCATGATCTCTGACGTGCTCGTAGTTGTCCGAAGCTTAGCTGGAGAGTCGTCACCAGCACTTGGTATGGAGGACCCAGGCGATGGTCATGGGCTAAGAACTACCGTTCAGGCAACGCGGTGTTAGCCGCACCCGTGGGCCCGCCCTCTGTCTGTTGGCTTGAGAGAGTGACTGGGAGGGGAACCTAAAGAGACCCAGCCAACGTCTGCCAGGTTAGTTCTGTGTGGAATTTCAGCCACGTGGCTGAGGTCGTGGCAGAAGCTGGTGAACCCCGTCGCCTCTTACGGGACGGATGTCCCTGGCCGCCAGTAAAGGTTCAAGCTTTGGTCTGCGGGGCAGGTACATCGACCAAGAGGACAATAGTGGACTTCAGGTATGCAAAAACAGACTAGAAGCTAGTTGTTAATGGATGCTGCTTCGTCCAAACGGATGTCTGTTGTTCGATCTGACGCATGCGTTTAAGAACAGACACCTTGTGCTCTCTGTTCTAGCCTGAACTCCGGGCTGCTATGTAGCCGTTATGGTGGGGGTTGGATACAATTATCATGACCCTCCTTGTATCGAGATCTGCAGACTACCGTCCCGTACCCACTAATCCGGGACAGGCTTTGACGATGGCCTGCGCGCGCCACACTCCAGTCGCTCAGGGAGCAGTGAGCGACTCAACGCGTCCACGACGCGCTATGCCCCACAGCAGCGCTAGGAGACTGCTGACCGCGGACATCAACGGGAGCAAGCGCCTCCAGAGAACAGATTCTTGTGCTCATTTTCACTATCAGCCGTTGCCTCTCTCTCAACATAGCGATGTCCTGTGTCGGGCCAATCATTGCAAAATGCGCGAAAACGCTTCTGCCTCCTCGGCGGAAGTCTAAGCCGCAACTCAGCCACGCTGCAGCCTCGTTGGGCACCCGCCTTAGTACCGCTGCTAGATCCCCTCCCTCATCGTCTCGGGCTGTTGAAGCGCGAACTAGACTCCCTCGAAACTGCTTCCCTGACCATCAGTGTGTTATCGCGTGCCATGGCCGATGCTGTGGGCCTCGCTGCAAGCGTCATCGCAATCATCGACCTGTCCGCCAACGTCGCCGTCCTCTGTCTCCAATACTCCACCGCTGTCGGGAACGCTAGGGCTGACATCACACGCCTCCGAAGCCGGTTGGACGACCTAGGCACAACCCTCCAGGGTGTTCATCATCTTCTTGATAACCTGAATGATCAAGCGCTCGCGACGTCGCGAAAACTGGTCGACTCTGTTGATGGCTGCACATCAGAGCTGGTCCAGTTGCAGAGCAGGCTGGATCCGGGCAAGGCCCGCAAGGCGATGCGCCGTTTCGGACTTCGTGCCCTCAAGTGGCCGTTCGACAGCAAGGAGGTCAGCGATATCGTCTCTAACCTAGAACGCTATGAACGGACCATCACTCTAGGTCTACAAATCGACCAAACGTAAGCCAGCAAACTGCCGGATGTATTGAGCACGATGGAACGGCTAACGAGATTGTTTTCGCAGTACAATTCTGCTCGACATACAGCAGAGGATCGAAGGCGTCTCGCTCCAGCCCGAAGAGGATGCATCGATAGCTCGCAAGCCCTGCTTCAACCTACCATTCGAACGCGATCCCGACTTCGTCGACCGACCCAATATTATGGCGTGGATGGGGGAGCAATATACAGGCCCCGTCGGTCGCATGGCCCTCGTTGGCATGGGCGGATTCGGGTACGAGCCGGAGTGGCTAACGAACTTGTGCAGACCATAATCACGCTGACTGGCCGTAGTAAATCGCAGGTCGCTATTCAATTTGCGCATCACATCCGCGACACGTCACCGCAAACCAGCGTCTTCTGGGTACACGCGAGTTCGAAGCCAAGGTTTGAAGAGGCATACCGGTCCATTGCGGACAATCTACGGCTACCTAGGCGAAACGATCCCAGCGTCGACGTGCTCCGGCTAGTTCGCGACTGGCTGCAGAGAGAGGAAGCTGGCCCGTGGTTAATGGTCTTGGACAATGTTGACGACGTCAACCTCTTCTACCCCAGCTCCAGCGCCGGAAGAGATGGGGCAGTATGCCATCCAGCGGACGAGAACCCTGCTGCACTGAGCGTGCAGCGGCCACTCGCAGTCTTCCTACCGAAACGCCGCAATGGAATCATCCTCGTCACATCACGCAGCATGGACGCCTCTGAGAAGTTAACAGGTAGCCATAAGGCTGTCTACAGGATCTGAGCCATTCAGTGGTGAAGCAGAAATATTACGGCAATGGCGCTTCCCCACAGAAAGCAAGGGCCACCGAGCCGGGCAAGGGCCGAAACCCGTTCAGCAACAGCCCGGTCGGTTCGCCTCCAAACCGTCCCACAGAGCCTTCTTCTGTAGCGGGTGTCGCGAGAAATGGGAAAAGGGGTGGAAAGGGGAAGGCAGTGGAGGAGAGAGAATCTTCAGAAGTAACTAAGCAGCTCTCATCTCCTCCGAGACTGAGCAGTCCCAGCATAGCACGCCCTCAAACCGAGCGGCCACTGGGGTCAAATGGTTGGTATTTCCAACAGCACAAGCCTTCTTGACTGACGGGATTCTTTAGGCGGTCGAGAAGATGGCGCATCAGCGATTGTTATAGGTGAGTAATTGGCCCGTTTCAGAGCAGAACTACGGTATAATAATGCTATAAACATGATAGATTCAGAAGAAGTGGACGCGTCTCCAGGGAGAAGCGCGCTTAAGCGAGGCGCTGCTTCAAACATGGAACGTCGAGGAAGCGGTCAAGCGCGCGGAAGTAGGCAAAGGCGATGGTGAGCCGTATTCTCACTGAGTGGAGCCTTCCGGAGTTTAGCCGCGCTGCCGGCCTTTGATTGGCCAGGCTAGATTTCATCGCTCAGAGGTATCCCCCAACACCATTCTACGTAGCTCTTCGTTTAAAAGGCTTGTGGCTCTTCGGCTCTTCAATTGCTACTCTTGAGGCTTGTAAGTGTGGCCTGTGAATCTGGATTGTGGCCTGTGTGTGGCCATGCTGTTGTGGCTTTCATGGTAGAGAGTTGAGAGGGGCGCGGAAAAAGAAGCCTTTCGTTCCTCAAGGCACAGGGCGCAGGCAGATCAGGGCGCTAACTGGACCGGGCGTTAGGCAGAGAGAGCGCGGAAGGAAGAACCTTTCGTTCCTCAAGGCAAAGAAGCCTTTCGTTCCTCAAGGCAATGTGTGCTATGAGGATTTACATGAGGATTTATAATCGTGGCCGTGCTGTGGCTTGTGAATTGGGGCTTTGAGGGTGAGAGAGGGCGCGGAAAAAGAAGCCTTTCGTTCCTCAAGGCATCAGATCGTTAGGTGGCCCGGGAGTTCGCACCTTTTTGTGTGGCGGAAGGATGATCCTCAAGGCATAAATCTTGCAGCGGGTACCGGTGATGATCACAAGACGAAGCTTGGCGAGGCTGCGGCGGGGTAACTGCAGAAGCTGGGCAGAAGTTGGGCAGAAGTTGGGCAAACACCCACTGCAGCTCCCTCCAAAGTCTCCCACGGCTCGTCGCTAATCATCCAGAGCTGGTCCAGTCACCGAGTTTGGAACCCATCATCTTCCTACCGCGATATCCATCGATCCCCTCGGAGCATCTGTCATCGTTTCGTAAACCCATCGTTTTCCCCCGACTACGACAACGAGTTCTTTAGCCTCTAGCTTCGATGGACCCCGTTACTGCTGTTAGTCTCGCTTCGAGTATTCTCACTTTCATCGAGTTCTCCCAGAAGCTCATCAGCGGTACCCTGGAAATATCGCGAGCCGGGGAAACAGCCGACAATGCTCACCTCAGTCATATCAACGAGGACTTGCACGATGTGTCTGGGCACCTTTGTCAGAAGATTGTCGGGACGTCCGAGAATGCGGAAGCTCTGAGAGACATCGCGTCCAAGTGTCGTTCCATCTCGGACGATCTATCCAAGCTTCTGGACACTCTCAAGGCCTCGTCTCAAACATCAACATAGAAAAGCGCTAAGCTTGCAATCCGCAACATGCGAATGAAAGGCCCAGTAGCTGATCTGGAACGTCGACTTGACAAGTACCGCTCACAGCTCCTGCTGCGACTTGTGGTTATCCTTGAGTACGACTTTCCGGTTAACTCCCTGCTAGCCTCCCTAATATACCTACCGAAACGTACGAGGCATGGATTAACAATCTTATAGAGAGCGCCAACTCTGCGTCCAAGTCCAACTGAGCAGCTTTCATACCGACTTGAAGAAAGATTCTGAGTTGGTTATCGAGTACCTGAAAACAATCCAAGATGCCGTCAAGAGACTCGAAACCATTTCACAGAGTCATACCGCTGCCGAGACGTCCAGTAGCCACTCCCCTTCCGATACTTGCCACGTACAACCGGCTCAGTCACAAGGCACAACAACAAAAGTTCTGACTTGAGCCGTATCGAGGCAGCTCTAGACGGTCTTCTTCGTGGGAACTACGGCCCGTCTCCGGAAATCCGAATTCTCCGACATCTTTACTATCCATCCATGTACTCAAGAGAAGACTCGGTCATAGACGCATGTGAGGGCACCTATGCCTGGATCCTGGAAGAGACTGCGGACAGGGACGATGGGTCAGGACCTTCGGATCCCAAAGCGGAACAACAAGACCGTTTGAGGTCAGCTGCGAGGAATGCATTGGCCAACTGGTTACGTAAAGACAGTGGCGTCTTCCACATCTCTGGCCGACCAGGGACAGGCAAATCAACGTTGATGAAATTGCTGCTCAGGCATCCGAGGACTATGCGAGAGCTTGAAACGTGGGCAGGTGATGGCGGATCGAAACTTGTTTTTGGTCACTTCTTCTTCTGGAACTCTGGTGATGAGCCCCAGCGATCGTGGGACGGCCTCTACCGTTCCCTCCTCTTCGAAACCCTCAGAAAGTGCCCCGATCTCATACCAACGGTCTTCCCAAGGCCGTACAAGGCGTTCTCAAGAAGTGGATTCCAAGACAGTATGGATGGGATATACTTTCGGCGGGATGACTATGTCGATGCATTTAATCGGCTCGTCTCAACCTCACCGGGCCCCGAATATCGGTTGTGCTTCTTCATCGACGGTCTTGACGAAATCGGCGCCCAGGACAGCTTCGTGTATCAGACGCTTGCTGACAGTCTCGTAACTGGGTCGTCGAGCGAGAATGTTAAGATACTTGCAACCTCGCGTCCTTACTTTCAATTTCAGGACTCCATTTTCTCTTCCCAACGTCTTCGACTCGACGAGCTGACATCCCATGACATTCGAGTATTTGGGCTTAACACGTTCAAAAAGCGGAAGCGTCTTACCGACGAGATCCAGTCTGCATATCCAGCCTTGGTTGAAAGAGTTGTTGATAAGGCGGAAGGGGTTTTCCTGTGGGCCCATTTGGTCGTCAATTCTCTTATACGCCTGGTTTGCAGTACCAACCGCTGGCGGCACTCGAGAGACGGCTGGACGAGAGTCCACAAGATCTTACCAATCTATACACCCATATACTCGTGACCATTCCTCCACTAGATCGACCCAAGGCCCTCAGCTTTCTGGTTTTTATGGCTTGGAGCCATACCAAACATGAGTTTTCTCCTACAAATGCGTTGTACCTTTCATGGCTGGATGATCTCGGCGCATCTAGCTTCCCTCATAGGGAAAATGAGGGCCCTTATTCAGAAGAAAAAATACAGGACCGGCATCTCCAGGTTGAGTCCCAACTTGGCGACCTCACCCGGGGGCTGTTGGAGGTGAATTCTTCCCACCACAGAGACGAGCACCCGTCTCGGTTCTTTACCAAGCGCGTCGAGTTCTTCCACAAGACCGCCCGCGAGTTCATCTCTGAAAGCCCCGTAGCTCAGGAGTTTCAGAAGCAGCATACGGGTCTCTTTTCTGTCGACTCTCTGGCCAGATTGTGGATGGCAGAGGCAAAGTTTTGTCCAACAAGCATGGCAGGGGAGCTGCCATTTCATCGACATCTCATTGAAAGTCTCGACGACCGAATAACCCCGCGAGCTTGGGAGGCCCTCGACGGTATCGTGGATGCATTCGACGCTCATGTCGACTGGACCTCGCAAACTCGGTCCGCATATGACGCAGTGCCACTCCAGACCCCAACAGGAATAGCGGAAGTGTTCCTGAACCATCCTCCAATGTCGCTCGTGCACCGTATGGCCCAGAAAAACGCGGCGCCCAACTACCTCTCAGTGCACAGGATCAGAAGAGATCCGTCTTTACTGTGCCTGCATGGAACACTATCTCTGCTATTCAGCGCAGCTTACTCAGGCGCACCTGGATCCATCGTTAAGTCGTTACTGGATGAAGGTGCATCTCCAAATGACTTGTTACCAATTCTCCCGACGTGGGAGATTCGTCCACACGCCTCCAGCTGCAAGATATGGGCAGCCTTCTGCGCATTCTTTGGCTCTTTTGCCGTCCTACCGGTAAACCCAGCCGCTGCCCATATTAACCGGACATTAGCTGTCTGGTGGGAGAACATCGAGCAATTTTTATCGGCAGGAGCTAGTCGGGAGTGCTACTTTCTCCTTGACAGAACTCACTATGATCCTATTAGGTCCTGGGTCTTGAAGCCAACCCATGTGATATCACTCAAGGATCTTGCAAACGAGGTGAGGCCCAGGAATTTTGCTGGCATCAATAGCCTTTTGACGCGCTCGCCTACCGCTCTCACCCCTCTCATGGCGGGACTTCAATATGTATTTCCGAACTTTCCTGTCACACAGGCATCCGTGCCTGCGGAGTTGCGGCATTATCGCCAGTTCCACCTTGATATGCAACCTCCTTGGAAGCCGGAATGGCACAGTGCCGAAAAATATATGAGTAGATTTGACAGCTCATACTTCGTCCTCCACTCTGTTTGGTGTGGTGGTGAGGTATTAGAAGCAAAAGGCCTTAGAGTCCGCTTGTCCTAACAGGACATCGGGCCCTGGCGCGCCCTAGTCTTTGTAGCTCTTTGATTCACTTTTGTGGCGTTTCAGCCTAAGTTGAGGCGCATACTTGATGGCTTGATGAGGCGTGTATGTTGTGGTGCAGGCGGAATTGCACGGACCGTTCCGTGGCCCGAGTCGCTGAGGGAGAGCGGGGGCGGAAACAGGAGACCGGTCCCCTACGGGGTCCGCCAATGCCTTTTCGGAACGAGTTGAGAACTTGAGAAGTAAGGCACTTACAGGAGACCGGTCCCCTACGGGGTCCGCCAATGCCTTTTCGGAACGAGTTGAGAGCTTGAGAAGTAAGGCGCTTAAAGTAAGGCGCTTACGCTTACAAGGGTGGGTGGCGTCTGTGTGTGACCATTATTTTTTTGCCTTTTGCGCGCACAAGCTCTGGCTTACTACTCAGACTACTCAGACCCCACATTCGACAGCATTGTAGTTTAACGCTGCTTCGTGTCTTATTTCTTTACCTTTTGGCACATCCAATTTATTCAATCTGAATCTTCCTCAAGAGATGGCATTGAATAATTCTCCATGACTATTGATTACTCGAAATGGGATAACATGGACACGGATTCAGAATCAGAAATTTCGCCTCCGTTAGTCCCTACGCCCCAAGCTCCTGCTCCAGCAGCCCCACAATCAGGTGCATCAGCTACAGCAGCGCCAGTCACAAGCAGTAGACCAGGATCCATCCAAGCCGTCATCGTCAATGCGATGTTGAGAGAATCAGATTCGCACCTTGGTCCGTGACAATGATCCAGGTAGATCATCCCGTCTTCTCTAATTACATCCCCCCCGTCCCGAGACTTATCCAGGTTCCGCTGGTCTTTCACCGTGTCGGCACTCAGTCTGCAAACCGGGCCGACCTCGACAACCAAATGATCACGTATCTCAACAATCGACGATGAATCCGGGTTTGCGCCCTCGGAGTGGCGTTCCTACCTTGCCGCGAGGATTTGCTGACTTTCAAATAAGCGTCTCGTTTCTGCTGCCAGATCCGTCAACCTCTGCATGGCATCAATTATGCCTTGGTCTGGCTGATTCCCGATGAAATCCTGCGGCCGTACGGGACTAAGAAGCTTGATGCCCTGTAGTGTTCTGCACCTAGATATTTGTACATAGAGGCTGGTAAAATCGCATTTCGAAGGCTGACCATTCGTCATACGGTTTCCTCGCAGCTCCAAGAGCACGTCCTCAAAAGTCTTGCCCTGGGATTTATAGTCAGTGAGGACAAAGGATGGGACAACTGGCAGCCCTCGCCGAGCGCATTTCCCGGATAGGAACTTGTAGTGTGAGTTGGCTGGATCTAGGGTATGCGTGGTAGGCCGGATGAGCACGGTGCCCGTTGGGAGGGCTGGGATTGCTAAATCCTTTATTTCTTGCGACTCTAACAATATGCCCAGTGGCGGTCCAAAATGGATGGTAACGTCGTCCGCAAGATGGTAGCCTGGGGATTTCGGATCGGGAATGATGTCCGCAGACGCAAACTCCGCCCCATTTACAACCTTTAAGCCGGTGTATGTATTTTTGTTGATAACTACAGGCATCCCCTGGGCGTAGAAGAAGACGCCAGGGATCTTGCAGTTGGAGTTGTCGCGTTGTTCGATGGTCTGGGCCACCTCCTGCTGGGATAACGCCCGACTGCGCCAGGCGTGGGTTGAGACGAAGACCGAGATATGTCTCCTGCGAAAGCGGGCCCAGTCTACCACGGCTTCCGTGTTGAGGCTCCATCGGTTACGGTTGAGTGGTGTTATGGCGCGCAAGCCATCTTTGAAGGTGAGTTGGGAGCGGTCCACGAGCTTGGTGTTGAGTAGGTCAAGGTCCTCCATTGTCTGGGTTCCAGCCCGTATTCTGTCCAAAAGGGCGCCTAGTTGTGGATCGTCTCGGGCGCGGACTTGTTCCTCAAGGAGAATAACAGTCTTGAACAATAGCCACAGACTGTGGCCGCGGTGGTGAGAAATAGTTGCCTGTCCTAGGGAGGCCGTGTAAGCGAGATCCGCCATTCGGTCCACCAAGAGGCTTGTTTCTAGCACGGGGGCAAACTGGTAGAAATCTCCCATCAAGAGAACAACGGGAATACTGCCAAATGGCTTATCGGGGCAGTCGCGGAGGGCCTGAAGATGGCAGCTGGCATTGAACAGAGTGGCCCCCCCGAGCATGCTCACTTCGTCGATCACGAGAGCCAACTTCTGCTTCCACATCCATTTCTTCGCTTCCGAGAATGTTGGAGGCTGTTTTTTGTTGTAAGAACGGTGGGTGTCTAGTCCCAAGGCCGAGTGAAGTGTGGTGCCGCCGATCTGGGCGGCAGCACTGCCTGATGTACCGGTAATATGGAGGTGATGTGGGTGACCTCTGGCAGTGAACACGTCCCGCAAGGCATCGACAATCCTCGACTTTCCAGTACCACCTGGACCTCCGACGTACTGAAGATGTTGACCGGCGGAGTCAGGGTTGGCGATATATTTGTCCAAGAAGCGGCACACGAGTTGTAGTGCCATGCTCTGCAGATCGTTGAGCGAATAGCTGGAGGCGGCAAGAAGTCCTAGCTCTACGAATCCTCTAGTGGGACCCACCTCAACAAACATCCGAGGATTTTGTGTGACTGGGTATTCATGTTGTCTCGGAATGGGAATTTCTATGTCACACTGCCGAGCAAGCAGATCGTCGATGTCGGCGTCACCAATGGAGGTTGTACCACCTTGGAGGCCGCCCTCCATCTCATCGAGCATCCGGAGATGCAGCAAATCCTGGGCCTTTGCCGCAGCTTGAAGATCTTGTGCAGAAGGAATAGGGCACTGGGATAATGGACTATTCTGGTTATGGCGGATCTGCTGATAAAAACTGTCGTGACGTTGGACGAAAGGCCGATCCTCTTCGACAGGGTTCTCATAGCACAGATCCTGGATCAGGCTCTGCAGGACTGGGGAGTCTCTCGTTGCATCAGAGTCTCGCACGGCACTTCGAAGAGTCTGGAGGAGAGCTGTATAGGTTTGGTGATGCTCTGCCACAGTTGGCTCTGCTGAGATGGGCTCGTCGCTATAATCGCCCTCATCCAGAGGAAAGTCCACATCCACTGTGTCGTCCCCTTCCGACCGGCTGGCCCAGAGCTTTGCGTCTTTACGAGCATCCTCGGCCGACTTTCTGAGGAGGGAGATGTTTGAGACATGGGACCGCAGGCGAGGACAGAGCCTAGCAGCACAGTGAAGCCATATGCCTGTGATATCACCCTGCGTCTCGGAGAGGAAGTTTTCCCATGGCACAAACAAGGCCAGATGGAGAACCGAGTTGCTGCACAGATTGTCAGAGATGGCTCGGGGGTGAATGGGGCAGCAATGGGAGCGTACCGTTTGAAGTACACCGGGTGCTCGTCCATGTGGTCGTCGCTAATGAATCCCTGAAAGATCGGCACCGCGTACTCGGGCGGTTCGCGAAGCTTTTGGATCCATCCGTAGCACTCCGGAGGTCCCTCCAGAGCTAAGTGGGTTTCATCTTCATCTCGGTCGCGGCGACGCTCCAGGGTAATCGTAGACATATAATCATAGAGGCACACGTCTCTCAGAACTTGACCTCGGTAGGCGTATGCATCCAGGTACAATAAAGTCCGACCACTTTCCCGAAATTGTACCGTTTCTGATGGCTCCTCGGCATCTGTTGTTTGTGTGCTGGCTTGGCGACGGAGGTGTATCCAACGCCGAAAAATAGTCCAATAGAGTGCGGTCAAGTTTATGTAGGACCATTGCGGCACGTTAGTAAAGTCCGTTTGATAGCCAAGCAGGAAGTAACAGACCTCCACGGCCGAAAGCTGTCTCTCGGAAAATATCCGATTGGCGGCCCTCATCAGAAACTGACGGCTCTCGTTCACTACGGCCTGGCGCTGGGCATCCTGCTCAGCAAGATTCGGCTCGGGATTCCTCAGCGACGCAGATTCACGAAGCTGTCGAAGAACATCAGCCGCGAAGACAAGGCGTTTCCACATGGGCGTGTCCAATTTCGTGGCGTAGTTCGTGATGTAGAATACCATGGCGAGTCCCTTGGTTCTCGTCAAGATCATCGAGATGTCGTGGTTGTGACGGAGGCCGACTGCCATTGCTTTGTTATACCGGTTGACGAGCGGGTGGCTCCGCCGGATCCTGAGCAGGCCGTCCTCCGTGAATCCGGTGTCGTCGACGATCTTCCAAGGCGCTTTGAATCGACAAGCTGTCCGTTTGTGCTTACCTGCACCCTCTCCGACGAGTCCTTTGAGAGAATACTTGATACAGGTGTAGGTGTGCGAGTGCACCTGGCAACAGTACGCAATGTAATTAGACTCCTTGTCGAAGACTGCTGCGAGAGCCTCGGTGTCTTGCATTATTTCCTCGACCGGGTCAATTGGCTTTCTCTCCTTTCTGACAACTTTTCCGGCTTCCTCATCTAAACATTCATGAAATACCGAGTCTAGATACCGAACCACTTGGGCACGATATTCTCCCTCCTCGGGTTTCGCCATATCATCGATCAGGGAAGGCAACTGCATATTACCCTCCAACCAGAGTAGTCCATGCAAGTGTAGACTGCCACGGTCATTCGTCTCGACTGTTGCGTAGTAATGGCTGATCTTGCCGAAAACCGATTCTTGGCCCGCCCTGACGTATTTCTCAAAGAACAGCGAGATTTCTCGATGGAAGAAGATGGCGGCGCTAACTGGGTCCATGGTGCTGAGGGCGATCCTGTCATACCTTCCCCGGAGATCGGCTAGCAGTTCCTTTGCCGTGTCATGCTCGTGGAGCCTGTGGATGGAGAGCCACATCTTGACCGGATTGTTGATATCGTTGGGGTTGACGGTGATCCAAATAGCAGGCATACCGGTCCAGACGTTCACTGCTTGTATCTTCCTCCGCATCAAGAGTCGAGTTTCGTTGGAGAGCGGCTGTGCGTGGCCAAAGATGGACAATTCGCGAAGCAAGAACGATATGTCCGGATCTGTCTTGGTCCTTGTCTCCCGCATCTCCTCCTCGGCTCTTTTTAGGCGGTCCGCCGTCAGGCGTCCAAAGACCCGTTCCAGTCTGTCGAACGAGCCCCTTGCCATACGGACCATGCTGATACGTCGGTTCGTGGATCGCAGGAGGATGTTGAAGACCAAGAAACAAAAGACCGGATGGGTAGCAAACCGACCCCCATGTCGTCGCAACACATATTTGGCCCAATAATTGAGCGAGTGATTTGCACCGCGCCTTGCTGGCTCCGAAGCGTCGTGTAAATTGCCGTCTGGCTCGCTTAGCGCCTTAGGGCCACCTCTCCCCCACGGGAAAAGCTTCGGAAAGGTCCGTGGAAAGAAGTCCTCGTGCAGGTTGTCCGCGAAATCCGCACCTCGCTCGACTCGGATGAACGGTTGGTCTCCTGCTGCGTGGACAGCCATAGCGGAAGGTTCAACATTATTGCCGTGTCCAGTATGACTCGGCTGGATAGCCTCAGCTAGGAAGGATAGCTTATCAGCCTCAGCGAAAGCGGACGGCCCGTCCAGAGGAAACATGCCGGACGTTGACGTCTCGTATAGGATATCACCGTCACGGTCGAGGCTCTCTGGGTCAGGAGCAGACATATGGGCATTTTCAGGTGGTGGGTGAGGCTGTTCCATCGACGCATTGTCAACTGAGATAGGGGTGTCGTCGCTTGGGTCTGGTCGTAGCGAGGTGAGGAGGTCTTCAATGCTTGTGAAACGGTTCTCCTCTAATCCGCGATCGGTATTCGGGACGATTGGGTCAGTTTGTGTCTTTTCCACCGCCGAGGGTTCCTCCCTCTGCATCCGCTCCATGAGAACGGCGGGAACATTTGAGCCCTCTGCGTAGTGCCAGCTCTGTATTTCATCCAGGTTGATTTCAATGTCCCTGTAAAGGGGATTGTTCCTCTGTAGCCACAAAAGGGCAGCGGTTACTCGAGACTTGCGCACCTGAAGAAGCGTCCCCACTTCCGCTGGGCTTGGTCTATTGGCGCCGCTCCAAGAGACATGGATGTTCTCGATTGTCTGAAGAAGCGGGTGAGGGAGCACCGTGGCAACTAGGTCATCTACATTATTCGGAAATACGACAATGTGACCCTTCACGTGTTTCCGGTAACTGACACCTGACGGCGATTTGTTATCAACAGTGAACTTCGTGATATAGCCGAAAGGGGCCTGAAGAGCGATCAGTCTCTCCTCGACAGGAGAGAGGCCATCGAGCTCCCTAGGATAACGATGCTCACATCCGATATCCATGTTGTTGACCGAGCAGGCCTTTGGCAGCTTCCCTTTTTCAAAACCGCTGCGGCACTCGAGGCAAATGTCGACCCCATCGCCACCATCTGGTGGGAGACACTTCTTGCATTTCTGAAGAGCCGTCGTAGCCTGCACCAACGCGGGAATCAAGTAATTTCTCCACTGGGTGGTAGTGAGCTTGGCTCGCGGGCATTTCCTGTAGCAAAATATGCAATGGGAAATGGATAACGTGCTCTCGTCGGTGAAGGCCTCATAGAATGACTTCGAAGTCTCAATTTGAAGGGCGAGGGGGACTTCTTTGCACCAGGATCTTGATAACGATGCGTCCCTCTTAGCGTGAAAGCACGACTCTCGGTATTGTAGAAATGCGTCGAGGGATTGCTGCTGGAGTTGGACGGTCTCGTGCAGCTGCCTAGGCCTTTTCCGGGAGCGGCTTGGCCCCGAGGGCGGTGGAGTCAGAAGGCCTTCTTGTTGTGCTCGATGGCGCTTGCGGGAAGGCGGTGTCTGCGGAGGACGGAAGGTCGGTTCGGGGGTGATTGGCCCTTGTACCGGCTCGGTATCGGTCGCCGTTAGGCGGTCCAGATCATCACACGTGCGGGGACGGGCCGTTCCTCCGGAGTGCCGCCGGTTTAGCTCATCCAATGTACGAGCGATCTCTTCGGGAGGTAATAAGATCTTCCCCTGTCGGACAGTGCCTTGCGTCCGATGAAGTGTTTCTTCCGCATGCTGGCGGTCTAGGTTCTTCAATGTACGTGTGATCTCCTCAGTTGGTAGTCCAAGCCTGCCGTCTCGGAGCTGCGACTCCACGGCCTCTTGTGGACGCTCTCCTTGTCTCCGACGGGTAGTTTCTTCGGTATGCTGCCGATCTAGATCAGCCAACGTACGGGTGATCTCCTCGAGGGGCACCATGACCCTCTCGCCTTGGGTCTGTGGCTTCGATGCTTCTTGCTGGCGACCCCGTTCTCTCTGATGGGCTGTGTGTTCGGTATGCCGGTGATCCAAACCATCGATTGTACGGTTATCCTCCTCAAGGGGTACCCTGAGCTTCCCATTTGGGAGATCTGATTCCATGACCTCCCGGGACCGAGCTATTCGCCTTCTACGAGTTGTTTCTTCGGCACGCTGACGGTCTAGGTCATTCATCGTGCGGGCGATTTCCTCCGGAGGTAACATGGCCTTCCCACCTCCCCTCCCGCGGGCTCTTTCTTCCACATGCTGGCGGTCCAGGTCGCTTAACGTACGGCGAATCTCGTCAAGAGGGACTCTAACCGGCTCCTGTGAGGAATTTCGGAGAACCTGTATGGCCGTCTCGTCAACGAAGGCTCCACCCGGCCGGTTTCGTGGCTGGGTAGTTTCGAAGCCCCGCTGAGCTCGGTCTCGAGCGCGTTGGCGGTCTAGATCTTCCAGCGTTCGGCGAATCTCTTCAAGCGGAACCTTCACTGGCTCTGGTCGAGGCATGGTGTAAGCGGGAACAGCAGGATCTGCTCGTGTGAAGAGCGAAAAAGAATAGGCAGAGAAAAGGGCGCCATGCCGGACCGATAGAGGGCCAAACGGGAGAAATAAGCGTGTCCATCGTCGAAGAAACTGGCCTTGAGAGCCCAAGGGAGGCACGAGGGAAGGGTCAATGCACTGTTGTAGCTCGTTCTATCACAGCAGCAGTTTCCTGGAGCTGGCAACTGCGCAAAGCGTGGCCCGTCAAAGATCAGGTCGCTCATTCGTAGTGTCACACGGATAGGGCCTATCCGAGCCGGAAAGAGACTATCCGAAGGATCAGGGCTCCTAATAGTGCAGACCATTTACACTATTAGTGCAGACTACAATCCAAGATCAATAATCAATCCACGACGGGCGTTCGTGGATTGACGACTAGGATGATGCGCCCCTTGAAACGAGCCTTGTTGATCCGGATCGCACCAGTGAATTGATCAGAAATATCCAAAACAAAGTGGTTGGCACAGCAACAATCATGGGTACCCTGGTTTTGTAACACCATGCCAACAACCTAGCGTACTTAGCGTCCACACCGGGCGTCCGTATTCCCTGCCCTGATCTGCAGTCTGCACTAATAGTCTAAATGGTCTGCACTATTAGGAGCCCTGTTGATAGCTGGTATAGCTAGATAGTCTCCTGCACGCCCCATGCCCTTCGGGAGGCTGGGAATATCTATTCCCCCCGGCGTTAAATAAAAGAAGAAGAAGAAGAAGAAGAAGCAGCTTAACAACGGCCTCGTGCCCGTTCTCGGCGGCATACCACAGCGGCGTCCAACCATCACTGTCTGTCGACTCGATGTTGGCTCCCCCCTCGAGAAGCAGTTTGACAATGGCCTCGTGCCCCCTCTCTGCTGCCCATAACAGCAGTGTCTTGCCGAATATCGAGTCTTTGGTCTCCAGGTCAGCGCCCTTTTCGACTAGCAGCCTGACGATCTCATCGTGGCCCTTCTCTGCCGCCCGGAATAGCAGCGTCTGAATCTCATCGTCCTTTGTATTCATATCGACGATCCCCCGTTCCAGTACTTTAAGTAGCAGACTGTATATCACCGGTTCATGCTCTGAAATGCACCAGCCGTGCTGCAGCCAATATTGCTTCGCATAGGAGTAAAATTGGAACTGATCTACAGAAGGCGATTTAAAATGCTTGCTTGCATCTGCGAGGACTTTGCCAATGTCGCAGTTAGGCTGTCTCCGGGACTGCAAAAGCTTTAACGCAAGGCTTCGAACGCTGCCCGAAGCGTCTATCGAGCGGATGATCCTGGACGGCGCTGCTTCAGCCGGTATTTGCGGGACTACCATAGTAGATAGTTGAGTATCGAAAACATTGTAATTGAGGTAGGTGATGATAACCTCTCTCATCGTCCTATTTGCGCTGTCCACTGTAAATATCGCGCCAGTCGAGTGTCTGAAACCGCCAAGGAGGAATTGCTTGACGCTATGGTGCACCAATCTTACGGTCGGCTCTTCTTCATCGACGGCAATGAGGCTTCCGCAGCGGGCCAACGCCGAATATACATCGTTGGGGAGCCGTGCCGGGTTCCAGACAGCATCGCCTGGAACTACGCTCAAGGCTTCTCGAAGTTCCTCCGTGGTCAAAGGCCGGTGAGCTACGGCAACAAGCTCAAATATCCGCGTCTGATAATGCTTTCCTAACTCTCCTGATCTCTGCAGAATACGAGAAAACGTTTCTGGGAGATCTTTTGGGAGGTCCTTCAAGGCCAGGCGAATGGCTTCATCTGTCTTCGCGGCGCACAAGGATTCTATCTGAAGAGCCACCCAGAGGAACATTCCCTGAGCACCTTGCAGCAGGGCGTCCTCTATTTCAAGGATAAGCGCAGGGTCCCCTATCGTGAGCCGCTTTCTAGGTTCTCTGGATTCTATGCGCCTCTCCAGCTCTGCACTGATGAAGCCTGCAATATCGGGATTGTCGTCAGGAATCGCAATGGTGCTATGTTTGGCGAACAGTTCCGGGCTCAACCTCAAGACATTATCGGCCTCCAATCTAAATGAAACGCAAATACGCAGTGCGAATGCGTCCTGGAGTTTCCGGAGTTGTTGAATTAATGTCCCTCTCTGAAGATCATCACATTCATCCAGCCCGTCCAGGACAAAGGAAGCTTTGGAGTCAGGTGGAAGGGCGCGCTGGAGGATGCTGAGTATTCTTTCGGAATCCACTGAAGTAGTCTTATCGACGAGTTCCTCTACCATGGTGAGGTCTGGAATTGGGCGCAACAATTGTCGAGCCAAAGAGCCAAAGACTGTGCGCGCTTTCAAGCTCTCGGAAATGTCGTGGCGACAAAAGAAATACGCCACTGGGCATTCCGTACTTTGAACATGAAGGTTTAAATCATCGACAATATTGGCCAGCAGAACGGACTTTCCCGACCCTAGCTTGCCTTTACACACTAGTGTGCAAGAATCTGCTCGGACTTTCCAGCGCTGGTATTCAGGGGCCTGGTTGAACAAAGTCGCGTTTCCAACCTTTCGAATCTCCTTCCACGTCTTCTGATAGTCGTATGTGGAGCAGGAATCGAGGACACGGGCATGAACCTTCAGCCTTTGGCGGTGCGACTCGGATTCAGAGAACCTCAACAGAGCTTTGAAGCGGGAGCTCTGCTCCTCAATGGTCTGACCCATCAGCAGGCTCACCTCCTCTCTGATCAAACTGGCCCACCGGTCGAGCTCCGATTGGTAGTTCTTCATATCGGAGTCGCTTGGGAACGACACCAGCTGTCCCAAGATCGACTTCTTTGTCAACTTCAACAGCTGGTGACAGAGACGAACAACCACGATGAAATATTCAGCCAGATGCGACTGCAGAATCTTGGACCGGGGATAGAGCAAAGCCATCTTTTCGTAACGGGGAGCCGAGCGACCGACGATCATGAGAAGAGTCGACAACTTTTCGAGGCAGGAAGAGAAGTTTACGAGCGACTATGTAGGACGTCAGCTGGAGAACGAAAGAATGAGATTGGAAAAGACCAACAAGCAATGTCATTCGCACCAGTGACCAGACGCCGCATGCAATCATGTTCTGGGAACCGCCAACTATGATGTCCCCGAGCGCCGCGAACTGCTGAACGGCTTGTAGTACATTGGTCAAACGAGGTCCGAAACATCGCCCGCCACCGAGCTTCCCGGAGGTGTGACGGTCAATTTCGGCCGTGAGTCGCATGACATCGTGGATACCTGGGGGGGATTTGCACGATTGGGATCTGTAGGTACGGAAGGTAGCCTTCTGCTCGGTGGAAAGATCTGCCTCGAACTCCGAAGCGGCTTGCGCCAGGCGAATCTCAGCCTTCAGCGGCGCGGCTTTTGCCAGTGCAGAAGACATGGTGATGACACTCCGATGCGCCATTCAAGATAGAAATGGGGGTCGCCCCGCTTTCTTTGATTGTAATGGAGTGGTGGTTTTGTCAACAGATTGGCGACAACACCCCAAGCTGAAAAAGTTGTGGAAGAGCGGGGTAGACAAGTGCGGCTTCGAGCTGCAATCTGAGTGGCGGTGCGCTGGCTGTGAGGTATTGACGCCTCTCGAAACACTGTAGTCTTTGACGTGTGTTAAGTACCAACTACCTCGTTTGCATTGGACATCTGTCCGGCGTTCAGTAGATACACGGGAACGCAAGTCGATAAGCTGCTTCCCACCTCCGGAATGCCAATAAAAGTTGCTGGCTAATAGTCTGGGTCAGAAGAGCTGTCGGATGGGCCCCTGTGACTATGTGTGGCTTCGGAGGGAATCTAATGCATACTGTGGCTTATGAATTGTAGTGGCTTAACAGTTGAAGGGCGGCCAATACATGGCTAGGTGCCCATGTATTGGCCGCCCAGTTGAAGCTTTTGCTTAATAGGCACGTGCAAAAACCAAAACAGATCGCCAACGTAAGGGGATGTTTACTCTCTACGTGTGTTTTCGCGACGCGTTTGAAGGCGATTACACGCGTTGGCTGGTTGTGGAACTAGCCAATAAGACGGAAGGGTAGCGGGCAGCCTACTGTGGGGCAGGTGAGCCCACGCTGGCGAAGCTCACCGGCTCCGCTGGGTCGCGCGATTGGCCGGGGTGCTGGAGCAAAATGCTTCATCCTAATCCCAACCAGAAGAAAGATACAATTTTTTAAGGAAATGGTGAACTGGAGTAGGAGTAGGGCCGAGAACGGCATAATCGCGGTGCTCCTAATGTGGACTAGCGCAGATTTTTGTATTTATGACCGCTTCTGCACCTAGAATTCCTCTCCTCTTTTCTTATAGAATAGGCCACGTTTTGCTCCTTTTGATGCCTGGATATCAGTCAGTATGGATGGATGCATAGATTTTAATTCTCCTGGAATCATCCCTAGAATGGCAGAATTTATATTTCTATGAATTGAACGTATAGGCACTTGACGCTCCAATTGACCAACTTGCAGAACCGGCTGGCTGAGGTTGGTAGCCAGGCGGGTGCGGGGAAAAAAAGTGGCGCAGGGGAAAAAAAAGGTGGCGCGGGAAGAAAAAAAGGTGGCGCAGGGATTGTGGTGAAGCGGTTGTGGTGCAGGCGGCTCGCACGGACCATTCTGTTGGCCCGAGCTTACGAAGGAGGGCGCGGAAGGAAGAACCTTTCGTTCCTCAAGGCATTCAGCAACAGGAGACCGGTCCCTGCGGGCCCGCCAATGCCTTTCGGAACGTCCCTCGGATCCTCTGATTTCCCTATGGCTCTTCGATGACGGCTCGGTATATTGATTGAGGGTATACGGTGTTAGGTGGTGAGTAAAGGACGAAGGTTTTCGTTTCGCATCACTATGGCTTACAGCCCAGAACCTTATCTGCCGTGTGACGTAAGGATTCGATACCATGGGAATTTTAAAAAGAACTTGACTCATCTTCTAACAACAAAACTGAAAGCTTTCGAAATAGCAAATATATATTATATCCCTATCTTTATTTCTTTGACCGCCTGATCTTCCTCGGGTCGTAGGACTGAGCCACTCTCCATGGCGCCAATCGATTACTCCAAATGGGACAACATAGACACCGATTCCGAGCCACAAACCCCCACTCAGCAGGTGTCTCCGGTCGAAGCAAACCCAGCACCTGCCCCAGCCACCTCCCAGTCGGCTGCACCGGCATCGACGGCAACACACAGCGCGTTGGGGTCCATCCAAGTCGTCATCGTCCGGTGCGACGTTGAGAGACTGAAATTCGCACCTTGGTCCGCCACGTCGATCCAGGCAGATCATCCCGTTTTCTCGCAGCCCGTGCCTCCTGTCGCAGGACTTATCGAGGTCCCGCTGGTCCTCTACCGCGTAGGCACTGAGTCGGCAAACCGAGCCGACCTCGACAACCAGATCGCCACGTATCTCAATATCGACGCCGAGTCCGGGTTTGCGCCCCCGGAGTGGCGGTCATATGTCGGTACCGTCGTGGTTGCGCGCAAGGACATGAAGCCGTTGCTGCCGCACCATCTTGAGGGCGTGTGGATGTTCTGTGACCGCATTCTGGACCTCTTCGGAGAGGGAGAAGGCGCGCCGAGAAGTCTGTACAATAGACAGGCCTTCGAAGAGTGGTGGAAAGATTATTGCGAGGAACAGAAGGAGTTCCGGCCGGGGAACGGAGGCGAGAAGGATCCGGATGATTGGCGGGCGGTGAGGTCGCCGTATGAGATGTAGGGGTGTTAATTCGCCCTAGGCGTGTGTCCTGAATAACAGAAACGTTGTGTCTCGCCGTCGGGCGATCTTTTGGATGGAATCTCACGCTGTCCTACGGATGGCTTTGCTGACTTTCAAATATCCGTCTCGTTTCTGCCGCTAGATCTGTCAACCTCTGCATGCCATCAACTATACTCTGGTCCAGCTTATTGCCGATGAAATCCTGGTGTCGTACGGGACTGAGAAGTTTGATGCCTTGTAGTGTCCTACACCTGGATAGCTGTACATAGAGACTAGTAAAGTCGCATTTAGAAGGCTGGCCATTGGTCATACGATTCCCTCGCAGCTCCAAGAGCACTTCCACAAACGTCTTGCTTTGGGCTTTATAGTCAGTAAGAACAAATGCCGGGACAACCGGCAATCCCCGGCGAGTGCATTTCCCCGATAGGAACCTGAAGCGGGAGTTGGTCCCTGTTGGGAGGGCTGGGACGGCTATATCCTTTGTCTCTCGCGATTGTAATAATATGCCCAGTGGCGGGCCAAAGTGGATGGTGACGTCGTCCGCAAGATGGTAGCCTGGGGATTTCGGATCGGGGATGACGTCCGCAGCGGCAAACTCGGCCCCATTCACAATCTTCAAGCCAGTATATATATTTTTATTGACAACTACTGGCATCCCCTGGGCATAGAAAAAGATACCAGGGGCCTTGCAGTTGGAATCGTCTCCTTGTTCTATAGTCTGGGCGATCTCGTTCTGAGATAGGGTTCCACTCCGCCAGGTGTGGGTCGAGACGAAGACAGAGATATGTCTCTTGTTAAACCGGGCCCAGTCTACCACAGCTTCCATGTTGAGGCTCCATCGGTTGCGATTGAGCGGCGTTATGGCGCGCAAGCCATCTTTGAAGGTGATTTGGGAGCGGTCCACCAGCTTCGTGTTGAGCAGGTCAAGGTCTTGCTGTGTCTGGGCCCCCGCCCGTACTCTGTTTAAAAGAGCGCCTAGCTGAGGATCGTCTCTTGCGCGGACTTGCTCCTCGAGAAGAACGACTGTCTTGAACATCAGCCATAGACTGTACCCACGGTGGTGGGAAATGGTCGCTTGTCCCAGTGAGGCGGCGAAAGCGGGATCCACGATTCGGTCCACAAGGATGCTTGTCTCCCGCACTGGGGGGAACTGATAGAAATCCCCCATCAAGAGAACAACGGGAATGCCGCCAAATGGCTTATCTAGGCAGTCGCGGAGCGACTGGAGGTGGCAGCTGGCGTTGAACAGAGTGGCTCCTCCAAGCATGCTCACTTCGTCGATCACGAGGGCTAGCTTCTGCTTGCACGTGCATTTTTTAGCTTCCGAGAATGTTGGAGGCCGTGTATTATGAGAGTGATGAGTATCCAGTCTGCAGGCCGAATGGAGTGTCGTCCCGCCGATCTGGGCTGCCGCACTGCCTGACGTGCCGGTAATCTGAAGCTGATGTGACTGACCTCTGGCCGCGAATACGTACCGTAAGGCATCGACGATCCTGGATTTTCCAGTACCGCCTGGTCCTCCAACGTACTGAAGATGCTGACCAGCGGAGTCAGGGTTGGCAGCGTACTTGTCCAAGAAGCTGCACACCAGCTGAAGAGCCATACTTTGCAGATAGTTGAGCGTATAGCTGGAGGCGGCAAGGTGCCCCATCTCTACAAAGCTTTTGGTGAGGCCCACGTCGAGAAAGATTCGAGGACCTTGTATGACTGGGTCTTCATCTTGCCGCGGAATGGGAATCTCTGTGTCGCAATGCCGAACAAGCAGATCGTCGATGTCGGCGTTACCCGTGGAGGTTGTGCCACATTGGAGACCGCCCTCCCTCTCATCGAGCATTCGGAGATGCAGCATGTCCTGGGCCTTTGCCGCGGCCCGAACATCCTCCCCAGAAAGAGTCGGATGCTGGTATAAGGAGCTATCCTGGTTACGGCGAATTTGCTGATAAAAACCTTCCTGACGTGGGACAAACGGCCGACTCTCTTCAGCCGGGTTCTCTTGGCACAGGTCCCGGATCAGGCTCCGCAAGACTGGGGAGTCCCTCGTAGCGTCGGAGTCTCGCACGGCATTGTGCAGAGCTCGGAGAAGAGCTGTATAGTTTTGGTGATGCTCAGCCGTCGTTGCAGACTCTTCACTACAGTCGCCTTCATCAAGAGGGAACTCTACGTCAACCGTATCGTCGCCCTCCGACCGGCTGGCCCAGAGCTTTGCGTCTTTGCGTGCGTCTTCGGCTGATTTGCTGAGGAGGGAGATGTTCGAGACGTGGAAACGCAGCCGGCCGCAGAGAGAAGCTTCATAGGTTGACCATATATCGGTGATATCGCCGCGTGTCTCGAAAAGGAAGTCTTCCCAAGGTACGAATAAGGCCAAATGGAGAACGGAGTTGCTAGGCGGAAGGGGTCAGAGTTGGCCCGGAGTCGGTAGCATAGACTCTGGAGACGTACCGTTTGAAGTACACGGGGTGGTCGTCCTCGTGGTCGTTGCTGATGTATCCCTGAAAGATCGGCACGGCGTATTCGTGAGGTTGCCGAAGTTTTTGCAACCAGCCGTGGCATTCGGGAGAGGATCCCTCAAGAGATATGTGGGTTTCATCCTCATCTCGGTCACTGCGACGCACCAAGTCAATCATCGACATATAGTCATAGAGGCACAGAGATCTCAGAACTTGACCTCTGCAGGCATAAGCGTCCAAGTACAACAAGGTACGCCCGCCTTCCCTAAGCTGCACCGCCTCAGGAGGCTCCTCTAGGTCCGTTTGTACGCCGGCTTGACGACGAAGATGCATCCAGCGCCGGAAGACGGTCCAATACAGTGCGGTCAGATTTAGGAAGGACCAGTGCGGCACGTTGGTAAAGTCCGTCTGATAGCCCAGCAGATGGTAACACACCTCTACAGCCGAGAGCTGTCTCTCGGAAAAGATTCGATTCGCAGCCCTCATCAGAAACTGACGGCTCTTGTTCAGCAGGGCGGGGCGAGCGTCACGCTCGGCGGGGTCCGACACCTGACGCCTCCGCTCAGCAGATTCAGAGAGCTGTCGGAAGACCTCAGCTGCTAGGACAATACGTTTCCACATTGGCGTATCCAGTTTAGTGGCGTAGTTCGTGATGTAATACACCATGGCCAGGCCCTTGGTCCTCGTCAAGATCATCGAGATGTCGTGGTTGTGGCGGAGGCCGATCGCCATTGCTTTGTTATATCGATTGACTAGCGAGTGGTTCCGACGGATATTGAGTAGGCCATCATTTGTAAATCCTGTCTTTTCGACAATTTTCCAGGGCGCCTTGAACCGACACGCGGTCCTTCTGTTACTGTCCGCACTCTGTTCGGCGAGTCCCTTCAGAGAATACTTGAGACAGGTATAAGTGTGGGAATGAACTTGGCAACAGTACGCGATGTAGTTGGCCTCGTTTTCGAAGGCCGCAGTGAGAGCTTCGGTGCTGTTCATGATTCCTTCGTCGGGGTGGATCGGCTTCCTCTCCTGTCGGACAGCATTCCCGGCGTTCTCGTCTAAACATTCATGAAAGACCGAGTCCACGTACCGAGTCACTTGGGCACGGTAATCTTCTTCTTTGGGGTCGGCCATGTCGTCGATCAGGGCCGGCAACTGCATGTTGCCGGCCAACCAGAGTAGTCCATGTAGATGTAGACTGCCGCGTTCGTTCGTTTCCACCGTTGCATAATAGTGGCTGATCTTCCCGAAAACCGATTCTTGGCCTGTCCTGACGTATTTTTCGAAGAACAAAGAGACTTCTCGGTGGAAGAAGATGGCGGAGCTGACCGGGTCCATGGTGCTAAGGGCGATCCTGTCATACCTCCCCCGAAGATCGGCTAAGAGTTCCTTTGCCGTGTCATACTCGTGGAGCCTGTGGATGGAGAGCCACATCTTCACCGGGTTGTTGATGTCATTGGGGTTGATGGTAATCCAAATCACGGGCGTGCCGGTCCAAATGTCAAGTGCTTGTATCTTCCTCCGCATCAGGAGTCGGCTTTCGTTCGAGAGCGGCTGTGCGTGGCCAAAGATGGACAGCTCCCGGAGCAGGAACGATATGTCGGGGTCAGTCGTCTTCCTCGTCTCTCGCATCTCATTCTCGGCGGCTTTTAGGCGGTCCGTCGTCAAGCTCCCATACACCCGTTCAAGTTCCTGAAAAGAACCCTTTGTCATGCGGACCATGCTGATACGGCGGTTGGAGGATCGCAGGAGGATGTTGAAGACCAAGAAACAGAAGATGGGATGGGTGGCAAACCGACCTCCGTGTCGTTGCAGAACATACTTGGCCCAGCAATTGAGCGAATGGTTGGAATGTCGCCGAGTATGCTCTGAAGCATCTCGTCGATTGGAATTCGATTCCCCCAGTGTCTTTGGGCCACCTCTCCCCCACGGGAAAAGCTTCGGGAAGGTCCGCGGGAAGAAGTCCTCGTGCAGGGTATCTGCGAAGTCGGCACCACGCTCCACTCTGATGAACGGCTGTTCACCTGTTGTCTGAAGGTGCATAGCGCATGGCTCAGCATCGTCGGCTTCTCGACTCTGACTCGTCTGGAGAGCGTCGGCTAAGAAGGACAGCTTATCGGCCTCCTCGAAAGCAGCTGGCCCGTCAAGGGGAAACATGCCAGAGGATGACGTCCCATAAACGACTTCACCGTCGCGGTCGGCATCATCTGGAGGCAAGGGATGGTGCTGTTCGATCGACAGAGTGCCATCCGGAGGGCAGTGGCCGGAGCCGGAGCCTGTTGGTGCTGAGGTGGTGAGGAGTTCAACACTCACGAACCGGTTCACCTCCAACCCTCGATCGGTATCTGGGACGATATGATCCGTCTGCGTCTTCTCAGCAGCCGACGGCTCCTCCCTCTGCATCATATCCATGATGAGGGTGGGAACATTAGAGCCCTCCGCGTACCGCCAATCGTCTATCTCGTCGTGATTGATTCTGATGTGCTCGTAAAGCGGATTGTTTATCTGGAGCCACGACAAGGCAGCCCTTACACGGGACTTGCGCACTTGGAGAAGATGCCCAACGTCTGCAGAGTTAGGTTTGCTCGAACCACTCCAAGAGACGTGGATGTTTTCGATGGTCTCCAGAAGAGGGTGGGGTAGAACTGTAGCAACGAGGTCCTCCACCTTGTTCGGAAACACCACAATATGGCCCTTCACGTGCTTCCGGTAACTGAGGCCCGACGGGGTCTTGTTGTCGACGGTGAACTTTGTGATGTAGCCGAAAGGGGCCTGGAGAGCAATCAGCCTCTCTTCAACAGGAGAGAGGCCATCGAGCTCTTCAGGGTACCGATGCTCGCATCCGATGTCCATGTTGTTGACCGAGCAGACCTTCGGAAGCTTTCCATTTTCCAAGCCGGTGCGGCACTCGTGGCACACCTGAACTCCATCCCTGTCGTCCAGTGGAAGGCACTTCCTGCACTGCTGAAGAGTCCTCGTGGCCTGCAGCAAGGAGGGCGTCAACTGCCTCTTCCACTGGATGGTGGTAAGTTCGCAAGGCGCATGCTTTCTGTAGCAGAAGACGCAATGCGAAATTGGCAACGTCTTTTCATCCGTAAACGCCTGGTAGAAGGACTTGGCAGCGTCGACCTGGAGAGCGAGTGGGACCTCTTTGCGCCATGATCTTGTTGCTGATGCCTCCTCTTTGTCGCGAAAGCAAGATTCGTGGTATTGTAGAATAGATCTGAGAGACTCCCGCTGGAGCTGGACGGTTTCCCGTATCGGCCGCGGCCTCGTCGGGGCGCGGTTTGGTTGCGTGTTCGGCGGAGTTGGAAGCGTTTCCTCCATCGACCGCCGCGTCTTCTTCGGGGAGCGGTTTGGTTTCGGGGCATGGTTTGGTTGCGTGTTCGGCGGAGTTGGAAGCGTTTCCTCCATTGACCGCCGCCTCCTCTTCGGGGAGCGGTGTAGGTGCGTAGGCGACGGAGCTGGAAGCGCTTCCTGTTCCCTGTGGCGCTTTGACGAAGGAAGGGTCTGTGGAGGGCGGTACAACCTGTTGGGAGTGGTCGGCCGCTCTATCTGTTCGGTCTTTCCGGCCCTTTGACGGGCTCGTTCTTCGGCGCGCTGGCGGTCCAGATGATCCAACATGCGGAGGATCTCCTCATGGGGGACTCTGACCGGCTCCTTTTGGGGCTCGAGGAGGGCTTGTAGAGTGGCATCGTCGGGAGGGACTCTGACCGGCTCTTGCCTGCGGTGGACGGCCCTCTGGGATGTCAGGGAATTTGGAACCGTCGATTGGGAGGCTCCCTGCCTCCCTCGGGCCCTGTTCTGAGTGCGTTGCCGATCCAGATCTTCCAACGTACGGCGGATGTCATCAATTGGAACTTTGACTGATTCTTGACGGGGCATGATAACAAGTGGATGTGAGGCATGGGCGTGGTGAGGACGAAAAGGAGAGGTAAAACAAATGGCGCGCCATCAGGATAGGAGGCAGCTAACAAAAGAGAGACAATCGACCGCCACTTGAAAAGAAAAAAACAACTGAGGGCTACCGGTAGGACGGCCTCCCCGTGCCACTGACAAAATCGCAACCATTTCAACCATTTCAACCAATTTTACCAATTTTACCAATTTTTCGAAGCGAATTCTCCGTGGATGTACGGACGGTGGCGGGGTCGGTGATAAAAATAAAACGATAAAAACGAAACGACAGAGGGAGCGTTAAAAGTGGCGCGGGGGGGCAGATGAAGAGCTCTGTGGATTTACGGACGGTGGCGGCGCTCCGGGAACGGTCCCTCCCCGCCAGGTCACGGCAGGGCTCCGAGGTCCCCTGCTCCGTGATCCGGCGTGATCCGGCGGGCCGCAAGAATAGCGGCGCACGGTTTCCGGACCGTGGCTTTAGTACGGTGGGCGATAGGGGGCACTGGCGCAAAACCCCCGGTCGTTTCCTTTTGGGTTTAGGTGCCCATCTCCTTAGTCATCTCAGTACTTTGGGTCGCGATGGGATATGTACTGCGGACTAGCAGCGGGCTCGCGCGGTGGCCTAAGGTCCGGTTTCCTGCTCAATGTCGACAGGTGGAAATGGTGAACCGGTTGCGACCAAACAGATACTTCGCAGCAACATATCCCCATAGTTCTGACAATCTTCAGTTGATCATTTCTAAACCAATCTACTACCTAACTGTCTTTGCTATTGTCGCAATCGAAACGCAATCATGTCAGAAATCTCGCTGGCTTAGCTGCCAATTCAGCTTCCGCTCGCGATGAGAGCAGCGTGGCGAGCCCGCAAGTACGGTGGCACATTAGGCACTCACCGCCAAAGTGCAAAAAGTGAAAATCTGAAAATTTTCATTGACATCGAATACAGGGCTCTAGCCCCTATAGCCCGCTATAAATACAGGGCTCTGCCTACTGAAGCCCACTATAGTCTGCACACTTTTTAGTAGGCGATAGTGACCGCATCTCCAAGCTTCGCAGCTAGCAACTTTTACATTAGCCAGCCTTCTACTGAATACAGCGCTATAGCTGCTATAGCTAGCTACATTAAAGAAGGCTGCCGCTACTATGGCTTCGTGCGAGAGGCAGCGTTGCGGCTGGTGCAGCCGGATATATGTCCTCTTAGCTGCGGCTGCTAAAGCTCCGTGCGAAAGTGAGGGCTGCGGCTCTGCAGCCTGCTATAAGATAAGGCTGCAGCCTGCTGGAGCCTGAGGGTTATAGTGGGGTACAGTGGTTAAAGTGTGGTCACTCTAACCCGCTATAAAATATAGGGCTCTGACCACTATGGACCACTATAAAAAATGCATGTTATAGCGGGCTACAGGAGCTATAGCCCTGTATCGAAGTTGATGAAAATTTTCAGATTTTTTGTCATTGCATTTTGGCGGTGAGTGCCTAATGTGCCACCGTACACAAGAGCTCACCGCAGTAATCCCGCTCCTGGTCAGCAGCGGACTAGCTCAGCGACCTCCTGCTGAAATGAGCCTAGCGACTTCAACCACGATCATAGGAAGGCCGATGTTGTTCGCTCTTATTAAATTAAAGCCTCAGTAAAATTTGGACTCTCCCATTTTACACGACCAGCTCCTGCTTTGGCTTCGTTTGGCGAAGTAGTTGTGAGGAGCCTCGAGGAGAGAAAGGTTATAGCGCTGAAGACCATCGCCGGGGCTGCTCGGCTCTAGATTGTAAGTATAGCCAAGTCGGAAGATGCAAGTTCAAGTACTTACTCTATGTTCAGCAACTGAGGTCAGTCGGACGAGGAGGAGAATGAGGATAATTTGGAAGTGTCGGTTCTAATCCAGCTGCCACATGATGCTACATGTCGTTATGAATGGAATTGAAATGCATTCTGCTGGCTCGCTGCGGACACGTTGCTGCGACTGCATCTTCCGCGCCGCCTCAAAAACCAAGAAATTCAAGCTGAGGTACAAACTTCAATGTACTGTGGGGCCGTTTGACAACGCTGCTAACCCAATTTGGCACCTTCGAGGTGGTTTTGGGGGTTTTGCAACAGTGACCCCTATAGCCTGCCGTACTTTAGTGGCTGGAAAGGATCAGGGCGCTATGCGGTCCGGGCGTTGGGGAGGAGAGAGGAGAGAAGAGGACGCGGAAGAAAGAACCTTCGGAACTAACGTTCCTCAGGCACTTGCCTTCAGGTTTATGTTGCATCTAAGACTTACATCTAAGACTTACATCTAAGACTTACAAGCTCCACGATCTACAAAGCTTGGTTCGGATCGAACTAGAGCAACTCGGCCAAAAAGTTGCCATACCGGATCTCCTTGATGTTGCCGAAGAGATTTACCCAGGTGCCCACATGGGAGACATCTGGTTCCAATCCTTCATACATTCGTGCTTATCACGAATGTCGGATGATCTCAAGTTGTATGAGAATCTAATAATTCTGAGGGAATTAGAATGGAAGAATACGATTGGTTCAATGGTTTTGAGGTCCTGCATGTTGAGGCTACAGAGATCCAATGTGGCAGCCAGTGGCTCAAGCGTTCCGAGGGACCTAGCCAGAGAGCAGCAACGCCCCTTCAGGGCAGACAAAGCCGAGCCGACTACCAACAAACCTGAGCCACCAGATTCCGATGTTTCAAATACGGCCAATTATACACCTTCGACCGCATCGTTCGAAGCCTCGGATCCTTTTGAGACGTGAATGGATCGAGATTCACCCGCCTCTTGCGGAACCTGGGTGGGCACTGATAGCAGGTCTCGATTGCAATTCGAGTTAGTGTAGATGAATGATAACAGTGTTATACAATCCCGTACGATAGTAGAGCCATTAGTAGTAAGGTCATTTAGCTTGTCTGGGGCCACATTGGCGATGGTCATGTTCATCAGAGTCTGATGGCTTGCGGGGTAAAGTAATTGGGTTAGGCTCTGTTTTGTGTTGATCTGCAATTGTTTCGAAGAAAGACAGCGCTCGGGTCTCGACCGCGGTCTCGACGGGATTGGGCTCGGACCAGGTGGACAAAGTGACTCGCGTCTAGACCACTTCAAGGGTGCATGCAACTCTATAGTATGGAGAAATGCCTTCACCCTTGCGTCAATCGTTGGCGTTCCTCGTCCAAGCCACTTCTCCCTTATCTACTCGCCGATGCATGGCGGCGAGAAGGAACCTACACGAATCCGGGAGATCCGGAGGCTCCATTTCGCTTTCCTTATGTTGAACTGTTCAACGGCAGGTAGGAATCGTTGCAGCGGAGCGGGTATGAGCCCCGAACCCAAGATCCCGCTTTGTTTGCGCCTGATTGGGAGCCTGTCCGGGTTAATAACTCCTTAACCGCTCTCGACTGTGATACATGGCGCATTCCTACGATAGTCGCGCCAGCGAAAGCCGAAATTACAAAATTTTGTCGGGATATGTTTCCTGTCTTGTACAGTTATGTTCAAAACTACCTTCCTTATTACACATAACTGTTCTCTTACCAAGTCTTAACCAGGACTAACTAGGTACAGTACAGTGGAGATATCTAGATTCTCCTTATTTCCTAATATCCACAATCTAAGCAGTGTTATCATCATTAAAACGCCGCTTTGTGCCCTTGCTGCTCAGACTCAAGGTAGGTCACCGAGTACGGATGTGGACAAAAAGACTAGCGCCCCACTATAACAGTGCGAGCCAGGGTACCTGGTTCATTCGACCGAAATACACACCTGAGACACCGCCCGACGAAGGAATCTACCGCCTCGGCTCGTGAACGTCATTTTCCCCATCTGTTAGTATTCCTTTGGGTTTTTATTACACCCGAATCTGTGAATAACTTCACGACAGCGAAATTCCTCGTTATTACCTGCTATGATGCCAGTTCACTGCTGTTGTTGCTTCGGTCACGTGATTCAGATCATTGAGAAGCCATGGAAGGTCGGGAAATCCTCGGGAGAGTGGGGTCACGCGACAGAACACATGACCAAGGAGTCGTCGCCCCAAGAAGGGCTACGGCACCATATTAATCCGAGTCCGCCGGCTCAGCTTTTGGCGCACGAACATTGATGCCTCCATTTGAATACCCGTTGGCATTGTGGGGCAAGCCGCCTACCAACCTCGTCCCGAGGTTGGTCCGGAAACCCTGTGTCAGCCGGGAAAATGTGTGTCAACGTAAGCTGCTGCCTTCAAGCTGTAAAATCATCAATTTCAGGATCTTTATCTTTCAGACTTTATGACAGAGTCATTTAAAAAGGAAATAAGCCGTAACTAGGCTCGTTGGAAAGCTACGAAATAGCTGAAAACACACGAATTGACAGAAAATAGCGGAAATCACATTTTCGGCCTCAATTGCGCCGCCTTTTCCTAGGGCCTGATTCTGGCTGCCGATCAGGATCCTGTTGACGATGTGTTGTCTCCGCCTTCCTAGTAGCCTGATCGTCACGAAATTCCTTCAGCATCTTCTTGATGTTATCGTATCTGCGTACTGTTGGCATTAGGTCGGGAAGTTGTGGTGTTGTGATGTTATCGTCATCGGCGTCATCGACTAGATCCAAGGCACTAGGGGGCGGCGATGATGTTATCCCTGGAGGCGTTGTAAGATCAGGAATTTCCTCGCCGCCTAGGTCACTGAACCCTATGAGATTGACTTCATCATCTTCATCGTCTTCCTCTTCTTGGAGCGGTCCTGTGAGGGTGAATTCGACGTCATCATCATCATCAGGCCAGGCACTCTGATCCATCGCGATAATCGGTCTTGCGGCACGGCGGGCTTGTTCTTGGGCTTCAGAAAGTGACTTCTTTGGCCGCTGGCTAAGGGAGTCATTATGATGCTTTCGATTTGCTTCGAGGTCTTTGTATCGGTCGAGGTGGCCGGTCTCTTCGAGCCACTGGTTCCAAGTTAGTCTCGGCAGATAACTGACTCCCCGGGACTGAATTTCCTGCCGCCAAGCAGCCTTGAGAGCCCTTATCTCCTGAAGAATGATAGATCTGCCTGACCGCAGTTGAGAACGCTGTTCCTTGGCCTCTGCTGCTGCCATAGCTGCTTCATGTTGAGCCCGAATCTCAGGAAATCCAACACTTGTGACGAAGTCACCACTTGGCCGTACGCGCTGGCCGGACCTCCTTCTTTTCCCGTATTTCTCGATACGATTAAGCCGGTGTGAGGCAACGGCCTCACGTTCTCGATGCAGCAGTCCCGCCTCAGTCACAACGTCGCGGATGTTGGCGATAGCTTTAAGGGTTGGGGAGCTCATGACCTCCTGGTACCGCCTGTAGATCCGCTCTATCTGGTCTTGAGCATCCTGAAATCGAGTCTCTGAAGGCAACATCTTAAGAACAGACGGATGGATCGCATTTCGCTCTCTGCGGTGCTTGGCGAGGATGCGGTTGATCACGGGCTTCGAAGATGTGGGCCAAATACCGGCTTTTTCGAACCCTGACATGATGTTATGTCTCTTGAAGCCGTCTTTATAGATCCTTGAGAATGCAGAGGCGAAGTCTTCGCGGGAAAACGTTATGTTGCCTTCCCGAATAGACTTCCTAAGTTCCTTCTGATGTGAGTTCTTCATCGGCTGAAAAACACCAACATCAAGCGGCTGCGTGAGGTGTGTTGAGTGTGACGGCAACACGCAAATGATGATATCAAATTGAATGCAATACTGAATAGCATCGAAGCCTAGGTGGCCGGAGAAGCCGTCGATTACGAGAAGTCGGTAGATTCTATCCTCATCATTACGAATAGCGGGAGGCGCTGTCAATGTGATGTGTGGCGATGAGGCATCTCGAAGCCATTCATCGCAGCCGAACCACTCTGTGAGAGTTACTCCTTTCTGCTTAGCCTTTGTAGAAGCAAGCCAGGAAAACGCATTGAAGTGATGAAGCCATTCGAACGTGATATGTTGGTTGCTGAAGCCGGTATCTGACTGTGCGATCCTCATCCCTGGGATAGCATCTATGTTGGCCCAAGACGTTGTTGCTAACGCCTTGAAGATCAGCCAAGGAGGGATACTATCCCCAACCGCATTAGCACACCCAAGTTGTGTGCAAGACTCACGGTTCGAGGGATCAACAACTTCATAGCGTTGTGACCGCGTGGTGCGGACCACGAGGACTTGGATCCGTTCTCGAAGGCATCCGATGCGAATACCGCACTCGTCTTCATTCCAACACTCTGAAGGACCGATATCGTGGTCACAGATAACTTCCTGAAGGTTGGAGAAGAACTTCTTGATGTCTTTGACGTCAGAAACTTCAAATGCTTTGCGTGCCTTATCTATGCCCTTGAGGAATGACTTCCTGAGCTCGAGATGACGACCACGGAAGTCTGAGTACCAGGACTTTGACATATGATCTTTCTCGATGCCTCTAGAATGCAGGAATTGTAATGCAGTCTCTTCAATTTGTGACTTTTCTGCTGCAAAGCCGGATCTTTCCCACCAGATGATGTACGCAACCAGGGCGGATTCTTCAGAGGCTGTCAGAAGCGGCGGACGGCCGGGAGGCTTCGGAGGAACATAAGATGATGATGACCTCTTAGCAGCACGTCTAACGGCCTCTCTATTCTCGTCAATTTGGTCTGCAACAGCGCGCAATGAGGGTGGTGATGCAGCAGCTTTGGCGGCACTTCGTGTGTTATACGGCGTATTTGGATTGAGTGCAGCGAGCACCCGTCGTGTCAGATCGGCCCGATCTTTATCTGACGGGTTCCTCAGAGGCTGTTTTACTATAGGAATGCCGCGTCTGCGAGGCATCTTGTGGTTGCGCGTGGTAGATCTGAAAAGACGAAAATTTGGTGTGATTTTGGGCTGCGGTTGATGAAGGTCAGGCAGGATTTAGTGACACATAGTTTCCCGGCTGACACAGGGTTTCCGGACCAACCTCGGGACGAGGTTGGTAGGCGGCTTGCCCCACAATGCCAACGGGTAGATGTATTCGCCCGAGGCCACCAATCCCCCACTTGATGACACCGGCTGCGCTTCCATACTGGTTCGTGCTCGAGACCGTACCACAAGAGCCCAGGACGAAGACACAGCTAAAGCACACCAACAGGCCAGATCCTGAACATGGTTGGGTCAGCTAATTCACGAAAGCGAGTCTATATCTCCTGCCGTGCCATCTTCAGCGGTAATAATGCGCAAGTACGAAAGCAAAAGAAGGTGAAGGAGCTCGTGGAAAAGAGCAGGAAATCCCTGAAAACGCTGTTGCAAGATCTCGGACACGATACAGTGATTGCCATACTTCGATCCCTACTGGAAGGGAAGATTTTTGAGTCGGAAATTCGCGCTAAAATCGAGTTTCCAGAACTCTTCCGTTCATCAACCATTCGCGACGTCCAACGCCAAGCTTCTGAGGCCGACGCCGCCAATTCTACTGCAGAAGCCTTGGATGAGATTACATCACAGGATGGTGAACAGCTTGATCGAGAAGAGGATGGTGTAGAACCTGAAGAGTCAGAAGATGGTGTACCCACCATTGCTCCTGGTAGGCTACATCTATTTCAACTCAAACTACTGATAATAACTCCATTACAGTGCTATACACCATGCAGGAGCCACAAGGGAAGCTTCCAAGCCTTTATCCATCGTACCTACCATATCAGACCCAGCACCTTATTCTTAACACTGCTCAGCAGATCCTCGAAGAATGCTGTTTCAACTTTGCCTCTATTTCGATGCCTTCTGTCCTCCAGCAGAAGAGGTGGGATTGTTCAACTGCAGGAGAGCTGACGCAATGGACGAAACTTTTTCGCAAAGGCAAGGGTCGACCCTATACAGCCGCCCTAGACTTCAAAGACAAGGAATTGCTCAAAGAAGTGTCAAACCTGCGGCACACCGCTGTCCATCGGCTTCCGACTACAGCCAGGGGTGTCAGCCAACTCCTGAAGTCAGCTACGGTGTTTGCGCAATATCTACAAGACGGCTTGCGTGCCGCACAGCTCGAGGAGCTGCAATCCGATGTGGACAGTAAGATCAAGGCGATGGAGCTAAATAAGAATGTTCTAGAGGACACGGCATCATCCAAGTTGCAGGATATACAGCGGCAACGTGAGGAACTTGATAGGATGGAAGCAAAATTGATAGAAGAGATCTTGCAAGAGGATTTGGATAACAAAGCTTTGATTGGACAGCTGCTTGAGGACTCGGTCCGTGGAATATTCAGGCTCCAAAGGGATGCGACTAATAAGGACTGCCGAGAAGACTACGAGGGAAAGGAGGAGAACGAAGAAAATGAAGGAGACGAAGAAAATGAAGAGGATAAGGACCGTGATGAGGAAAAGGGCAAAGGGGAGGACGAGGTAAAGGAAGAGGACGAGGTAGAGGGGGGTAAAGACAGTGAAGAGACGCAAGGCGAAGAAAGGAAAGTCGAGGTGTCACATTTTGGGGTCATTTCCTAGATAACACGACTTTCCTCTCCTTCTCAGACCACATAGCCGGTCCTGTGACCACGATCCCGGTCCCCGGGACCCACAGGGCCCCGGCCCCTGTGCGGCGGCGACGGACTGCCGCCTCCGGCAGCAGCCGTCTTCATCATGTATAAAAGACGGGCTCTAGGCCCGTCCCTTAGCTAGAAATCAAGAGCTTTCATCATCATCATTGTGATCCTATCCATTCAGTGTGACACGAGGAGAACGAACCCAGACAGAGCCAAGACAAAGAAAGTAGCTAGAAAGAGTTTGGTATCGTGACGAGCATACCAAGGTTACTATTTACGATGTACGGCAGGTACTTGGACGTTGATCCGGACACTGAACTTGAACCTGTTACATGCTTGTGCTGCGCAGAATACCGACGTCGTCAGGATTCATTAGGAGGACGTGTAACTCTGTTTCGAGGGCTGTTAGGGTGAAGAGGTCCGATGTGCATATAATGATTTCAGTCTGCCGCTCTTCTCCAGAAATCACTATCGTTGTCAATATCGTAATCGTCGTAAGCATCACCACCATTATCATAGTCATAGCTATAATCATCAGAGTCAGCGTCGCTGAGCCTCCTGTCCCAGTCCTCCTCTTCCACATAAACGGTTGTGCTCAGTGTCCACCCGTAACTCTCCATTCTCCTTCTGAGATGATCACTCGGTCCATCCTCATATACCTCAAGAATGATCTCTTGTAGGGAAGAAATGGCTCTGAAGTGAGTATCGACGAGCTTCAGCGCCTCAGTGGCAACGTTGTAGTGGTCTAGATTGTCGAGCCGAAGTTCCATGGCATTTGTGCTATACAGGGACGTCGTAAGCGTGCTTAAATTGGCGCCGCCGCTCTGAATGTTTGCGAGGATGCTGACGCTGCTCTCGTCGATAGTGATATCGCCAGGGTCTAGATAGAGGAACTTTGGAAAGTCGATAACGATATGTCGAATACAGCCTGCGTTATGGCTACCAATTTGCTCGAGGAACGAGGCTACTTTCTCAGGATTGACCCCAGCAAAATCGAAGCGATTCTGGCCGTAGAACAGCGAGCTGGCTTCGCCGTGGACTGCCTTGCTAGCGCGGAGAAGCCCTGTTGTGAGTTCCTGTGGATCGTACCCAGGCCAAGGATCGATAGGCTCAGATGACAGTAAAATGAGTTCGTATATCGTGTTACGAAGTTCGCTAGGGAGACAGAGGAAGCTCGCGGGGGCGTCGGTGGTCGTGGGCTATTAATTCCTTGTTAACTGTATGATTCAGACCATCTTCTTGGGCTTTGACATTGCAGACATTACAGTTAAGGGGTTGAACGAAATCAGACATCTCTTTCAAATAGGATTATCCAAGTAGGCACTAGTTCTCTTGCTGTTGACAAGTCGTGATGTCAGTCAAACCCAGTGTTTTCCGCAAGTGGGGAAGTAACCCCGGTATGAAATGGGAGATCACGTGGGTCCGACAAGCTAAAGTTTCCCGAAGTCGCCTCAAAGAGGAAGGTATACAGTGCACATTTGCAGGTGGGCTCGTACTGCGTGGGTCTAATACACAGTAAACTACTTTTAAGTGCAAAGAGGAAGCTAGTAATGACCAAAACTGCAATCGTGGGAACGTTTCTCACAGTGGCAACAAGCGTAGCAGAAGCTGAGGCACATATCGCCAGCGCACAGGAACGTTTCTGGAGGCGGGCGATTAAGATGTGGACTAACCTCCACACCCTGCCAACAACCAACCCACTTCGTAACGCTACATCCCGCATCCGAAAGTTCAGAAGATATCACCGCTCGCCATTTTACGACATGGCAGTGGCACTCAATGAGATACCAGTGGAGGAACTAGAAACGGTCAACCCGTTCACATTGGCACCTTGGGCAGAACGGTTACAAACCATCGTTGCCAACAAGACAGAGACGACACAAGCAGATCTGGGCTGGGCAGTACGCATCGCAGTGAGCTGTTCAGCACGGAACGGAGTAGTAGGAGTCGGTGGGATCATCGAGATCCCTATATCGGTGCGAGGAGGACCGAGGCGTGAGCGATTTTCCTTCACGCTTGGCTTGAGAACAGAACAAAATCCGTTTTCTGGGGAATTGGCGGCGATGGCATATGCAGTCAGGCACTTACCTGACCTCAGGTACCGAAGCGTAGCACTGTTAACGAGCAACAAAGCTGCTGTGCTTACGCTGCGAAATCCTCGCCAGCAATCTGGTCAAGAGTATGTTGGATGTATATACGACTCCATTGAAGCATTAAAGGGTAACGGAAATGTGGTAACCGCCATATGGATACCCATCAGTGCTGAACATAAACTCTTGAAGACTGCTAAAGAAGAGGCGCGAGATGCAACCCGAGATGGTGCTATCCCAGCCCTGAAGTTTCCTAGAATGAGATCAACAACCCTTAACCTGGCTCTAAGGAACCAGGGCACTAACCAACGCCTGCCAGACAACGTCGGAAGGTTTTCAAAGAGAGTCGATGCTGCGTTACCAGGTAAGCACACTCGACAACTATACGACGGCTTGTCATGGAGAGAGGCCAGCGTACTGGCACAACTCAGGACAGGTATGGCCAGATTGAATGGATATCTCTTCCGGATTACAGCAGCAGCATCAGCACAATGCGCATGTGGACAAGCGACAGAGACGGTCGAGCATTTCCTCTTCCGATGCAGAAAATGGATAGCACAGCGGGCTCAAATGTTGCAGTCCACCGAGACACAAAGAGGAAATCTCTCATTTTTCCTGGGAGGAACGGCACCAGCAGACGACGCAAAATGGACGCCAAACATGCAAGCAGTCCACGCAACAATACGATTTGCAATAGCCACAGGTCGACTTGACAATACACAACGGTAAAACCAGATTGCAAAATCCCCTACTTACTTTTTACTAACCTACCCTACACCCCTCCATCAAAAACCTCGTGCCATGGACAGCTGGCACCGCTTCAGCCGCCGTAGATAGGACTCTGAACACTTGGGGAATAGCCTTCAAGTTTGCTTGCTAATAATATATACCCCACGAGACCCGCGGAAAGATTGAAAAGGAAGAGCAACAGCAGAAATTGGACGCTGTATGGGTTTTTACGAGATTATGACAAAGCTTGGGAAACGGAAATGTACAATAGCAACTAGTGCCCTATTGGTTATAAGCCACCGGGCGTAATAAATTGTGTGTGTGTGTGTGTATACACCTCGCATAGGCTTCAGCTTGGGCCGCGACGCTTGTTGAAGAGGTTGGGCACCAATCTTCCTTTATTCAATCGTCCACAAATTCATCTGAAGGACATATTTTCTGGACTATCATGGTCATCAAGAACTAGTAGCAGGAGAAATAGCAGAAAAAGAGGGGCAAATTGTAGCTAGAAAACCGATCATATGGACCAACAACCAATAATCAACAGTGACTAAACTACCCAACACCCGGATGGCCAATGGCTTGAAGCATAAATGCGGCCTGTGCCATTTCCTCGTAATCATCTGCGCCGATCGGATTACCTCCTTCGGTTGTAGGATTTTCATTCACGCCGTGCCATCCTTTTCGCTCCGCATAATGCTCGATCCTGCAGTCCTGAGCCCATACCAGTCTGCGAACCTGCAGCCCAGGCCTGGTCCTGCTGGGTAGAACCTTGCGAGAATTGGTTCGCCCGACCATCCGACTCATTTCCGCCTAACTGTGACGCTAGAATGATCCAACATAGAGGGGATTGAATGGATCCGTCGAGTAGTAAGCGCGTTACTTCTCAAGCTCTCAAACGATGGATTTAGAGGATGCCACCACGTTCACCACTCGGTCAAGAAGCGCAAAGGGGGCCACACATACTTGACATCCTCGAATGCGTCGATCTCCGCAGTTCCCTCATCGTCTTCGCCAAAACTCAACAACAGCGAATCGTCGTCATCTGCAAAGATGTTGTCGATGCACTCGTATCGAATTTCTTCCCAAGACTTTCCTGGCATATCTCGGCGAATATCGCTTTCAATGAATCTCGAGTCATTCTTTTGTTCGTAATCAACTCCGGTCCCCCTCTTGACGATAAACATAATCTCTTTGCCTCTTTCGCCATCCACCACCAGTCCCGCATCCTCTGTTATCCCAAAGGCTTCTCGTGTTGTTGAGTGTTCGGGCATGTTCTGTTCAAATCGCTTGCGTGTGTTCGCATTCATGACTGAACCGAGACAGCCCGACACGGTCGAACGGTAAATGGCGACTGAAGGCTTCGAAAGGGCGCCGTCCCTGTCCTCCAGGACACTTTGCCAGTGTGCTGGCTGAGGCTTTCGCCAGTATCTGTGCTTCTCAACTTCATCATCAGAATCAAGCGGCTCAAGTCTGGGAAACCCCAGCACTTCTGAGCTATCGCTGATGTAACGAAGTTCCTTCCACCCACAACTTTCGCTTATGAGACCATTTAAAGTATCGTAGCTAACTTGGTACGGGGGGGTGCCAAGTACGGTGAGTGTATCGAGGCGAAGGCCTGGGAGAAGTCTGAGCGTGGAAGCTAGACGATAGTAGACATCACCATCCTCGTAGGAGAGCATAAGAGGATCGCCCATGACGCGCAAATGACGCATCTTGAAGAGGGTTCCAGGAGGTAAAGCTGTCAAAATGTCGAGCATCGTCTTGGGATCTTCGAAGCTGACAAAAACCTGGCCGATCCAAGTATCCCCAATCTCCTTTTTTGCCCGGCGACAAGTTTGAAGCATGGCGAGAGCGTTTTGAGCGGGTTTGATCCTGATGCGATCAATTCGGTCGACTGCTCTCTGACCGTAACCAAGTCTGGTAGAAAAGAAGACATGTGAGTATATCTTATCGCGAAGTTCTTGAGGGAGGTGTTGAAAGAGCCTGCTCTTGTTCTGTGGATCGGCTGCGAAGGCTGGTTCGCGTGTTGTTTTTGATCTGTGCGTGGAATTATTCTTCTTCCGCGTCTTTGTCATGGCGACTTGAGATTATTCGTGTCATTTAAATTGCCAAGTTGAGAGGGAACACAAACCCGGATTCATGGTCGATGTTGAGATACGTGATCATTTAGTTGTCGAGGTCGGCCCGGCTTGCAGACTGAGTGCCGACACGGTGACACTGTGCTAATTGGCCTTATCGATCTTGACAAACCTTGGATGAGGGACATTTGACCTGGAATCCAAAGATCAAATATCAAGACTGACGTGTGGAGAGAGATTTTGTTACGCCGGCGGACGATGCACACTGTCCAACAGCCCTTGGGAGAAGCGGGCGCGGAGGCGTGAACAGGCTAACCAACCGAGGCGCGGAAGTCTCGGGAGTCGTGGCGTCATCGGCGGGGTTACGAAAAGGTTATATCAAGGCCTTGTAGGTAACGCATCATTATGCTATCATTATCAACTCTGTTCTCTTCTACCTAACTAATGCCTGAGTCTACGGATGCTAGAGAGCCTTGCTAGCAGCAAGAGGTCTGCTGGCAGTTATTGTGTTCGTAAGTGGACATGCTTGTGGTTAACGGAGAGACCTCAGCTTCGGACCCGTGAACCATGGGGTTCACAACTGGCGTGCATGCACCTAGGTGTGGTGACCGCGTTGCGTATGAGTCACATATTGGTTTAACCAAATGACGGTGCAGCAAAACGCACATGATTATGTTTCACGCTGTGTATTTTTCACAAGCTGGGCATTTAGTTGCATTGTTGTGCCACTTCCGTCACGTACTTAAGTCCTTTCCGACTCCGCACGCACGAGCAAATGAAGCTTGTTTGTGAAGTGTGAACATCCATCCTGCAGGAAGCCAACCAAACCCTCATCCCTTCCTGCAAGCTGGCAGTTCAATTGTAGCAGATCAGAATTTGCTCCGAGCAAGATTTTACATAGTCTCTCCTTCTTCCACGTTCTGTCTTTTGGAAGTCTATTGAATCACCTTTGATCTGTCCACTTTGGACATGAAAACGAAGCGAAGCAAAAGATCATTCCCGCCATCACTGCCTCTGCCTCCAGCACCACTGCCAGCCATTGATGACTTGAAGGTTGAAGAACCTACTGTTCAATCCACCACTTATCTAGAAGTCCCATCCCATCTCACAATGGCACCTCAAAAGTTTGAGAGGTTTCTCTCCGCATTGAAAGAGTATGGTAGGCCGTCTAGCATCAATTGCGCCTTCTAATACAGTTGCCAGCTACTACAACACTGGTGCTCTCTCCGATGTTGTTGTTGCCTGCGATGACCAAGAGTTCAAGGTCCACGGGGTGATCTTGTCCGCCCACTCGAAATACTTCGCAACAGCACTGAACGGCAACTGGAAGGTACGCCAGATTCTCAGAAGTCCCTTCATCCCTTCAAAAATGATTCGCTACTTATAGTCTTGAAGGAAAGCTCCGAAAAGAAGATCGAATTGAAGATTTCGATGCAAGTGTCGTGGAAGCGATGCTTCGTTTCATGTATTCATTTGACTACAGCAACATCTACGGCACGTCAACTATGGTGTACGACGCCCAAGTCTACCAGATTGCTGACAAGTATGACGTTCTGGCGCTTAAAGCCCATTCCAAGGACAAGTTTGGCGTCGCCATCACCACTGGGTGGAGCATGGATGATTTCCCACTTGCCATTACCATAGTGTACGAATCCACACCTTCTGCAGATAGGGGACTTCGCGACTTGGTTGTGGAGACCTCTCAGAAGAACATTGACAAGCTCCTTGGGCACGATAGCTTCAGTGAACTTCTCAGGAAGACTCCTGATTTTGCAGCCGATCTGATTCCTTTTTTATGTGGCAAGTTCTCAACACATCGCTATGAATGTCCTTCATGCGAACACCAATTTCGCGGTGAGTTCTCGGGGATGGGTTACCACTGTCCAAACTGCTCCCGACAGTGTCCAGACTGGGACTCTCACCAGATTGAGGGATAAGTCGAGCTACGTCGACTGAGACGGATCAGAATCGGCCAGCCAAGCTAGGTTGTATGTAGCACAAACAGGTTAATCTAGTAGGAAATTGCGACTTAGGTTTTCAACACCACAACATGAATTTCCAGCCTTCTGTAGATTTATTGAATATATACCATGCACCACCTACCAATGACTAACACCCACCAATGACTAGCGTAAAACCACCTGCTGCCCACACAAACTCTACAACTTCACTTACACCGCACTCGGCCACATATGAAGCTATTCACAAGCTGAAACTTGTGCTGCATAATTTTATGCATCGTGTTTTGTATCACGTATTTTCTTTTCCGAACGCCACCAATTTTACGAACCTCCTGAAGCACAGGGTTCAAAGCCACTCCACGAAAACCCACATATGGACTCACATATGGATCCATATCAAATACACTCCATTCCATCAGACCCAGTTGTGGATTTACTCCCACTCCACGGGAGCCAGGCCACAAGTGGAAATTGTGGAATGCAGTGGATATTTCCTTAATCTTAGCGGAGGTTTACAAATACCACAGAACCCCTAGTTAATAGGTTGACTTTAAAGTATTTGCTAACTAATATGCCAGGTTTAAGACAACGCATACCTGTTCCCTACCGGTATCAAGCTACCTGGAATGTCTGTTCGGCTGTTCCTATGATGCTGCTCGCGACCGCAGCTGCCTGGCTGGCAGAATAAAGAGCTGCACAATCCGGTGTATTTCCTCATGGGGGACGCGATCCTCAGATAATTCTCATCAATTGGCTGATGTTATTAGACCTTCGACTATGTGGGTTTTAATTGTCTGACAATGCCAATGCGTCCGACTACCGGTACTTTGGCTCATTTCTGACTGGTGACAAATCTTCAGCTGCAATATCGTATCACAATGGCCGACTACCAGCCCGATTCTCGACCAGGTACTCTCGAGCCCTCTGCGCAAGGGAAATCGACGGCGGCGATCCCCAAACGAACAGAAGAAGACGAACAACGGCTATTTCGCTTGTTCAGAGGCTGGACTTTGTCCGAAAGAGATGGCCACACGCGTCAATGGGTCTACCGGTTTGGGTACGACATTCAGAATACAGCAACGAAGGAACGCCGCTGGGTCTGTTGTATATGTATCAAACGGAAGGATCCGAGGCCGAAGAATTACAACTATAAGGGCCTGCAGAACGCTGAGAGCCACTTGTTCAAGAATCACAACAGCATAGTCGATCCTTCAGGTAAAAGGCAGGCCCTGAAATCTACTGTTGCAACACCCGCCCGCTCAATTGCTACGTTACTTCGATTGAATCCAAAGGTCCCCCGCGATCAAGAAATAACGAATCTATTAATCAAGTGGTTTAATAAAGCCGCGTTTCAACAGATGATCGTAAACTGGATCGTCAACACGAATCGATCGTTCACCACCGCGAAAGATCCTGACCTGCGAGCGATCTTCGAATATCTCAACCCTTCTGTTTCCATTACGGAAGCTCACATATCCGATGTAACGGTGCGCGCGATCGCCGAAAGAGAATTCAACGCGAATAAATCGGCTGTACGAGAGACGCTTCGGAAGAGCCCAGGCCAGATCCATATCCAGTTTGATGGATGGCGATCCGGGAACAGGCATGCTCTTTACGGCGTTACTTGTATATTCAGGGATCTGGATAACAGGCCCCGAAAGTGCGTTCTCGGCCTTCCGGAGCTACTAGGCCGGCACACAGGCGAGAATATCGCTGAGCAGATACTCGACATCGTCTGGGAGTTCGAGATTGGGGATAAGCTGGGCTACTTTACGCTGGATAACGCCTCGAATAACAAAACAACGATGGAAGAGCTGGGCCATGAGCTAGGATTCGACTGGAAGAAGCGCTGGGTTCGCTGCATTGGCCATGTTGTCAATATAGTGGTGAAACACGTGCTATTTGGCCAAGATCCAAACGCGTTCGAGCAACAGATCTACGATGGCCAATTGACGGCGGCGAGGGAACATGAGCAGTGGCGCAAAAGGGGTCCAGTGGGTAAATGGCATAACTTCGCTGTGGTAAGCCGATTTTTTTCTTATTTTTACTACATTGTTTTCTAACTTTCCTGTTTTCTGGCTTATTTTAACTGTATTTGCAGGAGGTTAACAGATCCGATATCTGGACCGACGTTCTTAAAAAATTCCAGCTGGTTGAATCCCAACTATCCGACGATCCAGCGACCCAAAGCCATGATCCTGTTGGCGTTGTATTAGATAATGCTACCTGTTGGCTTTTCCAGCTAGCCATGATCGACCGGGCTCTTGTTTTGCAGCCGTTTACGACCCTTTTATCCAGCGAGCGTTGAGTGAGTGGAACAAAGCGAATCTTACGAAAAGTGGCTCCGTTAGGAAGGGGGCCAGGATGCCGTTCTTTTTGAAGGAAGAGAACCGGATTTCAAGCAGCGACTGGCGTGTGCTCCAGGCGCTGTGCGATATCCTACTAGACTTTCAGCTAGTAGTTAAAGCCTTGGAGGGCGATGGACAGGGGAAACACCAAAAGCAAGGTCAAGAAGATGAGATTGAGCTTCTATTATCTGGTAAGTCCTGGCTGGATGGAGTCAGTCTGTAATTGGTATGGCTAACCGAGTCACGACTCGAAGGTACAAGCTGGGATCTTCTTCATGCGTACGAATATCTTCTCGAGTCCCTCGAATCCGCCAAAAAGATTGCCGTTGGCCTCCCTGACTCCGGGCATCTCGCCGTTAATATTAACCTAGGCTGGATAAAGCTCGATGAGTATTATCAATACCTCAACGACAGTCCTGTGATCTACGGCGCGGCGGCTCTCCATCCTGCTTACCGCTGGGCATTATTCGACGATCTGTGGGGTGATGATGCTAATCGGCGGACGTGGATTATCAAAGCCAAAGCGATTATTCAGGATCTGTGGGAATGCGAATACAAGGACTTATTTTCTGAAGATCAAGACTCTGATTTACCTGCAAGTAAACGTCTTAAATCCTCAAGGAACAATTTTACAGCCTGGCGTAACAGTAAACGAGGGCTAACTCTTCAGAATCAGGCTATTGGCGAATCCGCCGGGGCATCTCTTTCGTCATTGTACAGAGGGTTGGATCACGATGAGTACGATCAGTGGCAACGCAATATCGACGATTCTGACGCCCTCGTTACTGACCCATACGAATACTGGCACACCAGGCGGCTCAAGTACCCCAAATTGAGTAGGATGGCCCTGGATTTACTGACTGTGGCCCCTATGTCAGCAGAGTGTGAGAGGTTATTTTCAGTGGCCGGGCAGATGGTTACGAGGCTTAGGAATCGGCTAGATGCTTCAACTATCGGCCTGTGCCAGACTTTACGCAGTTGGCTACGTGCAGGATTGATCGGGCAGTTGGATCAGATACTGACAGAACCTTCGAGGGAATAATAGCAATATGCTAGGGGTTGAGTTATACAAGGGAGTAAATCCCTTGCTCGTCATGTGGAAATCCTTTCCACATTGTGGATTCACATCCATAATGGATCCATATCCATCCATTCCACCGCCGTGATCTTAGTCATCATCCACATCAATTCCATATCCTCGAATGTGTAGTGGAGTGTAGTGGCTTTGAACCCTGAATTCGCGTTGTCAGATATCACGGTTCCAACTCGATCCTGAATATCCCAGTCCCTGACGACTTTCTCGAGCGTATGAGCGAGGTTCTCACTGTCATGAGAGCCCAATTGACGACGGAGGGCAATAAAGACGTTCTGCTGCTTGCCCTTATTATCGATAAACTGCGCATGGACCGCCATCATCGCGAACCTGTTCGGTGATGTCCAAAGATTGAAGCTAAGATGGATCTTCGTGATAGCTTCACGAAGTTGTTGACGAATCTGCACCTTCTTTAACGTGAAGATCTTATCGAGGTCCCGTCGAACAGTGGACCTACTCCAAGGCACTTGTGCTGCTAGGTTGGCATCTAGCGTCATGAAGACCTGCTGTAGATATTGATTGGATACTGTCGAAAAGGGAAGATCTGCATCAACCGTAAGCCCGACGTTGAGGTCTCGAATACGCTCAATCGTCGATCGAGGTACTGACGAACGTCCAAGGCGAGGTCGTTTAGAAGTAGCATCGAGGCTAGTCGATGGAAGACCTTCCTCGGCTGGCGATATCACTCACGTGGCGAAACTTGACATGGAGATCAAAGGGCATAAGGAGAAGATGCTCTTCTACGTGACGAAGCTCGGGAAGTACGACATCATCCTCGGAAAGCCTTGGTTGACTGATCACAACCCTGACGTTAATTGGAGCGAGAACATCGTAACCTTCAAGTCTGATCACTGTCGAACGTACTGTTTGGTAAAAGGATGCTACCAATTGCCAGTCCCTGGAACCCGCCCTCTGTCAATTTCGGCTACTTCGTCAACGCTTCCACGCCCATCACTTCCCCGGAGAATTGGCGCAGCCGCGTTTCATTGGCTAGCTCAAAAGCATGATGTGGCTATATTCTCACTCTCACTTTACGATATAGACAGAAGACTAGCGGAACTCGGTGTAATCACCGAAGTGTCCACATTTGCAGAAGCCAGAACACCCCGATTCTTCTCCACGAACCCCTCTTCCGGGCACTGGATGAGCCCAAGCACCCGCGGGTCTATCAACTTGATCGAGGTGGAATTTGTTGGGTTCCCAAGGGCTACTTGGGGATTGCCATGCCCCTACACGAGAAAGACATCGACATAACACTTATATCATACCGTGGAGCATCATCGTGCAATCACACATGGCAATGGATCATAAATTATAATTGACGCAAACTGGTATCAAGGCAGAAGCTCGACTCAAATTTGTCATGATGTTACTCTAGCTACGAGAACCACTATCGATCATACATCGCCTCAGTCAGGTCTCATACGCCACCTGATCAAATCACAGCTTCAAGCGTCATGTTTTCAGCTAAAGTCTCGTGGCTCTAGTGCTTGGGAGACCGCAGAGCAGCGTTTAATCCATGGACCAAGTTGTCGACTCGCAACATGCCTTCATCGAGTGGCGGAGGATGTACCGTCCACATTTAGGTGCGCGCATAGATTGAAGATATGAATCAAGTGCATTAGACGACAAGAGAGTATAGTGTTATACGTACAGGCAATCCGATCGCTACTCCGAGGTATATTTAAGCTCACTATCCATGTAGGAAGCGGCAACGAAGTCACTTGATCTGGAGGAGGAAATAGATTATGTTGTCGCCTTACGGACCCGCCTTGAGATGCTTCAATTGCGAGACTGCATTAGGCATAGCCGCCGCCGGAGGCTGAATCGAGACAGCAATAGATCGAGGTGAAGATATATACATGATCGTCAGTTATCGCACGGTCATGGATGCCAGTATTCGCCAGGCGTCAATTATGGGAGTATTCATGCTTGTTCAGTTGTTCTTGCGCCATCAAGACCCGATTCGATCCGAGGCCAAAGGTCCAAGCCCGCAGGACCCAGCCTTTCCTCCTCCCACCATAACAGCAACAATAACAGCAAAAACAGTGTTGACTTTGTTGAATGCTCTGCCCGTCTTGCAAACACCTCCATTTCTCGCATTAAACTACCTCTAGCGATCTAAAAGCTTGCCATCGAACCTTCCATCTCCCCCCCGTCCCGGCCGTCCTTGAAGCACCTCAGTTTTACGACATTAACTACTAGGACGACTTTGGTTTAGCAGTTAGGAACCGATCAGACCGTTATATATAAAGCGAAGACGAATAATTCGCTCTGCCTCAAGTTAAACTTCAGTCGTCATCGTCATAGTGATTCAAGTATCTCTGGTATACAACTTCAACATGTGCCCTATCGCAATGGAACGCATATTCCCTATCTTCCGATTTGGGCTCATACACAGACTCTAGGTCCACCAGTACGATATGGTCTTGTACGAGGATAAAATTGTCCAGTTTGATATCCTCATAACCCAAGCCGAATACATTAAGCTCATGGAACGCGATGTCGACGAGTTTCTTGAACTTCTCGGGCTCGAGAGGTGGCCGCTGCTGTTCCCACGGCAAGATGCCGACCACCTCTGAGAGTATAAGCGTGCGACCTCCTTCGGATTCTGCCTCGCCGTAGAACTTGGGTATCACACGGCCTTGTAGACTTTGTAGTCTCTCATACATATGCTTCTCATTGTCGAATTCCTCAAGCCAGCCTGGCTTAGCCGTTTTGAGCACAACGCGATCGGGGAGGAAGAAGCCGGGGAAAATCGCTGCAATTAATTGTTGGAGGAAAGCAGGGAGCGATAAAATTAGCGCTATAATAGTACGTTCGAAAGGATCGCGGATAATCGATAGACGTAGGACATTTAGGTGTTTATTGTCGTTTGCTTCGCCGATGGCCGAGACAGTGCTATACCCTAAGCGAAACTTGGTAAGGAGGAGTTAGCTGCGAAAACTAAGTACGAGAGGGGGTTCGAACCTTGATGCGATGTGTATTTGCATCGATGCTATCGACATCGTCAACACCATCCATGATTGCTCGCTGGCGTCGCTTGCCCAAGAGCGAAAAGTTGATTTCGGGCGAAAAATGGGGTTAAGTTTACCTCAGTGCCTCAGGCCACACTGTGAAGGCCGCGGCTATGCGCGCTTACTAAAGCACGCTAACCCGATCAGGTAATGCCTTCACAGAGGGCCTGAGCGCTTTTGGCCAAATTTTGTGTGGCGTTGTCGTTCGTCGCTTCCTAATTCGCGCAACGCGGTACCATTCGTCACCAACACCGATTACGCCAAAGATACCCTCAACTGTCCTTGGAAATTGCAGTTGGTTCTGCGTATAAGTCTCTGCTACTGACAGTGATGCTACATACCCCTTTACGTTGCCCCGATCCTGAGTCATTAACCTCGACATTGGCAAACCTCCTTAACTTCCCTCCCCGTGACGGCCAGGTAGAAGCAATACGGAGACTCGCTGTCGACCAGCAGGATCTAATCTAATTGCACCTACAGGATGGGGCAAGAGCGCTGTATTCCAGGCGGTTCCGGCCTTGCGGGGCGGCATTTGCCTCATGATTATGCCCTTAAACCTGCTTGAAGAGGACCAGGTCAGTCGGTGGCGAGGCACAGAGAAAATTATGGGAAACAAGGAAATGGCTAATCTTGACAATAGGCCAAGTCTATTTCTCGAATACCCTGCTGCCGGCCTTGCGTATTAAACGCCCAGTCGAACAAAGCCGCGTTGCTCAACGAGATCCGAATCGGCAAATACACGCACGGTAGGAGTTCTAGGCCGACAATTACCAACCAAATATCATGGCTGAACAGAAGGACCCAGTGCTTCTGAGTCCAGAAATTGCACTGTCAGAGCGATTTAAGACGGAGGTCCTATATGATCAGGCCTTCCAAGACCACCTCGTGTTGGTGGCCATCGACGAATTACACGTGGTCAGCGAGTGGGGTCTGCATTGGAGGAATCGATATAGTCAATTGGCGTTGTTGCGTCACACGGTTAGTAGACGCGTGCCTTGGTTTGGTTGCTCTGCGACACTCGATCCAGTTACGTTGGCTGAGGTTCGAGATCTCAGTGGGTTCGATCCTTGGGTTCACATTCAACGGACCTCCATTGACAGACCCGACATAACATTCGCAATTCAACCAATTCAGCATCCGGCAAACAGCTTCCGCGATCTAGAGTTCCTTGTTAAACCGGTACAGGGAGCAACCGAGGAGGCTGTCATGAAGAGAAGGGAGAATAGGGCAAGAGAGGCTTTCAAGCGTGGAGGTGGGGTGAGTGCTGCTCAGGCAGTATTAGCCAGCACTCGACATCAACGGATGGAAGCAGGATCCGACAGCCGTGCCTGTTGCAAGGCAATTCTGAAGACCATAGTCTATGTCGACTCGATAACGCAGATCATGAAGGCGGTCAGGGTGCTGAGAATGCTCCTGGTTAGAGCAGGTTGCTCAGGGATGGCTGCCATTGACGCCGTCCAGGCATATCATTCACAGCTTTCAGACTCCGATAAGAGGCGTATAGCTACGGAGTTCGAAAAGACGGACTCAGAGAGCGTCTCGGATAGCTCAATCCATCGTGTCATCGTTGCCACAGACTCCATGGGAATGGGTATTGACAATCCAGATGTCCGGCTCGTCGTTCAGTGGGGCGTCCCAGCGAGCATGGGTGCTCTATTGCAGCGAGCAGGCCGAGCCGCACGAGGTACGGAAATCTTGGGTGACTTCGTCTGGTTAGTTCCGCCCTGGTGTTTTGGGGAAAGGACAGAACACTTATCACTTCGGTCCATCAAGAAGCGCACCTCGGAGCACGAGAAGCGATCCGCTTTACCACGAGGCATATGGGAGGTAATCAATCGTTCAACTTGTATCCGGAGAGGCATCCTTGAGTTCTTCGGAGAGAACTGCTCATCATGGACTCGTCCGGCAGAGACAGCTTCTTGCTGCAGCAAATGTACAGGCTACGGGGTTAGGTTACCTACCAGCAAGGCAGGACAGCTTGTTAGGGTTGTTCAATCCCAAAAGCACGTCACGGAAGCGGTGAAATTGGCATTGGTCGAGTGGCGAGAGGCAAAGGCCGCAGACGTATTGTCTTCAACGCTTATGACAGATGCGCTAGCCGAGCTTCTCCTTCCGGATAAAGCTGTAACCATGATATCAAGGACGGCTGCAACGGTTACTTCTATCGCTTCATTAGCACACGCAGTGAACGGGGAATGGAGTGATTTGGCTTCGTACGGAAAGGAGGTCCTCGACGTCACACAGAACGCGTGCCTTTGGGCAACACTCCAAAAGCTCAAACTTAGCAGGTAAAATTGTGAGACGTCATTTCCTTTTACTCCTCGTCGGCATGATCTAGTGCAAAAAAATGGCCTAGTTCCTCATCGATTTCAGCGTCTTCTTCTTCCTCTCCGTCGCCTAGTTCTTGTTCATCACCCTCCAAGTAATCGTAGTTGGCGCTGCATGCCGTTCTGTTGAACTTGATTATCGCTTTGCCGGCGATGCGCTGTGCCCCTGCTGCCAGAACATCCGTAGCTTTATGCTTGACTGTCCGTCCCTTGTGCAGTGCAATTGACCCGCTGTGCGACAAGCGTTGAGCCATCACCCTGATGTCAAGTTCTGCCGATTTCTCTGGATGCTCGCTATTGCGAACAATACAGTAAAAGGACTCTGTCCGTTTGGCAAGAGCAGCAAAGAAGTCAGTATTTAGAGAACAGTGCTTGAAGGGATAATCCATCGTGAGGGACGATCCACGTTTGGCGTTGAGAAGGTTCTTGAGTGTGCCATTGTGGAATTCCACAAGCCTGTCTGTCTCATACCAGCTATCCTCCTTGCCTCGGCGATTGACAAGCCCATTTGCAAGTATCGCGCGCTGCAATTGCGGAGTGGCAGCACGCGTTGACGTGAGACGGTGGAGGTACAACATCTCATAGGCATACCGGGACTGTCCTGAGCCATGGAAGTACAGGCAACAGCGGTCGATGGTTCGACGCAAGAGACCGAGATCAGCATGCTTGATCGAGTACTTTAGAAGCAGGTAGGTCTGCGTGTGCTGCAAGAACAGGACGTGGTTCCGAAGCTCCTCATCATCAGTCGAGCGGGCATATTTGCCGTACGAGTCAACAATCTGATCGAGAAGTCGCGAGAAGGTTCCTGCATCGTGAGCAGCTAGCATTCTAGTGATGTCTTCGAACTCGAGGTTCCCCCACTGTCCAAACTGAGCAAGCTTGTTCATTAGCAAGGCGCACACTCTAGCCTGGAAGCTATGAATGATCAGCTGCTCCAGGGCGTAGAAGTCAGATTTGGATTTGCTGATCTTCTTCCTGGTCCAGAAGTTCATGGCATCATGCAGCGTTGATTGATCGCTGCCTGGGCCTCCGAAATGCAATCTGGATATCATGTACAGGTAGTTCATGCGGAGATGGAAGAGCGCCGGCACTGGCAGCGCCCATTGCAGCCTGTCGTAGGGTCGCTCAGCTTCTTCTCTGCGTTGCTTGATCGAGCGAATCCGCTGTGTAGTCTTCTGGTCGCCGTAGATGAGAAATAAACGCTTCTCGAAGGCGGAGTCGGGTAGGTGGTATTGATGTTGGAAGATATTCTCCAGAATCAGAATATTACCAGCATTACTGCTCTCGTCATGTGGGATGGGACCGAGCGAGCAATGGACAGTCTTGACGGGTTCGAGAATATCGACAACAGGCATTGTTGGACGCTGCCTCTTTACAGCGTCCGGGACGGCGGTCGAGAAGATTTTGTTTATGGCCTCGTAGGCAAAGTATCGTGATATCTACTGTGGGCCGTTGCCAATCAGTATAGGCCATGGACATGGTATGGTGGACCATGACGTACCTGACGATAAATATTGTCATCTCGATTACCAGGGGCTAGGAAGACATCGCTGGCGCACATTTCCGCCCGGGGATCAAGCATGTCTTGTCGCAGCCCACCGGGCGGCATTTCAATGCCGTGAATGACCTGGCCCGTTGTCACCGAATGGAAGGTGCCTTGGTGATCAACCCTCTGTTCCTTGACGCCTTCCATTGTCTCGAAATTATCATACGCCGTTACGACATCGTCACTCTGTCCCATTCTTTCCACTTGTATCACTGCTTGAGTTGACTGTTCTTTGATGGCTCGGACGACAGTATCGTAGCTGACGACGAGTCCAAGTCGAGCGAGGAGCTCTAGTTGCTGACGCTTCACGCCTTTAGAATGCAGGTAGAGACCCAACGCCTTCTGAAACCCCGTGCAGGTGTGTTGCCGCTGAGAGAAACAGAGGATTGATATGATGGCGACAATTCGAGCAACTGGTTCTTTTTGGCGCTGATATTTCCGTCGAGATTCGGGCGCCATGATATCTCTTATAAGCTGTAGCAACAGAGGCGCTTCGCTTTGCATTGTATTTAGCGTTTGGTCCATGTCGAGTGCGTCGAATTCTTCGTCCTTGGGAGTGGGATCGAATTTGTTAAATGGCGCCATTGTACCTAGTCTTTCCACCTCTTTCCGCAACTCATTGTTGCCCAGATCCAATGTCTCAATGACAGACAATCTGCCATCACCCCCGAGTTGATCCGCGTCGCCAAAGTAGGATTTTAGGACTTCGGGGTCCTTGTAGACCGCTGTTACGAAGGCAGTCCTTCGACGAGTATTGTTAGGACCTTCAGCAGAAGCTAGCGCCTTGACAAAGTCGGTCACACCCCAACGGAGCTCTTTCCGCATGAAATTGCATACCATGTCTAGCTTCTCGCTCTCCGAGCGGGGTGAGCGTCTGCGACTGTTGTCGACGTGTGGCAGCGAAGAGCTAGACTTGCCACCTTCAGCTGTGGTCGCAGTCGACGAATCTTCGAATGTCATGTCCAGATGATATGAATTGTTGATGGCGGCACCAATTGACTGCAAGTACATTGGGTTTCTGTTGAGGAGGATTGAACGACCGGAAAAGATTAGGAAGCGACAACGCCACACAAAATTTGGCCAAAAGCGCTCAGGCCCTCTGTGAAGGCATTACCTGATCGGGTTAGCGTGCTTTAGTAAGCGCGCATAGCCGCGGCCTTCACAGTGTGGCCTGAGGCACTGAGGTAAGGTTAAGTCAAGGGTGTTGATCACGTGCCATATCGCCACCTTGCCCCTTCGGGTGTTTTAGTCATGTACCTGTCAGACGGAAGGGGCAGGTCAAGGCTAGCAGTACCTGCACCGCGGGGGGTGCAAATACCAACCACGTGACTCGTGCACCGCCGGGGGTGCAACCAAGATCCGTTATCTAAGAGGCATTTTTGGCCTTTGATAACATCCCTACTGCAAATTGGCCCTCAATTCAATGATCAACAGCTTCTACGGTATTGATTCAACTTGCCGCGCCTTTCTCCTGCTACAATGAACCCAATTGAGGCTCCCCGTTCCTTCCCTGAGGATGCCCTTCCTCCTGAAGGCCAATATGCCTCACGGGAGGAAGTCCGTATAGCAATCAATGCTTGGGCAGCGCCACGAGGTTATGCCTTTGTGATCGGAAGATCTAGAATGACTCCCAGTAGAAGAAGTATAGTTACCTTCATCTGTGACCGTGGAGCAGGGCGCACTCCTGCCTACAAGACCGGAGAGGAACAGCAGCGGAATTCACGCCGTACGGGATGCCGCTTCTCTGTCATAGCAAAGGAAAGCATATGTAAGACCGTGTGGAGTCTGAAGCATCGTCCTGAGGCTGGCTTTGATCAACACAATCACGAACCAAGTCACACTCAACGGGAACATCCGATACTTCGTCAGCTATCAGACCTGCAGGAAACAACAGTCCAACAACTCGCCAATGCCGGCATTGCGCCAAAGGAGATCAGATCCAATTTGCACACAAACTTACCTACACTTGCCACACAGCAAGATATCTACAACTGCATTGCACGAGGCAAAGGGGCCCAATAGGTGCGCACCCGGATGCGCATTTAGATATTTTTACGTTTTAAATTCTACAAAATCAATAAAATTCGTTAGAAATTATAGAAAAGTTTCTATAATACCTATTATATTATACTTATTTATATAATTTACTTTTATTACTATATATTAAATGTTTAAACAGTTATAAGCTATTTAAACTTGCGCTTAGTCATCATTTGTCAAATTGGCGCACCCGGGTGCGTGTGACGGTCAAGGTTCCCAACGTAGTAAACCGTAACCTGACTGGTTTATGTTGGCAGTTGGAACGGGGCGTGGCGTGCTGAGCGTAGGGTTTCGTATCACGTCTGATAATGTCAAGAAGTGTTCTTGAGTAATCAAATTGTATTGAAAGCTGGAGAGCTATCTAGACATGGGAGAGTGCAAACGAGTGAAGCTATATACTATTCTGATTTGCTTGGTCGATCATGGTCGAACGCGTTCTCGTTCGACCTGTTCGACCATTTAAGGTTAAGGTTTCATTTTTGGTCGAACGTGGTCGAACGCGCTCTTGTTCGACCAGTTCGACCACACACCACTTCCATCGGGGTCTGTTTGTTCCGTTCCGAGCTCCGCCGTTTCCCGTTCGTACCCGGTTGATCTCCCTGGGTCGTAACAGTGCGCCAATACCCTCATTCCAGTTTGAATAATTAAAATAAAATTTTTAAAAAAGTATTAAAAAATATAAAATGATTACAGTAGTATATTTATTATATCAAGTGGATGTAACAGGTCGGATTGCGTGGCGGGTTTTCGGAAAACCCCGCTAAAAACCGCCAAGCCCTTGACATCACCAAAAAGGACTGTAATTTTTACGGATCTCGGTACTCATCAACGACCAAGGCCTGCACGGGCATAAAAATAGGATAAATAGGCTCGTCTAATTGAGCTGAACAAAATGACACCTCGCTCGAGCCGTGCAGCCGTCTCGTTGTTGATTTGCACGCGTTTCTGGTCATCGTCTTTATTTTCAAGTTATGACCGTCTATGGGGGTGGTTTACAAGCCCTAAAAGGCCGCCAATTTTAGTGCACTTTTAGGGGGTCTAGGCTCAACACTATGAGCAAAAAAGTCGTGATAGTCGGCTCAATTCAGGGGTAACTAGCAAAACAGTCGCAAAAAGACAGCCAAAAACTCCACGTTTCACGGCTCTGGCAGCCATCTCCGGTCCAGATCCCCGTTCTTTATAGCCTTCCGCACCTTATCAAGAGACCAGTTGGCGCACAGCTCCTCAATTCGCATGACAACGAGTGAGTGTACGCCGACGTCGCGCTCGCCCCCCCGCTCTCGCGCCTTCTGCGCGATGAAGTCGATTATCGCCTTCCTGCTGCAGAAGACGGACTTCTGGTGTTTGGGGCGCCAAGCAGAGCCATAGTCGGCCTCCAGGGACTCGATAGAAGGCATGCCGGCCCTCCCGTTCTTCCACACGGTCCACAGATCGCGAACGCTTCTAAGGTCTAAAGGAAACTCAAAGAGTGGTATTTGCGGCTCATCCGCCACCGCCGCTCCGGCCGGCGGCGGCAGACGAGACGCAGGGGAGGCTCGGCCAACGGCTCCCTGCTCTTCCACAAGCGTAGGAGTGGCGGGGAGAGGAGCGGCGGCCCGCAACGAGGGAGCCGGCGTCGTCAAACGTGCCGGCGCGCCGCGGCGCCCTCGTTTCGGCATTTCCAACCGCTGTGAGACCGTACTAAGCCCAGGGCTGATCGTGACAGTATAGTTGATTTTGGATAGCTCAAGTATCTGTCTCGACAGCTTATTAAGCTCTATCGTAAGTTGATAGAACATCCTATCTACTGTTAAGTTCACAGCGAGCTGTTGGCTTTGTAAGGAACGCAGTTTCTCTGCAACGGCAGGGATGGCTCGATCGATAGTGGCCACATAACTCTCTTCCTCAGCCGTTCGGCAGGCGCTTTCAACTTGTAGCGCGAACGCTGCAAAATCACTACTTTTGAAGACTGGATCGCGGAAGACAGGATGCCGGGGATAGAGCTTCCGCAAGAAGACGGTATCCTGTAACAACACTTCGCGCAGCCACAAGCTCGAGAAATGCGCCGGCAGCCTTGTTCGGTTCAACGGCTAAAGAAGCAGTATCGTGTGCTTCTTTCCACCTATCGAGATCGGGCCAGATGCGTCGCAAAAGAGCGAGTGGCGGCTTGATAGTGTCGCGCGCGAGAAAGTAGGAACCTGACCAGTCAGGGTCAAAATCGGCTGAGGACCTCATAAACTCGAAGGGTAGTGATGTAAGGTAGCAACCCATCATCTGGTCACCGTTGTTCCATCTCCCGGCGCGCCGTATCTGTTTTGTATGGAGATCAGCATATAAACGCGGTACGGTAATGCGGACTGAAGTGCGCAGTTGAACGGCCGAGCGGAAGGGCCACTCCAGAGGTTTACGGGAAGCTCATAAAGCCTACCGGCAAAAAAAATCAACACCAAGGCTAAAAAGTCGTGATAGTTCGCAACTATCCGGCGCGCCACCTCATCCACTCGAGATGTAGAAGGCCGCCATACCATTAAAACATGGCCAAATCGGCCGAAAACATAACGAATCGAAAGCTCTTAACACACCTGACCTTCAGGGACGCCTGCCATATCGGCGTTCTGTGCTGCTGCGACCCGGGGAGCGTGCGAAACTTTTGAGGTGGAGATTCCGCACCGGCTGTACAGCTTGCTCGTCCACGACCGCGCCGTTTGGGCTGAAAGCGTCGCCTTCGGATCCGTGGCGGAGCGACGTAAGACCTTGAGATCGTACCACTCCTCACTGCGTTCAAAGCTGGGAAACGGCTCCTTTTCCTCCACCTGCCAACGCCAAAAGAAATAAAACGCCAGCGCCCCGATAAGACAAGACCGCACGTCACGGTGCCGCAGGGCGGCCCCATACTCCATTCTCCCGTGTTGATTCGTCTTGCCCTGGTTCATGACAATCACCAAGGCGTATGTCGGGAACTCCCGGCGCTTCTGGCCCTCATTGGGGAGCTCAAGGCGAAAACAGTCAGGGAGCTCCATCGGCAACCGATTACTCTGCCTCAGGAGCATGTGGTTGCCCAGGAGGAAGTCGACCTGCGTCCGAAAAAGCGCAGAGACGTCGTCTTCGCTCTCCCAGACTGCAGACGTGTGATCGGGGATCTGCGCCGGCGTGTAGACGTCTTTTATCGTGCCCTCAAGGCGGTCGCGATACTCGGACCGCTTGCGGCTCCAGACGACGGCGAGAATGCTCTTCTTCAGCGCCTTGAGCGCGATTCCCTGCGGCCGAGGCGCCGGGTTCATATTCCTGCTCTTCTGCTCCTCATACAGCCTTTGTATGGCCGAGATATAGCCCCGGACCGTGTTGTACTGCAGCCGGAGCTCCTCCTCGTTGAATAAAGGCTCGTCGAGAGCAGGAGACTCTTCTTTTGTAGCCGCCTCGCCGGCAGGCGACGTGGCAACCACGATCGTATCTCCCGAAACGAAGAGTCAGCGACACGGCGTCAAGGAAAGGCCAGCCAAAAGGGGGGGGACCCGGTACCTGAAGCAAGTCGCCGCCTTTTCACGGCGGCGACGTCCTCTACAACGCGGGCGGCAGCCGCCTTGCGCTTCCTTTGCTTTGTCACTCGAACTCCTTTCTTCGGGGCTCGAGTGACGACCTCCTCCTTCATAAACAGGAGTAGTTTGCCCTCATCAACTAGGTCGCCAGGTAGCTGCTGGCCCGGCGGCCAGGAGAGCTTCTTGTTGACCCAGTCTTCAGGGATAGGCGGCCAGTTACTGGCGCACCAGTTCTACAGTGGCGTCAGTAAGTAAATCGAGGGCAGGGAGCAACAATCTGACCTTCCATTCGGCCTGTTTTGGCGCGTAGTTCTTGACCGTGTTCTTGGGCGCCGTCCCCTCCAAGTCGAGCAAATAGAAGTCCATGGCCGCCCGCACGCGAGCATCTTCAATAGCCATAGAATCCATAGTAAATAGATGACAAGATACGGGGTCAGCTGGGCCGGGGAGGGTCGTGGCTGTGGCGCAATTGCAGTGCAATTGAGGTGGATGATGGAGGTGGTGATCGACGCGATTTTGGTGGATTATTTGCGGCCATTTTGGAAGGGCGGCGCATACAAAGGCAAGTCAGCTGACCTTCGCTTTTGTCACTTTTTTTCTATGGCCCCGCGCGTTTGTATGGGGTTTTTCGCGCAAAGGCGAAGGGCCTGTGGGAAGGAGTGACCTTCGATTTCGGGGCTAGTTTGGCGCCAAAATGGGCGGACCCACAGGGTCTTTGAGCGACCGAAAAACCGGTCCACGACCCCCCTGCACCTGTTACACCAATATATATCTCATACACAGTTTTTATAATTATCAGATACGTCAGAGGCGAAAGTTGCCACCTATTGCCACCTATTGCCACGAGGCTTAGCAATCAGCTTCTAGCTGATTCTATACAGAAGAGAAAGGGTATATAAAGCTTGAAACCTCAAGACATAGGGGCAGGAGAGAATACACAATTTTTCACTCTAATATTTGACAATAATTTAATATAAATAAATTGTTAGGTTATTATAGAAAACGTAAAAAAATCTAAATGCGCATCCGGGTGCGCACCTATTGGGCCCCGCAGGTCAAGCCGGGCTGACTAAGGAAGTCGGGGTACATGGGACCCAATAGAGCCACGGGTCCGTACAGCCACGGGTCGGGACCCAATAGAGCCACGGGTCCGTACAGCCACGGGTCCCTACGCTTAGTCAGCAACACCCACTGTAATATTCTCGCCTCACCGCTGACCGCCTATAACCACTCCATCACAACTATCAAGGGCTGCTTCTGTATTTTAATGGGCAAGATTTTGCACCTCTTCTATGGCCTACTATATGACATTTGCTACATGTAGGTAGTCTTTTTGCTGGCTTATCTTGCGGCTCATCTTGTGGCTCATCTTGCCCCTTGTCTTGTCGCTTGTTTTGCGGCCTGGCTTGAGGCTCGTCTTGTGGTTCGTCTTGTGGTTCGTCTTGTCGCTTGTCTTGTGGTTTGCCTTGGGGCTCATGATTGTGTTGACAAAATCGAGCTTCGGTTCGATGTTTAAGAAGCCAATTTCCACTCCATTCTTCCTTGGCTACTATTGAAAATTGGCAGCCAGTGCGAAATCGATTGCATGCGTAGGTAACCGTAAGTCGACCAGACCTTTCTGTAGTTGATCTTCTGGTTATAAATTTATAGCCTCCGATTGCTGCCCAGATATTGAGATCTAGAATAAGATCTTCTTGTGATGAATACCACTGTTGAGGAGGAAGAGAGTTCATTTTGTTAATAGTAGTAAGTAAGGATAGATATGATGAAGTATCAGGCGGTGAAGCAGAAGGGAGACGGAAAAGGCAGCAAGGCAGAGGGTTAGGGTTATGCTGACTAATAGAGGACCCGTGAGTGTACGGACCCGTGGCTCTATTGGGTCCCGGGGTACATAACAAAATCCCGCATCCACAACAACAACAACAACACAGACATCATCACAGCAGCTCGAACACCGTTGATTTGATCAATTGAATAGCCTCACTTTGAGGCCAAATTATCACTATTTTCCCTGTGAATTCTATCACTTTTGAGTACGTCAACTCGGACCGTTATTTTCCCGCTCGCGAGTCCGACACTACCTCACCTCAACATCTCCCTATCAATCGACATGGCAACCACTGTGTCTGCACTTCTCGGCCAGTATCCTACAAACCCAGTCAAAAATACCCTCAAGCATTCAGATAGCAATAAATCATGGGCGAAATCATACCCGCCCATATCTAGGCTCAGAGTCCACACTTCCATCCAAGGGCCGGGCTCAGTTATAGCCAACTTTAACGACGCATTCCTGGGTGAATACAACGATGAGACCCTCAGGCTGAACGAAACCGCACATCCACCAAACTACCGAAGGTGGCGTCTGGACTCAGAAGAAGACGGGATTCAGTGGTTTCATACAGAAATATCTAATGTAGTCCTGAGCGCATTTGCAAGCCATCCCAGCCTCCTCCAGACTTCCCATGAGAAGGCTCTCTCCGAGACTCGCACAGAGCAGACGGTTGATATATCATACTCGGTGTCCCACGGCAAAGAAAGAATGCCTGTTGCTATCGGCGAATTTAAGAGAGGCCTTATAAAACCGGAACAGTGGCAAAACGGGAAGCTCATACACAGCCAACAAATCATCCTTTCTCAGGAGCTACGAGGGTGCGTTCTTCCTCATATCAAGCCCAACTCTTGACAAATATTATATTATCAATACTAAGTTTACACTAACAGGTATGCACACAAATACGCATGCCCCCAGGTCTTTTGTTTTGATAACTACTCTTTCCTTATGCTCCAGTTTAGAGCCAGAAATAAGCATGATATTAAAGACGCTAAATGCGACGTCGACTGCTGGATCCTGCCCCGCGAAGATATGCACGGCTGCTACAGCACCACTCTCCGCTATGCCCTATATCGACTACTAGTTCAAGGCTTCCGCAGATGCCAAGGCGCACGGCCGATGGAAGTTTCTCTCTATGGGATACACCCACATGTGCGCGAGTTCTACAACGGCCAGCCGCTTTGGAAAATCGATGGCAAACTTCACACCCAGCCCGGGGGACATTGCCGTTTAGTCGATCCTACCTGTGGCGCCTTCTTCTGGACGGATTCAGACGGGTCAACTCCGTTACTCGATCAAGACGGCAATGTGGCGCGAGATACAGAAGAGTTTTGGGAGTCGAGCCAGCAACAAACTGAGCCAGATAATAATATATTAGCTGGGGAGGATCTCTATGGGCCCGGGTAGCTTATTTAGTGCGTCTTCAGTATTTAGAACTTGGGATTTATTATATTACTCTTATTGCTATCTTGTAGTTGAACTTAAATTGTCTTATGAACTGTGTCACTATAGCCATACTACTATATCTTAACCGACTCAAACTCATACATGGCAATATGAATATTCACACTGATTTTCTTATAGGGAATTGATATAGCGGCATGACAATTTTGATACAGAGGCATGACTCTTACAGCGGCATGACTTTTACATCATCTGATTCGCCAGATTTCCGTCGACCCCTAGATACATCCTCGCAAAGGCGGTGAAGCCAGCTTCGCTAACAACACCTCCCTTTCAGTGTAGAAGCAATTAGGTCGGGCCAGCCTCCTAGAACAGGTCTTGCCCAGGCGTCAAAATAAGGTCTAGTTTTCCATACAGAACAAGGCCAACTCTATTACGCCCTCGAAGGCAGCTATCTATACCTCTATTTTCTAACTGTTGTACAAGAAAGAACATCCTCGTCGCTCTCAACTATCTCCCACTGACTCCTTCGGCGCCGGATGCTTGGTTGCGTCCTCCGTCTGCTGGCACGTACCCCTGTAGTTCTTCCACTTCCCAGAACAGCTGACTGACCGCGTGTCCGGGGCTGGGATATGGGACTGGCCTGGCTGCTGGCCTGTTGGCAAGTAAGGGTGGGCTGACCCTGTCTTGTCGGCTCTGTCACTGTCGTTTTCGTGGACGTAATTGACCTCTAGGACTAGGGCTTCGAGTTCGACGTCTTTGACTGCTCACCGAGCTCGACGAAGACTCGGACTGGGACATGATGCACGTCCTGATTGTTGACGGTTGATAGACTAGCAGTGTGTAGCTAGCTTGCGGATGGAGAGCTTGATCGTGTCGCGTCAGGTACTAAGGTATGATTGTGGAGAGCTAAGCTCTAGGTACGAGTCAGAGCTGTCGGCAGAATTGTGATGTTCTAACAAAAGAGGGTCCTGTCCAATCAGATGATGTAAAAGTCATGCCGCTGTAAGAGTCATGCCTCTGTATCAAAATTGTCATGCCGCTATATCAATTCCCTTCTTATATTCATATTATATTCAACTTATCTAGCAAAACACATATTCATATAACATATTCATGCATATTCATATAAGGGTTCACGTAATGCCAAGCTACTGCAGTGAAGTGAGAGAAATCCATTGATGTAGCTAATACAGCGCGAAAAACGCTATTAGATATCACCCGCGATAGCCTCTGGATCACACGGGAGACCAATCCCGCCCTCAGCTGAGGGTCTAATATGTCCCTCTCGCAGCCAGTTGCCGATACACTCAATCTTCTCAATGCTCTCAATCAGCAATCGTAGCCTATCCCATCTAGCTGTGCGCTTAGCCCCTGAAAAGGTCCGCTCTGGCTCTGCTGATTCTGCTGGTACAGACAGGATATCGATAGCCATACGGCTAAGCCGTGGGTACGCTGTACGAACGTCCTCACTACACCACCATTGAAGGGGCGTAGTACCCTCTGCAAGTGCGATAGGAGCCTCGGAGATGAAGCTATCGAAATCATCCTTGCCCCGTGTTCTCGCCATCGTCTTATTTCGTAGCTCTAAGCGCATCTTTGAGAGCATCGTATCCTTCTTTCGCTTTAATAAAGCAGGCACAGCCAAGGATTGCTCTGAGAGCTGTATCTCGACATCGTGATTGTACTCTTCCTTCCAGAGACTACGGGCGGCGGCAAACGCACCCTCGTGCCATTCCTCGGGCCAACATTCTTCGATATAGCTCTTGCGTTTAGAAGGATCGAGAAGGAGGGCGGCGGCATATACGGGGACATCCTCGGTCATAGTGTAATACTTATCGAGTATAAACCAGCACATATTGATAGAGTGAATTATACGATCATCGCGATTGCTCGGCTGCGAGTAGTGGGCCTAATTAGCTGATTAGCATGTCGTATAAGCTATAGATAAAGCAGGAAGATGCAAAACTTAGCCGTATACCTTCCACTTTTCGCAGTGTCCTAGGAGAAGGTCCAGCAGCTCAAGTGACTGTGAGATTGATGACATAGCGCCTTCAGCTTCTAACGTGGCCTCATAGAAAGGTTGAAGGAATTCTAGCGTTCTTTCTAGCATTTCCCAATCCCTACTGCTAAGAGTATTGCCTTCGAGATCATTGTCATGTTCAGCAGTAAACTGGATGATCTGTGGCTTCTTCTTTAACGCAATAGTGATAACTCTATGCCATGAGGACCATCTCGTGATATTATCGATACCTAGTTGCTTACCTACAGCATCGTACCACTGATCGTTGTGTAGAGCTGAGCTCCGTATATAGACTGCAAGTGCATGAAGTTTTGCTAGCGCTGGAATACCTTGCCAGCCAGCGAAACGCTCATCGTTGTTGCTGGCTTGCTGATGCGTAGTTGCGGCTCGCTTGCCCCTCGCCTTTATAGATCTTCTCGTGGGCTGCTCCTGCCGCTCTTCCTGCTGTTGTTCTTGCTGCGTCGTGGTGTCCGAACGTGCCGCAATCTCCGCCGGATCCAGCTCATGTAATTGCTGTGAGAACTCCTCTAGCATAGTTGAACCGGGCTCATCGGCAGTAGCTTCGAGTGCAGCCCTAAGAGCTTCTTTTGAGCGGGCGAGAAGGAATGCTTGTAAGGCATGATTGATAATATGGCCGATACAGCGGATTCTACTAAATTATAGCACAGGCAGAGTACCCTCACAAACGCCGTATAGGCTACAGCAGTATTAGCGGCCAAGAGTTAAACTTACACCTGATTCCGCCTCCAAAACCTTTGATAGCTCCCCTAAACAGGTGTCGTTTGATGTAGCATTATCACCTGTATAATAGCCGAGGTTTTGAGCAGTAATATTGAACTTCCATAGCGTACCGGCAATCAACTCAGCCTGCGTAGCACCAGAATAGCTGTATTTGCACTCTGGCAGTCCTAGTAGTGCTTTCTGAGGCCTGAAGTCCTCATCGACCCATTGAACGCATACAGCGAGTACGCCATGGCGATGTGGCGATGTCCAGAGATCAGAAGATATGTGTATCTTCGACTGCATTGTTTGAAGGCTCTCGGCAAGCTGCGAGCTGTATAACGAGTAGTTCGAGTTAATATAGCCCATAGCCTGCTTTCGATCGTTAATGAGAAGATCTCCGATGGCTGGATTACATGCCAGAGCCAGATCTCGCAGCTTAAAGTACTCAACTGCAGAAAAGGGCAGTCTGCGCCTTGTTAGAAGCCCCACAACTGCCTTAATATAGGCTTGCTTATTAAAACAGTTACGGAGAGCAGCCTGAGATAGACGAGAGACGATATACGAATCGATAGCGCCAGACGAAACACCCGAGGCAAATGTACTAGATGGAGTATCATTTGCACCTCGCTTGCTCGTATAATGGCCCGGTGAGCCGTTTCTGCATGGTGTATAGCGTTGCCAGGCACTCGATTCGACCATGGAGGATTCTGACAGTGAAGACAAACGTAAGCACGATGTCCCTTAGTCTTTCTGCGCTTCGGGCCAAGCTCTACTTGGAGGTGTTTATCGGGATAATCTATATAGAAAAAGGCGTTGAAATTCCATGAAAGTTTCGATGCAAACGAACCGATAGAAGCATTGTTAGTCCATGAGACTGATATCTCAGAAGCCTGAGAAGCCATAAGTGCTAATAAGCAGTATGTTACTTACTGCATGGCATGTGGTAACTAGAGTTTTTTTTTTAAGAACTAATCAAGAGATTGTTGGGTAGAGAAATTGGTGCTGGCATGAAGTGTACTTGGAATGTGTCACATCCAACAGACCAAAGGGTCATACATTTGATCAAACTGGAAGGAAGGTCTTCTAGCTGCTCAGACAGGCTATTCAGACCGGCAGCCCGGAAGTCCGGACTTCCCGTCAGAGGTTGGTATCACCTATCATCTCCTACGGAGATTATATCTAATTTGAGCCAATCAGGAACCATCTTCCTTATATGAATATGCATGAATATGGATAGGTAAGTACATATTATATTCATAAATTATATGGATATGAATATGAATATATTCATGCGTAACGTATATGATAAGCATACGGCGCATCCAAGTATACAACGCACTTAAAATCTTCACCTTAAAGCGTGATTTTAAAAGAATTTCTAAAATTCGAAAAATAATTCTATGAAGCTAAAAGTTTATATATATCTTAATTAATAGGCAGGCTATATATAGAAATTTTCTTGGATTTTTTTAAAAAATTACTTATAAAGTAATTAAGAAAAAGCTTATTTACACTGTGTACCTCCTAGTTTTTCTATATAAAACTATTATTTAAAAATCTAGGAAAAATACTCCCTATCTAACTATTTTTTAGGAAGTTTAAAAATAATTTTTTTAGATTTTAATAAATCATATAACTAGCGCATTTTAGAAAATTTAAAGTCAAGCGTTTTAGCTGCACAGTAAAACTGCGCCGCATACTTGGATGCGCCGCAAGCTTATCATATACGTTATTCATATAAGACCTTATTTGAATATTAATATAGCCATGTCTGCTCCTGGACCTCCACCTACTGGACCTGAAACCACCCTCGGCCGAGCTCTTCATCCTATCCTAAAATATTTACTCCTCGCTAAGATAGTTTGATTCAATTTTATACAGAAATGGTTGTGATTGGTGCATTAAAAGATGATCTTACTGATTCAGATGACGATTTGGAAGACAGAGAGGATATTGATGGATATAGAATAGAGCCTTATTGGCTTACTGTTGTGTTCCTTATCCTGTTATCCTGTTATCTTATCCTGTATCCTGTAATCTGTATTTTTCTTATCTTGTTCTGTTCAATATGTTAAGGGATTTCTTAACATGTTATACAGGTTGCCCATGTATGCAGGGGCATGAAGCCAGAGTCAGGGTTGATGTTAAGGTACGTAGCGTTCTGGTTGTCCAGGTCGGCCCGGTCGGCAGACTGAGTGCCTATGCGGTAAAGGACGAGCGGGACCTCGATGAGCCCTGGGATGGGAGGAACGGACTGCTAGAAAACGGGATAATCTGCCGGGATTGTGATAGAGGACCAAGGCGGGAATTCGATTTTCTCGACATCGCACCGGGCGATGACGGCTTGGATGGGGCCTGAAGGTCTGTGTGCTGCCGTCAAAGTGGAGTGTACAGAGGCTAGAGCAGGTGGCAGGGTTGCTTTAGGCACAGGTGCCTGCTGAGACACCATCTCTGGCTCGAAATCCGTATCTATGTTGTCCCATTTCGAGAGGCCTATACGTGCCATGGAATCGTCATAAGTCTTCACAATGATTGAATACTGAATTCAATCTGCGTGAAAGGTTAGAAAAGACACTGAATTGCGAGACGGCAGAGCAGGACCTGAAACACCCCGGTCTTCTCTAACGCTCGGATTACTTAACGCCCAATGCCCTCCAAGCCATGCAGTAAGCTTCGTTCCGAAAGGCATTGGCGGGCCCGCAGGGACCGGTCTCCTGTCTCACTACAACACACCATCTTGGCCACAATGCGCCACAAGGACGGTCTGTGCGGACTGCTACTGCTACTGCTACTGCTTACTGCTACTGTAATAATCTCCACTCTGCCGCCAACTTTCAAATAAATTTGCGTCGACAGATTTGTGCCTGCCAGGCCGATAAGAAGCCTCCATGGTCTGCGGTAGTACCAGGTGATATGTTTACCATGTTGATTCATCCCTAGCCTACAGTAACAATAACAGCCGCGACAAGTGTCGCTAATTCAACGTGTTAAACCGGTTTTCCGCACAGATGATATTTGGCCCCGTATATGTAACAGGGGAAGGGTAAAGCTGATACGCCACGACGTCCCTCTTTGTTACGCCCCGCAACACAAAGGTACCTTACTCGCTGCTTCTCACTAACTTCGTACGCACCCATATTGGCTCCAATGCGCCACAAGGACGGTCTGTGCGGAAATGCGTTCAACACTTTCAGGTTAGCCCATCATCGAATCCATCACGATGGGTGTGCGGCTTACGCCATCCGAGTCACCGTGCGCCCAGGTAACTCGCTGTGAAGTGAGCAGAGCCCTATAACTACCAGAGTACTGCTTTGGTAAAAGGCACTCGCCTAGATTGGTACCGTTGTTGTTCCTTCGCCCCATGAACCCTACATTGATGCTCGCTCAGCCATAGAGAGACTCGTTGCCCACCATGAGTGCTTCGCCCTCAATATCTCCAAACGACTCACAAGTGTCGACCATCATTGCCGTCGTTAGCTGCGTCGTCTTCGTGGCTTTCCTCGCTGTGGCTTTGCGGGTCTATGCCAGGGCCGTCTTAATCTCACAGTTTGGCATGGACGATTATGCCAGCATCGTTTCCTTTGTGCGGCTCCCCATGTTTCCACCTTACTTCCACCTCGTCAACTAACGCCACATAGGTGTTCGTTTTTATCTGCGGATTTTTTGTTGCATGGAGTGAGTATCCAACCCCGTCGTCATGTCTTCCCTGTCCTGACAGCCTCAAGATACGAGGTTTGGCTTCGGTACGCACGTCGACTTTCTCACAGAGGAGCAGATCCAGGCGTACTTGAAGGTGAGTCAAGAAGCCCATAGAATTCAGCCGATGTCCTGCTCTGACCTGTACCGATATACCAGACATTCTACATCTCGGTAGTATTCTACAACATAGCTATGGGAGCTATCAAGACAACCTTCCTGCTGCAGTACTACCGAGTCTTCGCTCGCCCGATGGTCAGAAATGTCATCATCGCCGCCGGAGTCGTCATAGGTGGATGGAGCACGTCCCAGATCTTCCTCGCTATTTTCGCCTGCACCCCAGTGTCCGCCTTCTGGACCGGCGAGGGCACTTGCATAGACAACCTCCCGGCTTGGTATGTCAACGCTGCCGGCAACATCATCACCGACTTGATTGTCCTCATTCTACCTCTGCCCGTCATAAAAAAATCTCAACCTAGCCAGCCATCAAAAGATCATCCTCTTGGGCGTCTTTTGCCTGGGTTTCTTGTATGTATCTTGCCCCGACGAACGCAGGATCGTGAACACACCCTTTGGCTAACGCACCCACCTTAACACCAGCACCTGTGCCATCTCCTTTGTTCGTATTCGCTTCCTCAAGCTGTCGCAGGACTTTACGTGGACGAACGTGGAGGCTGCTGCTTGGTCTATCAGTGAGCTCTGCTCCGCCCTGACATGTGTCTGCTTGCCAACGCTCCGGCCTCTCATTTCCCACCACTTCCCTGGGCTCCTCAGCAGCCGTGGGACTTCATCACAAAAGACGCCTTACCCCAACCCGGGGTCTGGGGCTGCCAGCACGGGGCCTGGTGAACTCGGACCTGGTGACCGATCGAGACGCACCTTACAGAGGACTGAGAGCAACGACGAACTGTACGGCACGCTCTTTAGCCTGACGCGCTCCGATTCAAGCCTAGAGGGTCAACATGACAGCGTGCCGTCCGCGTCATCCAAGGGGATGGACAGGTTCCGGCCGGATCGCAATCTCGCAAAGGTCACGACATGCATCATTGGGAGCCAGAGCTGGCCCCAAGGCGGGAAGCGGATACATGAGAGCTCCATCGAGATTGAACTCGAGATAACGCAGGCCGTCTCTCAGGAGACTCAAAATAAAGATTTCTCTTAGCAATCCTTAGTTCCCAGGTAAATCCAGGTGGGAAAGTGATGTATGACCTTGTGGTGGTGTAACTACTAATGGCATGTAAAAGTCTGAGCGGTGACTGACCCAGCCATTGATGTAATAGACCCGGCTTTCAACTAAGGAAATAGGTAGGAATTGCTAAAATAGTAACAGCAGTTTTGGGGGGCAGGGCTGCTATCTCAAAGACCTGGCCTGGAATGACCATAGGTTCTGAAGTTGTAACCGCCATCTGGAACTCATCCTCCTTTCTCAACCCTTTCTAACCTGACTCGCTCGCCTCCATTCCCCCCCCCCCCCCCCCCCCCCTGCCTCCCCGGGTCTGTGTCAGCCGCTGCCTTTTCCGGCCCATGCTCGTATTTGTATGCGGTCTGCTCCATCAATCAAGGCACGCAACCAGCCCATGCTCACCAGTACCCAACTAACCACTCGGTGGTATGTTCCAATACGATCCACAACCCCGCCCCCCGTTCCTCGAAAGACGATAGTATTTACATGTGATTCATGCAGCCTGATCTTGAATTGGTTAACATGGGAGGGGAGCACGGTCGTCCAAGCGCATGCGCCATGTGGGACAAGATCTTCACGCAGATCCGCCCTACATCCGGTCGATCAAACACAAGCTTTCGTCGCACCATACTACTGCTTATCTTACAGTGCTAGTTCACCCCCTGCTAAGTCAGAGTCAGGGACAGAGCGGATCTTGGAGCCTTAATCTGAAGGAAAGGGGGCTGATGTTGAAGTGCGATGTAAATAATAAAGGCGCAGCTATGAGAGTCTCACGTAACGGACCTTAAGGGAGGCGGTGACTGAGCTTGGAAGTTTAAAAAAAAAGAGCTACCTGTTAGTATTATAAGGCAAGCTGCTTACTCGGACGACTCCTGAACATATAGAAAGAGACGATCGATGACTAACTGGACCTGCTTCATTCGGTCCTGAGCATCCCCCCATCAGAGCAATCTCCTAGCAAGTGGTTGTGGGCTTGGAGGAGAGTTTGTATGTCGGTTGAGCGACCCCTCCTTTCCTAACCCTGGTGACGCCTCCGTTTTTTTGAAATTCCTTCTTTAATTCTTCTGCTCCTCTGATGGGAAGCACGAGTACTTGCTGATGTCGCACTGGTCAAGATTTCCAACCTCCTCTGCAACAATTTTGCCATTAAACCGACTGCATTCCCTCTGTCTTGCCATTCTTTCTAATGTTGTCGGATCAAAGTAGATGGGATCATCACTTTTCCCAACGATAGGCACTATACTTGCCAATAGGCCTCTCTAAATGCTGTAGGAAGCGTGAAGCACCAGCCTAGCCAAGAACCTTCGCCTATTCTGTTGCCTCACAATGAGAGACAATCGCATCTCCTTGGGAACACCGAGTTTTGAGATTGGGTTCTCGCTGACTCTCCAGATGGCCTTGTGTCTGACAGGACTACCCACCATCGATCCGTGTACCAAAAGACGCCCCACCTGCTCCCACGACCTTTTCTGACTGACTTTACCTATGGAACTCATTACGGCCAGACCCCTTCCAGATAGCGACAGTTCGGTTGACATTTCCAAGTTGACCATGGAGACAGGCCCCTCATAGAGTTTCAGGTGCATTTCCGGAATTGCCGGAGGGTGTATATCGTCGGAATCACTATCCTCGCTAGAGTCTGCCATAGAAGAGTTGACAGGAGCATCTTCGAATGTGACTGCAATGGTGGCCTGCCTTATCCGCCAGACGAAGTGACTCGGTTCATTGTTTCTCCCGCCGCCGTCTGTCACGGGGCTCTTTCTGACTGCAGTTAAAGCTTATAATAGAGATAAATTTATTACTCCAACATCTCTTAGAGCACCAGCATAGAGACATTGAATAATTACAATTTAACCCTCTCACTATAGTTTGACATCAGGTTACCTCAGCCTCGTCTCTCCCGTTGTGCGGTGACGAATAGACGTCCCTCCCAAAACCCTTCTTTCGCTACCCTCTTCCTGCAGTTCTTCATTCAAAGAATTCATATGAACCAAAACTCGGTCTCGAATGGCAACTGACTTCCCAGATACCGCAATAAAATGCCCATCCCCATCTGCCATCAGTTCAACGCTGGGAGGGTCGAGCATATATCCAGGTCTCGACTTTTTCCCATCCCTCTCTGATGTGGCATATACCAAGTTTGCTAAGAACGTGTTGGACCAGTGTGAATCCGCAAAGAAAGCCAGCGCAAGCCATGCGGCTCCCGCGAGGAGCAGAGTAAGGATGCTTAGAAGGAGCTGCAGGCCGGATATAGCAACAGTCAACTTCTCAACACTGATCATGACCAGGGCTGGATCGACGCTGACTATATAGCCCCTTGCGACAAGCAGGCCTTCCATCGTGACCAACATGTTCCGAGTCCAGGACATGACGCTGTCATTGAGAGACTCTGAGCTGACGTTGGAGCGGCCATTGCCAAGGCCATCTATAATCAGAACAGCGGCAGTGTCTACCTGGCCAAAGAACTTGTTACTGTTGTTATCGGTTGTAGATCCGACGCAATCAGTCTGGGTGATCCTTCCACCAAACGCCTCGTTCTGGAATGATCCACGGCGGCATTTCCCAAATGGCGTTGGTGGCTTGTCGATGGTTTCAGATCTTAACAGCGTGATGTTGACCGAAGCGAAGCTGATGAGGGAAAATAGGTCGTCCCCGGTACTGCCGAGTGAGACAGTCAAATAGCCCCAGCTAGACTGAAGCACCGTGAGATTCCCGTTATCAGCTGCATTGACTCCGAAATGGTAGCTGAGGTTTCGATCCTGCGCGCTCATGATATCTTCCACAATCTGGTCCATGAGCAGGTCGTTCCCGTGGGTCTCATTTATGCTCCAGGTCCGTCGTACCAGATCACCAACGTCCTGCGCAGCAAATGGAACTCCCGGATTGGTCAGCATGGTGACGCGAGATACATACTCAACAAACGTATGACGTCTGGTCCCCTTGGTCACGGTAAAGACCTGCATCATAGTCGCAGACCCGCCACCCCGCCCGAAGGAAAACCAAATGTTGTCGGCCCTATTTGGGGTGATGTATCTTGAATCGAGCTTCAGGTCCGACTCGTCGTCCCAGTGTACCTCGGGTCTCCCAATGATGCCGTTCATTATGCTTTGTGAGAAGGTGTTGTTGAAGGTGCAGTTCCAGAGGGCCGAGCCTCCGCCGAAGTGTATGCACATGGGAGGGAACTTTTGGCCATCAGCCTCGACGGGCTCTGGCAACATGGCATAACTATCTGGTGAAACAGAGAAGCCGTCGTCATCAAGCCAGATTCGCGCCCCGACGTCATATTGTCGCGTCGGTGTCATGGCTTCGGGAGATCCCCTTTGAACTTCACCAGTCAAAGTGTAGTTCAGGCCTGGCTTGAAAAGGTCAGATCCCACAACCTGTGCGAGCGTTTCCTCCGTCCCTTGTAGGGTACTGGGATCAAGATCCAGCCGGATAATGTAAGGGGAATCCCAGTTGCGCAAACTCTCATACTGGGGGACTGTGACATTGGATGCCCTGAAGATGTATCCTGGAGAATCCAATGCCCAGAGTAGGGTCCCATAGAGAGACGCAAGCGTGCTGAGAATGCTGAAGAGGAGAACGATAAAGCCGGCGCGGGAGATGCCACTGGACGAGAGGAAGAGCCAGCGTTGGATGTAGTCTTCGGCGAACATAAGGTACGATGTGAATTGATTAGACCGCGCGGCAAGGAGGGAGAAGAGTTTGTAGATGAATAGCGCCATGAGAAGCTCCGCGGATTTGAACACCATGGATTTCACCGCATTGTGCAGTAGGGGTATCGAGGATGCGATAAAAGTGGACGATGACTCTATCATAATGGCGATCTTCTGGCGAAACGGATGGGAATGTTACTGGATTTTGATGGACGTGCGGCGTGGCTGTTAAGGTATATATATTGGCCCGTACTTTGGTAATTACCCTTCTCCTTACCCTTTTATGCCCTCTTACAATCAGGCTTCCCCAGCCCTCGCTCGATATTTGCGGTGGCGCTCGCATCGTGACCAACCGACATGGCGACAAACTATGGACCCAAGCATGCCAGCCGTGCCTGCATATGAGACTAACCATTCGGTGAACAGGCTAGCTTGCAGCGCTTTGCAGAAAATGGTTATGGGCAGGTGGAGATTGCTACAGGAGGCTCATTCCACGAGCGAGTCCTCTATTTTGTGGCGTTCAGCGCTCCGTGATGACATGTTTGTCACTTATGGAGCGACTTTTCAAGCACGCGATGGTTATTTGGCCAGGGGCGGCAATGGATATAAATCGGGGGCGCTCTAACTGATACAAGGTTCCTTTTTCTCTCTGTTTATATTGAACTCACTGACCGTGAACCGTTTAGCAAGGCTCATCAACCTGTACGACAGACCCTCATTTAGATTAACCTACCGATCGGGCACAGCCGAGTCTCCCTTGCAAGGTGCCGAGGCTCGGTAGTTATTTGTAGTACATGCATGCATGGCCCTGAGAGAAACAATTGTTCAGTCCTACGCCACAACTGAAGCCGACAGAACAGCGGCTGAGAAACACTGCAATTGATGTCCAAAACAGCATCCCGTTTTGCCGGGCGTCAAAGCGCAGGAATCACTGCGGGGTAACTTATGCCGTCTAATCACGGAGCTGTACGGAGTAGGGCTGCACAAATGAGGCAACAACGCTAATACTTTTAGGAATCAGAGGGAACTGGCTTGGAAGAATCAGAAGAAGCATGCCCAGGTGAGGCAGAGCCAAAAAAAAAAAAGCAACAAATGACACAGACAAAATGCGTACTAGGGGGGTCTCGTCGTTTCTCTTCAGCTCAACCCCCCGTTCGTCCCTCACGGGGGGTACGTTGACTAGCCAAAAGTCCGGCGACTCGCCAAATTTTAGGTACATTGCCTCACACCTAAAAACTCATATTAAGCAGTGTATTTTTGCGGGGGATTTTTTGAACAAGTCACAGATTTTTTTTTTTGGAGAAGGTACATAAATTTATTAGGATGTATACCTATTTCTTAGGTATTTGGCTAGTCGCCGAACTTTTGGCTAGTCAACGTACCCCCCGTGAGGGACGAACGGGGGGTTGAGCTGAAGAGAAACGACGAGACCCCCCTAGTAGGGGGGTCAGGGGCAAAAGTAAACAAAAGAAAGCAACCAGCTTAGGCCTACCTTTTGAAGCAACACATTGGCCGCAGTGTGAGCGCAAACGCACAAATCTGCATTGATCATTGTTCTGACGCTTTCGCACACCATGTCTGGCTTGTTATCGATCCCGGTGGAGACTGTCCATCTTATCGCAGCATATCTTCCCATCGACGACCTGTGTGCACTCCGGCTGACGTGCCGAGATATGAACGCGGAGACTCTTGGATGGTTTGCGCGCCGATACTTCCACACACGTTATGTCATGCTGGAGAGGGAGAGCCTGAACACGCTCATCCGCATTTCGGAGCACCCACGTTTGGGACCGGAGGTGCGTACTCTAGGCTTCTGCACAGAGCGCCTCTTGGAGCCGGATGACGGTCTCGAGGAAGAAAATAGCTTCTGGGAAACTGTGGCCGGAGATATGGCCGGAGATTCGGACTCCGATGAGCCCGACGGTTGGCTCGAATGGGAAAGGGACGCCGGTCTGTGGCCTGGAGATGATGGTTTCCTGGACCAATCCGCTGCGGTCATAAGTCGCCGGTATTTCGATGATCAGGAGAGCTTCTTCTCAGGTCCGGATGTCGCAGCCCTGACGCGAGCCATGAGTGGGCTCTACAACTGCAAGACCCTTCTTCTGACAGACGCCCATCCTCCGTGGGGCGCCGTGCGTATGGAAAGGGAAGTGGGTGAGCTAGGAAGAGGCCTGGCGCACGACGCGATTGGCGATGAGTCGTTTGTAAAGCATGTCATAGATGTCATGCTTACGGCCGCCAGAGAAAGCCAGCTTCCTGTCGAGGAACTATGCATTGAACTTGGAAAGGAAAGCAAAATCTCGGCCGGTGACCCCATAAGCCTACATCTGCTTGATTCGCCGCCGGAGAGTATAGCGAGGCAGCCAAATTCGAATCACCTTATCGGCCTTACGACACTCAAGCTGATTGCGAGCCCCGTTATCGAGGATGAGTCCGAAGAGGATGAAGCGGTTCCCGGCTGGCCCCGGAACTTTTCCCGTTTCCTTGGGCTCTTTCCGCAGCTTTCGCACTTTTCCTTGGCTTTCAGCGGCGATTTTGACTATGGCATCGCGTCATCATGCCTCCTTGACGTGTTATCACTTCCCCGGCTGCGGAAACTGGAGCTCACCCGAATTGATACTGTCGAGGCGCAACTAACCGGCTTTCTTCTTCGCCACGAATCAACATTAGAGGAGATCGTTCTTGATAAGGTGAAAATGACCGGGAGGATTAGCTGGACGACGCTACTGGAGAAGAGCAAGCAGATGCCGGGCGTTCATAGCATGACTCTGAAAGATTGTTGGCTGTTTTCTTGCAGTCGGCCAGGGTATATGTATGATTATGAACTGGAAACAGTCTGTATGCGGAATGAAAAGGACTTCGAGCATGCAATAGCAATGGTAGAGGGGCTGGGCACGGTTTGGGACGTGGAAGAATAGCTAGGCGAGCGTTCTAAGGCAATCTTCTGCAACTAAGCTTCATCCACGCGCGAACAACAAGTACTAGCGATGATCTACTTTCGGGCCGCGCGTGCTAGAAACTGAGCTCTCTGAGCTCCCGACCGGTCCGCATCCCTATACCAAAGGGAGAAACGGTTCGTCAAGGTATCCAGGGCAGCCGATGATAGTAACGCACCCTCGTCCTGCCCTGACCCTATTATAGACTCCACCTATTGCCTTGCCTAGTGCATGGCCTAATGGAGCCCAGAGGTCATCGTCTCCAATCCAGCAGGCCATGGGAAAACAACATCTACTCTCGGGGACCGCTCAAAATAGCATAAACCGAGCCGCCAACCCTTAGTATACAAACGTGGGACAATATTCCCGGCATCTTCCACGTACCCCTTATGCTGGACCTCCAGCGATACGTGGCGATCAACGTCATTGGTATCATTACCGTTGGAACCTTGGAATTTGGGACGAAAGGCCGTGAAGATAAGCACGGACTCGCTTCCTTGGCTTTGGCCGACCCCGTCCCCACCGCCGCAAATGAAAACAGCCCTATACGGGGATGGCTGACCAGAAGGATCCCAGAGAGATCCCAGCCTAAGCGTCATTCCACTATCGATTGCATCAACGAGCTCTGAACCCATCATTCTCATGTATCTCTCAGAATACGATTCATTATCAAAATAGCCTTGATCACGCTCTGAATCGAGAGACAGACATCTTCGAATGCGACGTTCAATAAGAGAGTATCCAAGAGACCTCAATTTATTCGCGAGTTGGGTGAGTCGTTTCCGCTCCCGCAGCGTTAGCTTGCCCGTTGGGTTGTCTACCCATGCTGTTTGTTGATCAACGTCATGCGAGGTAATCGCTCTGCCAAGCTTCCATAGATGACCCTTGGTGAATATGCCATCAGGTGTAAGTCGGACATGAGGAAATCGGCAGCCTTTGTTAAACGAAAGACTTCGCTTGTTCAAGGGGGAATAAAAGCCTTTGAAAGACTGTACCTTCAGAAATTTCGACACAGTCATCTGGGAAGGCGACTCACAGGATCTGCCGTTAGAAAGAATCTCCCCGTTTAGAAGAGACATGACCAACATCGAAAGGCTGAGGCTGTGTTTCTTCCGTTGTAGTTCTTCAACGTCAAGGCGCACAGGATACTGGCAGCAGTTGGCAACAACGGCGAGACGGTCCCAGGGCTTTTTCACGTTTCTATGCTCAATGTCCGAAATGATAGTCGGGGTCATCGATTCATGCTTCTTCAGAGTGATGGTATACCTCCCAGCAGTGGTCAGAACATGACCGATTGCCTCCCTCTCCGCTGGGGTCTGAGGCTGAATGCCCTCAAAAGCCAAACAAAGACGCGTAGCCTCGTAAGAAAAGCTGACGGAATTGATGCAAAGTTCTTCGTTTATATCACTGAAAAGATTAATGAAGGAAGAACGCTTCTGCCTCTCCAGTGCAGGTACGTGAGGAATGAGGAGATGCATCGCAGTTCCTGCGCGATAGCTCTCCTGAAAGGTCCAAGTTCTCGTCCACCACAGGTCGCTCGTGATATCTTTTAGTAGCGTGAGCGCGTTTCCAGCCTCTTGCCGACTTGTTTTCTCAGAGAGTCGAAACCGCGGTGCCTGCCGATGCTGGGTAACCAGTTCGCCACCAAGGATTCTCGCCAGAAGCATCATATCGAATCGAGAGTGGAAAGATCTCTCGAGTAAGGCGACCGGATGGTTGCTAAGCTTATAGATAAGATCCATGGCCTGCAAGGCGTGGCGCTTCTGATTGCACTGCGGATGGATGCACGGGGTCTGGTTGCAACTCCGCTGCTTGATAGTGTGCCTATCAATCCACAAAAGATTCAACTGAAATCTTCTCATGTATTTAATGATGCGATCAAAAACGCAATCTCGAACAGGTGATCGGAATTCCCGTGCTCTATCCCTCGTTTGCACCATGTAGCCGCCGACTTTCGGGTTTTCATCATTGGACGAGTCCCAGGTGTACGACAGAGCGACATAGTCATGGTCCTCGATGGCGTTGATCCAGTGACGTGACAACAGAAAGGACTGATCCGGCGCGGGGCGAAGACACTCAAGGTTCTTTATGATGGATAACTTTTTGTCTTGTGCCAGTGTGCTGTTCTGAATATCGAGCATGAGAGAGACGATGGACTTGCCATGATATCTGGTGATGTCGAGGAGAGTATTATTGATGTCATCACGTTGTGTGGTCATTTTAGTGAAACTCGGCGTTTATGGATAAACTGAGATCTGGTTTGAATCCTGAGACTCCGTGGAGATCATGTTCGTGCGGGATTTTGAATAAGGCTTTGGTTCTCCAGTGGTGACACGAGGCAGCATGTTCTACCTTACGATTGCATTGCGTCAGCAGATGCACGGAGTCGCACGTGTGTAAAACTGATTGGTGTGCGCCGGCTGGTGTGCGTCGACTGGTACTGTGGCTATGTAAGCCGCTGCTGACCAACCTCTCACCGTAGATCTGGAGACGTGTTCTCGCGTTCTTGGAGCGTTGGCATGCCATCTTGATTCGTAGTTGTACGCGAGGATTCGAGATTTGGTCGACAATGTTACGGCAAGCTCGCCGGCCATGCGAAAAGATGCGAAGAAATCTTCACACTCTACAAGAATGATGAGACCACCAAATGGCTTAAAGACGCGCCAGTACAGCGATTTACAGCAGCTTCTTCGCAACTTCTTTTGTCTTCAAGGCGCAAATGATGGTCATTCATTCATGTGGGTGCACCAGAACTAATGACTGACTTCTCTCAAGAGTCCCGTCGGGCCGGGCGGGACGGCAGGGAAGTAGAGCAAATCATCCTACATAATGCGGCCTAGAAGCCGGAGCTAAACTTCCAGCTGCATCCAGACGCTAGTGCCAGACAAGTCTATTGATGAAACAAAAAGGTGGATTAAGATTGTTGAAGGTCTAAGTTCTGTGTCTGTGTGAGGAGCACAGCTCATTACGTAGTATCCACATCCCAGCCACCAGCGGATCGGACCATCTTAGTCATCCGGTCTCAACAAGCCAGATGGCGTAGGTCGTCGTGTGCTTGGTCCAACAAATGGGAGGTCTTCTAAGGAATGTCCTCCGCAGACTTTGCACAGAGATTGCCGAGAAGCGCTGAGCGTGGGCGGCCGTCGTTGGGTGGCAGGGTGGATCTAGTTTCGGAAATGAAAATGCAATTCCGTCCAACTAGTACAACTATTTGTTAAAGCGCCCTCTTACTAAAGAAACAGCAGCTGACGGCTTCTTCTTCCGAGATGAACATTTTACAAGTAATCGCGGACACGCTGTTGTGATCAGGATCCACAATGCCAAGAACCATCAGGCTACAGCAAGGGAATGACGTCCCCTCCCGGACCCAATGTCACGTCAGGATGCATACCCAGGTAGACTTAACCAAGTTTCAGTCTTCATAAACAGAGAAGGAGTATTCTATGGATATCTAATCATTTAAATAAATTTATTGAAATAGGGTTATTGTTAAATCCTACTTCAAAAAAACTACATGGCTTCCCCTCCTGCAGATTTTAGCGTAAAGGGTTTACCCGCTGTACTTGTAAAAGCATTAGATTTGACCATTTTTAGGGCTTATTTGGTTAATTATAAAACTTGCCACTTCTCCAAGTTGCCAGTTCAGCCGTTAGCCCATTGCGTATTGTGTGAGGCGAGATGGGAAGCTCGATTACGACCAATGAATAGATAACGTATGCCCGACTTGGACTTGATGCTGACATGGTGTGCGGGGTAAGCGCTACCCACCGCTGCAGCCTTCCGTGTCACCTCACAACTGAGGCAAGATACTAGGCCGACAGCCAATGATTCCCCATCTGGTCCCTTCACTACCCTGTCGTAATTCTCCTCTCGCGCCGCTAAGTGACTCGCTGAGCTGAACAGACGGCTTCTTGGCTTTCAGGTTGCTCGCCCGCATTTGTTTGTCCGTCGCAAGTGTCACCGAACGCCTGATGGCGCTGTGTCTCCGCCGCTCCGTGGTCAGCTGCCCGTCATTAGGCCCTGTCTAGCGTACGCTCAAATCTGCCTTGCTCATAAGACTCCAAGCAGGCCGTTTTTGGGTCTGCGACAGGGTTAGCATTAAAACCGAAAACGGCAATGGATCAACGCTGTTTTCTCTTTCCAAGGGGTAGTGTCATTGGCCCAAAATCGGGAACGGGGCCGGTTCCTGACTTAAATCATAGAGTAGAAAAGTACTAAATTAAGAAGACCCCTCCGGACAATAACAGTGAGACACGTGTTGTTTACGCTGATCTGCTGGTGTTGACACTCGTGAAGTGCTTGAGCATCGTGTCTCGGTGCTTTCAAGGGGACGGCCCGGAAGAACCTAATCCGAAATGGCTCCAGAACAAGGGACAGTTTCGTCTTAGTGCCTGGCATTCAGGTTCTGCCACACTTGCCCGCCTTCGTACATCAAGGGGCAATGTCTGGACTCGGCCTCATACATCAGCCAGCCATCGACCTTCATGTCGCTCTTTCTCCTCATTATCGCTATGATCATTGGAAAAATACCAGCAGCGAAGCCGATTTTAATATCTTGGTAAGGCCTTTGCAATGCCTTTGGCAGTCAACGCACCTGAAGCTAATTCACATTAGTCCGACTTCTCGAATGCCTTGAGTGAACGATTCCTCGCCGTCCGATCGTACACCCAACCACATGATGACACAGCCTTTTCGATTTCGTTGGACGGGCCAAGGTCATGACGAATGTGCCAAGAACACGTTTGATGCCACTAACTGGGATGCTCTGCTTGACGTCACAAGAAAGTCGAGCGGCGATGCCGAATGTCTCTTCGAGGGCGACTTCCATGCTGGCGGACGTCACATCGTTAGACGCATTGTGGTCCCAAGCAAACGGTGCAGATGGATCGCGCGGCTACCAATCATGCCTTCATCGAACACAAAGTCGAACGGCAGTTGGTGGACAAGAGAACGACAGTTCACGATGCAGAGCGAGATTGCGACCATGAAACACATTGCTAAGACTACCAACATTCCGGTACCCGAGGTTTTTGGATATAATATTTGCTTGGACGCGAATCCCGTCGGCCACCCTTACATATTGATGCATTGCATCGAGGGAAATATGATCTTTGATCTGGGTGGTCCGGGAGTGCTCAACCCTGAGCAAAGTGAGAGACTGCACCAGTCGATAGCATCGATCCAGGTTTGTTGACCAAAGCTTGCCGTATCGACTGCCCTAACGCAATCAGTGCCAACTGTTAGATGCATCGCTAAACCAGATCGGCTGCCTGACATTGGATTCCAGTGGCAATATCGGCATCGGGCACCTCCCCGCGGCCTTCGGCTTTCAAGGTCCATTCAGCCTGCCAGCCGATTATTTCTCGTCCTGGGTCGGCCAGAACCCAAAATTCAAAAATCTGACACGCCTAGATGATCTCAGTTTAAAGCACGCCACGCAATCCTTCCCCGAACGCCTCAAATCAATTCTCCATAAACTCAACAACAATGGAGTGTCTGGCAGATACCCAATCATTCACCCCGACTTTTTTATGCATAACATTCTATTGAACGACGAGTTTGAGGTGGTTGGCGTCATCGATTGGGAGCACGCTCATTCTGCCCCAGTTGGCGTCTTCGCAGCGCGGACAAATATTTTTGTACGGTTCGATACCGCCAACGCGACACTGGGCTGGGACGATGAAGGAGCACAGTACGTGGCGGATATTGAAGCGATTAAAAATTCGGATTCAGCAGACAAACTGTCCCTGGCGTTAACAAGCCCCTTGGCTATCTTGGGATTGTGTATGCAATTGTATGAAGAAGGAAGAGCGATTCCCTTCGACAGAGCTATGGATAGGATCGAAAGAGAGCTTGATTGACTGGCTATTAACCTCCTGTTGCCTTTCTCCTTCTAACCACGGCAAAGTAGACATCACTGCATCGACCCAGGGACCACACGTCTTGTGAGGCTGCGAGCAAAATAATCAGCGAGCTGAGATTGCCAAGGGGATGCTTGCCCATACTTGTCTTTACTCTCTTACATGGTGACACACGGGGCATGCATCTCCTCTTTTGATGTTTGTCTCGGGACAATAAACGGGTCTGGTGCATTGGCCATAAAGACTGAGAGGCATTTTGAAGTGTGCAAGTACAATAGAACTTGATAAGTAATTGTGATAATCAAGTGTCCTGTCTGATCAAGAGGTGAAAGTTCGAAGAGGCCTGTACTGGTAGGCCTGTAATTCGAGGGAGGAAAAGAGGTTTATAATGGGAGCGACAGTATGCACGCTCAGTACACGCGGTAATAACAGGGTACATGATTGAACGTTAGCGGTTAGAAGAAGAGGTTGGGTCATGCAGATGATTCCGCAAAGGGTAGGTTGTAAGGGAGGTAACACAGCGCTAGTCGAGACGATCAGCCTGTTGCTCCGTGTGAAGAATTGCCCATGCTCGGATGTGCACTCAAACCTATTGGAATCGAGGCCCTGAGGGTTGTCAACACCTATGTTGATGGGGCAAGCGTGAGTCATTGAACCCTGAGATGGAATCAGCTGGCCAGTCGGCTCTTGCCCGTTGGACGAACCAGACACGGTGCCCTGCAAGTTAGGCCTGAAAAGGACAAGCCGTTCCGCCTCATTTCATGATTGGATCAGCGGTCTCCACAGCCCTTCTTGTCGGCTGCTTCCTCTCTTGGTCAAGGGCGGTATGGACCGTGAATTGGCTCACTTTTATGTGAATGAGCCTCACGACTCTGAAGCTTGGGAAAGGCGGCCCGCGTTGTTGCAACCAATGCCCATTTTTCGATGCGGTATGTGCAGCATTAATCTGAAACTGGAAATGCAGTTAGTTTGACCTAGATACGGGTCCAGAATATCTTCCAACAAGCTTGGGGAATCCAGGTCTTCACCATTCTCCCAGGCTTGCTGGACCATCTCCTTGCAACCTGAGACGAGCGGGGTCATGCCAGTCGGGCACCGGAGTCGGTCCGGCGCTCCAACGGATGTCCCCCGCTTTCGTGACCCCGGTTGCGGCCTGTGGCCCGGATACCTCGCAGTCGGATTCAAGCATTTAGGCGCCTCCGCAACAGAGCGAATGAGCACGTCAATATCTCTAGCGCATGCCTAACCAATGGCTGTCACTCTGAGCAAATAGTCGAATCAGGCGGCCATTCTCTCTTTGGTCAGTTAGCCAGCCATTGGTCGGCAATGATGAGGGCCTGCTTGAGACGAAGCTTACTGGCCCCTTGGCTTGGATCTATAACCGCTCACTGGCCTCATGTTGGGTTGCAGTCATCCCACTTCGCCTCGCCGCGTCATGCGGCGACAATGCTCGTGGCGGGATTACGTCTACGTATTTCCAGTTTTCGGCTCAGGCTATCCAATCTGCAGGTGGGAGGTGGAGCCTGACTGGGTGGTTGCAAGAAATGGATGATACCTCGACATTGTGGGTAGCCGACAGGATGGACAAAACGGTGTTTGATAACGGTTAGCAATAAGATAAGAAACGGGGCTGATAAAAACAGTAATCGATTGTGGCTAATACTCGCCGCCCGAAGGCCCCGGGTAGCTGCTTTCGCTATGTACTCCTCATTTCGTAACTCCAAGTCCATCACCAGTCCCAGTATCTTGCCGCTGTTTTGGCGGTGATCGCTTGGCCTTTGATTGTGAGCAGGCTTTTGTCGGTGCGTTCGGGATTGCGCGTGAAGTGTATGATGACCGTTTTGCTTTCCTCAAACGTCGCTCCGCTCCGTCTTTCCCACTCTAGTGTTTTGTCGATGATGGCCTCGATGCCTCCTCGGTTTTTTCTGCTGTCGGTCCCGTTACCCAGGCCGAGCAGTAGCCGTTTACCACCATTGTTGCGGACCGGTTGGAGCAAAAGGCGTCGATCGATTTTACCAACCCCTTAAGGACGCCTCTAGCTTCCAGTCTCTGCAGTAATCGATCCTTAAACACCCCGTTATAAGCTCCCCGCATGTCGAAGCTTATCAGGCCGAGCACCTTCCAGTCACGCCATGCTTTGTAGATATGTTCCTGGAGGAACAGGAGTGCCTGCTCGGCCGATCGTTGTTTCCTCCCGCCGAAATGGTTTGTAGGTAACAGTCTAAATGCCTCTACTGCGTACGAGATCCTGTCCGCAATGACTGCCTTCAGAATCCTGTCTAGCGTCGATAGAAGTGAGATCGGTCACCACACCTTGGCTATCTTGTAGTCTTTATTCCCCGGCTTCTTGAGACTCACAAGTTGATGGACCCGTTGTACCAGACGCACTCTCGCCGCATGGCCCCTAGTTCCGTTATGATCTCCGGTATGGTCTCAAGACAAAAGCCGCGCGAGTGTCGACTTGCGATCAGGGCAGACTGAGAGCAGACAGACTTCAAGCGACACTACTGATTCACCAGCAGCGACGACGAGTATCATTGCACTTCATGTAATGCCTGTTTGAAAACAAGACCAAATCTCACGAAGGCAAAGCAGGAACAAAGAATAGACAGAAACACAAAACTTAACAACAGTAATGAAACAAAAGATATACTACCAGGCGTTAATTGTCAAACTAGACTATCCTCTAACCCTTGTCCTGCTGTGCTGTATCGCCCAAAGAGTCCCTCTCGCGTTTTTGTTTTGGTTTCACTCTCACCGCTTCCTCCCCCTCCAAATATACAACAGTATAGACGGGAGTTGAAAACTCATTACGTCGTCGGACTTGAAACCTGGTGATGAGGCGCTGGTTCCACACTTGGGGCCAGGGGTTGACCGTGTGCACCAAAAAGCTGAGTGCCTTGCGAGACGCTGCTAGGGACGGCAGCCACTGGGGATGAATGCTATGGAGTTTGAGGAGAGAGATTGGAAGATGCATGTCTGGTTCAAACGGGCACAGTTTGGCACCGACCACGGCTTGTGCCAAGCATGCACGCCTAACATGGCGCAGACATCGTGGGCAGTGTCCCCTGCAAGCCTGGTCTTACTCATTGCCGCCTTTTTTTTCTTTTCAATAGCCCGTGCTAGTGCCGGCTTCCAAGAGCATCTCCGCGGCGCTAGTTGAATCACTCGACGGACAAAGGCCCCTAGTCATACTGACGCCACTCTAGAAGTAAGGCTGAGGAAACCCGGCCCCCGTACATGCCCGTAGTTTTCCCCCGAAAGCTCAGCACAGGTTGGGCGCTACAACAACAGTGTACTGCGCCAACAGCATGATCGATGCTTGCAGGATGGGCAATCTTGGTAGCCCTGTTTCGCAGATACTGGCAGTGGTGTGAGGGGTGACCCATCTCAGAGATCGCTCTCAGCCCAAGCCAGTCAAAGTTATCGACTGTTGGGCAGAACGAGTGAGCAGAAGAAGCAGAAGCGATGCTATGGAAGGAAGAGTGATCCGGAATGGGCGAAAGAGCGTATAAGCGCAGGCGCTTGCAGGGCTGTCAAGTTGATAAGACTCGTCTATACCATGACTGGGTTCAGGGTGATTTGCTAGAGAGTTACATCACGTCCTGGAATACCTAGTCGCGAATTTTCAGCGGATGTGAACTGGGAATTACGAAAGTTCAAGGCAAGGTAGCTTTAGGGTAAATTGCCAGAACCCTGAGTAAATTAATTCGTTACGACCTATGCTTTATGAGAGAATGCTGGGTGATCGAGTCTACTGAGGATATCCACCCTAGCCTTTACGCACAGTTTCAAGGCAATGTAATTTGTTGTATAAAGTTGATTTCTACTCAATGATTTAAGTCGGGAACATTGCAAAGGGAAAGAGAGTCAAGGATAAATACACAAGGGGCGAGGCTGGAAGAAATGCTCCTCTGGGCAACAGCCTATGATAGGAATTGACCGCTTCCTCAACTCGGGTTTTACTGCTGGCGCGTTCTTCTACTCAGCATCAACCCAAAACGAACAGTACTGTCCCAGCCCCCATACCCCGGTCACGCCGATGGCACGCAGAGGTGTTAGAGCGATAGAGACGAGTTCACCGACGCGAGTGCAGTCACGTCGCCAACACAGTGCCAACCTATGTGCTTACTTCGACGCATTTCCCAACATCCAGGGATGACAATCCATTAGTGAGTAATCAGGAGGCTGGGCTGCCGAGAGTGGACAACCCTTGTTACATATCGGAGATGGCTCGTCTTCTTGGCGGTCCTTCCCCTCAGAGTCTCTACGGGGCCGGGGTTAGCGAACGGTGGACACGCACCTCGTTCAGCCGCACTAATGGTCGTATCCCCGTCCGGACTCATCGTTTCCGCAGGCACTTCATACTAGTACTCAATCCGCGACCCATTCATGTCAAGTCACTTAACCCGGATATACGCCAAGCTTACATGCGAGAGCTCTTACGTAGTAGAGTCGAACCGCGTCTACGCCAACACTGACCGGGGGTTGGTGTTAGCCTGCCCCACCTCACCGCTCGGCCCAGTTCAGCGTCAAGACTCCGTACGCTACAACAAATTGTAGTCGCTCAATTTAGCCACACGAATCATTACAGTGGCACGTATCCCGGGTCATCGCAAGTATGTGTCTGTTTCCACCAAAAGAGTTCTTGCTTTTGTCGGTTTGTTGGGACTAGTCCGCCTCACAATTCGACATCCTTACTTCCAATGCACGGCAATCACAGTCAATTGCTTTATTTGTATGTGATTATCTTTGGGCATCAACACATGCTGATTACAGATATGCGTGTACGGCGTATACAGTGTGTACGGCGAATTCAAGTTGACTTCACTTTCGAGTGCGTTCAGCGACAGGTGCACACGTCAGTTGATCTCAACTGTCGCAAGGATACTCCAGCCAAAATTTAAAGAAGAGGACAGTTTTGCTGTTATGGTGTTCAGGCACTTAGGGCGCATACCATGAACATTATGTAACCAGCGTACTCTGTACATGGCGTCTGGCTTATGCCAGGTAGCCCGCGGTACGCCTACTTGCAAAACTGACACGGCTAGTTTTGTCAGTTTCCACGCCCACGACAACCCTCCTCGCCCAAAACGCCCGCAACGCCCGCAACGCCTGCCAAAAGTTTCAGGAACCCTGGGCCTGGAACCCTGGAGGCCCAGGGTTCCTAACTCAGGACCAGAATCTAACAATGTACTACGTAGTATGTTGGATCATACCCTAGCAAATCTTGCTCCGTTGGCCAGGCCTAGAATGTGTTTCTGCCGTTGCTGCAAAAGGAAAATGGCTCGGAGTGGTCGGTCCGTGATAGCAAAAATTTTTCACAGCAGGGCCACCAATTTCCGTGGGACAAGGAATGATGTTGCATGGCTTCCGCCTCTGTTGGTCGGCATGTGGTTGTGCACAGGTCCAGGATGTGTGCCTCAAGCTGAGGAGAGGAATGCAGGGATGGGAGCGGGTGCATGCATGGGCTGGTCTGAAGGGTGTGGGTATCTTGAGGGGTGTGTCGTGACGAGGGATGTGAGATCGGTCAGCATGGGTGTCTTTCGGGGTTAGGCCAGCGTGCTTTCGGCGGGCTGTGAGTCCAGGGTCGTCTGAAAACGCGCTTATCAGGACCTAGCTTGAGGGCGCAACAGGTGGGGAACCCCGGTGGCTCTAGCGTTCCGTTACTCTATCGATCTGGGTCCCGGGGCGACATGCGGCAGCTACCCCACCCCACATCGTTGCATCGCATTTCATCCAGCGGAAACAAAAATATCCGGAGGTTGCAGTGGCTGCTGACGCTGCATTAGCATGGTTGTGGCAAGCCTGTGACTGGGATCATGGGCAGCTCCTCATTTGACCTGGTATCACAATGTGGGTGAGGATCACGATGCAGGGGCATGGCAACACGAATGGACAAACTAAAATACTACGTCACCCCATGCACATTGGAGCGGCGATGGGGTGCATGGGGTAGCCTCAGCCGAAGGCTGTGTGTCCGCGGGCCGGGAAGCTATTACTACTACTGCATTATCTACGTACTGATCCATTGCCATGGCCATTCTTGGTATTATGTGACACGTACGGATTCCGTGTGAGTACCTGTCGTTTCCTAAGCTCCTGATCCCTCATCTTCATCTTCATGCCATCCGGGGGAGACCCGTAGACCAGGTGATTACGATCAAATGGTGCATCCAACATCAGACCCTCGAGCGTTTTCACGCGAGAGACAGCCACGTAGCTTAAACCAGTCTGAAAGTCCCGGCAGGACAGATCTGTAACTATCATGTCTTCGGTGATGCTTTGTGACTTGTGCACGGTAATTGCGTAGCATACGATCAGGGGAAACTGGGTGCGAGCGCAGAGAGTGGCTCCGATGAGGAAGTCCCTCTCCACTGGGAGAATCGGCACAATCTTCCTGCCATCAGCGGTGGTCAGGAATACCGGTCCGCTGTATTTGTCAAACTCCATCATGATAACACAGGGAGGGTCTTGGATGGGGTCGGCCCCAGGTGCCCAGCCGATATCGTAAACTGTGCCGCGAGCGCCGTTGCAGAGGCCAACTGGCTGCCAAAGGTTGGACGTCAGCATCAGACGGGAGCCAATGCATATGGGGATCTGCTTCGCAAGGTTGCCCGCCTTGTCATCAGGCGCAGCAGCCGCGCCGGGGCCGACGTTCTTAGCCATGACCTGGATGACTGGCCGGCTGAGGCGGTCGAGGTGATAGTGGTTATATTCGTTCACCTATCTTTAGTGGCGTATACTCGTAAGGCGTTGACAAACCTTGCGACCTCTTGATCGTCTAGTTTTGCCTGTACGCGGCTGGAAAGGAGCTTCCAGGACTCCACAGATAGTTGAAGCAGCCGCAATTCCCCGAGAGCTAGGCGGAATGCCTCCTGATCGTCGCCACGCTGCCGCTGGACAACTTTCAAGAAGACCGATTTATCGAATCGCCTGTATGCGTTTCTGCCCTTGATCTCACTCCCTGAACCTCTTTATCGTAATAAAGCGGCTTCTGCAGCACAGGGGGAAGCTGAAAGAAGTCACCAACCAACAGGATGTTCAGGCCGCCAAAGAACTCTTCGTTCTTATTCGGAAACGCCTCTCGGAGACGGTCATCGATCCAAGATAGCTGACGCAGTCCCAGCATGCTCTTCTCGTCAATGATCAGATACTTGATATCTTTAAGCTTCTTCTGGAGTGGGCCTTATCAATGGCTGAGAGAGGCTTGAAGTCCTTATTAATTGGCAGGTGCAACAGGGAATGCAAGGTAGTGCCCGAAATCTGATTTCCCGCGACGCCCGTGGGCGCGGCACGCCAGACGGGCGTCCCTCTCCCGCCCGTCGCGGCTTGAAGGTGCGCGGAGAGCAGGTTGATGAGGTATGACTTGCCAGTGCCGCCTCCCCCATCTACATGGAGTAACAACTGGGAAGGAGCCCCTGTCAGAAAGTGGCCCATCACCGTGTCGTACACTAGGCGCTGATCTCGATTTAGGGAATCGCGAGCTTCCAAGGGCTGATGGTCCACGTCGAGATTCCAGGGGTTTTCCGCTTTGCGTTGCTTCCAGTAGTCGCCGCTGAGAATGCCGTCGTCGGTATACCGTCCAACGTGGGAGGCCCAATCATAATCGATGTCGATATCTCGGCGGCCGAGGATGTCGATGTCCTCTTCCTCCAGCGGGCGGTCAGGCAGCATGCGGGCGAGTTCATGCCAGTCCTCCTCCACAATGGGCTCCTCATGGAGCTCAAGCTCAAATTCATCGTCCTCTGCCCTCAATTCTTTGTTATCTGGCTCCCCATAATGATCGTCCGCGTGGGCATCGTGGTGCTCTGTGCAGCACTTGTACGCAGTCGCGAAGGAATCGAACCGCTGCCCGCCCACCACGAGCAACTCTTGTGGAGAGCGATGTGGATGAACCATCATCAATTTAACACGGCAGAAGTCGTTAAACTGGGGAGAAGCCTCCATGGACTTGTATCGAGGGAAGTAAGCTAGGACCCTTTGCTTCGCGTTAGCAGCGAGTCTCCTCCACGTCTTGAGATTGTACGATTGCAGGTACTCGAGGTAGGTTACATCCTCATGCTGGTCATTTCGCTCCAGATATTTTCTGTAGCTGCCGATAGTCTCATTGACATCTTCGTCGACGCGATACGAACGTGCATGTTGCTCCAACGGACGGCAGTCGACGGAGACGACCATCCGTGTGCCTTCCTGCAGAGGGATGTTAAGCAGAAGGTGGGAAATCTCCTGCGCCGAGTAATCCCTCTCGGCAATCAGCTTATTCATAAGGCGAGAGGAGAAGGATAATAAGGGCTGGAGGTGTGCCGTATGCGGCAAGACCTGATCTGCAAGTTTGCAGTAAGGCTCAGTCTTCTTCTCAGATTTGCTGCAATACTTCGCAGCGTACGTAATAACCGCCTGTAAGCTGGTGCAAGGAGATATGTCGATATTGGCTAGCCAGCCTAGGATGATAGCAGGATCGAAGTGGTTCATGAGGCTGTCGTTCCGCGCCGCCTCGAAGATGTGGTACGACCTTCCTTCCTTCCTGATAACTGCAGCCAGCTCCCGCAAGGCACGAGGGAAGTCAAAACGACACTCCCTCTCTGGATTGGCCGCGTTGGCCGCCTCGATGTCTGCAGCAGCGCCCTCCATATCCCTCGCGATGTCACCGGTTCTCTTCCTCACACGCAAGCAGTACGTGGTGTTGCACTTGTGGCGCTGGCAACGGTTGACAATTTGCGAGAGCCGTAGGAATGTCATCTCTATGCTTAGGGGATCTACGCTCAGGGATTACCCTCACCCTGAGGCATAGTCCTACTCGGCTCGGGGTTAATGGCAGTGACGTGGAATCCCCACGTGCGTGCAAAAACATCACGAGCGGCTTCGTCCTCCATGTCGGCTCCGGGGCAATTTTCCATCCAGTACAGGCCGTGGTTGTGTGGACTACCACGCCCTTGCCATTCGTACCGATCCCAGTAATCCGTGATGCCGAACTTCTTGCTTAGCACGATATCCCGAAAGAGGCAGTATCGGCGGTAGAAGTGGAAAGCAGCAATGTGGGGGTTCTGCCGCAATAGGCGGCGCGATAGAGCCATCCTCTCCGGCTCGGTGGCGGCTAGCCAGTCGTCATACTGGGGCATGTGCTGGTAGAGACTCCGCCAGTGTAAATCTGCCGGGCTAAACGTGATGAATGCACCAGGACAACCAAGGTTATAGGCGTAGGCCTCGAGGTCCTGCCTCCTTTTGTTCCAGAAGGGACGCGTACCGCGAATAGACACCGCATGCCTTGTGATCGAGTTGATCAGCGCCTGCGCCTCGGGGTCCTCCGGCTGGTGTTCGAGCGCCTGAATAAGTTGCTCTCGCGTGAGCGGCTGCTGTCTCCCATCATGTTGCTTCACGAAGAATCTGGACCGTGAACGTGCTTGTGACCGCATTAGTGTGTTGAAGGCGACGAAGCGGAAGGTCGGGTGGCGTGCAAAACGCCCGTCGTGCCAGCGCATCGCGTGCTCGACGTAATCCTTGTAATCAATGGAGCGTAATCGAGGTTCAACAAAGTCGGCTCTACCGTCAGGAAAGAGGCAGGGAAACGCCAAGGAGAGTAGGGCATGAGAGCGATTGAACTCATTAATGGGTGTGTGTCGTATATTCGGGAGCTGCAGCTCGTGTTGCGCCTGGAAGCTTGTGGAAAGCCCTGAATCAGCTTCTGATTCTCCGGCGAGAATAGACCGCAGAGCATCGAGCTCCGTGTCCTTGGCCAATAGGTCTGGCACTGCAGCCTCGTCCTCCAGGTCAGGCTCTGCCTCCTGATCTTCCTCGGGTCCAACATCCGCAGCCTCCACCTGACTATGGGGGATGGCATCCAGGACATTGCCATCTTGGGGCAATTGATTCAGCCTCTCTTCGTCGATGACGATGCATCGATAGCCAGGATGATGGCGGCGGAGGTAGTCTAGCCATATGACAACCGGCTGGCGGCGAACGCGGAACTGGCGGGTGAATTGCTGGCTAAGAATTGCGTGGGACGACGTATTCGCAGGACGTAGTAATACAATGTTCAACTCCTGCGGCAAAAGCGGAAGCTGGTTGTACACTAAGCCAACCTCGCGGAGAAAGTGAACCACGTGCCCCCGATACTTGTACTGCTGCCCTCGCACAAGCATAATGTTCACGTGGACGTGAACACGAGCAATCAAAGACTCTTCGGTAGGCGTAAGCTGGGGCAATCGGGTCGGTACAGGGCCAAAGTCGAGCTGATTATTCGCTGAGAAGAAATACGGCTCGTCGGGGCGGCGTTTCTCATCCTTTCGATAGCAACGCGCACAAATGCCATCGCAATCGATCTTCATCTGGAACCAACTCTCTTGGCATCGACCGCAAAACTGCATTTGGTCATTGTCCAGCTTTGTCCAGAACTCGCGGAGGATTGCCTTGTCGCGACCAGTCAAGGCGCAAGCCTCAAGGTCTCCATTCCACACCGGGTCTTGTGCGTGAAATACCGCCGATTCTTCAGGTGGAATCATCACTGGACTCCGATACCGTCGTGGCGGCCTCGACGATCGAGTTTGCCTTCGAGATTGTCTCGGCCGCCCTCCTGTACCAGGGCAGGACCACGGCGACCACGCCTTGGCCGTGCGGAAGGCTGCGGTAAGCGATGGCGAAGAGGGCTTCCATCCACGGAATTATTATCGTCGTTCTCGTCTTCGTCCCACTGGGTCGGAATCACACTCCACCCCTAATTGTTTGAGGTACCTCCGTGGTCGAGCAGGCGAAAGGAGTAAGTTGAAATAGTCCTCGGCGTCAATATCAGATTCAGAGAACTGTCCCATGTCATTGCCTTCCTTGGCTATCGCATCCCGTCTTGAAACCAACTCGGTTGTAGTCGATCTCGACT